ATGAAACAATTATTGTCCACTTTCTAAATTAGGCCTCCATTTATTGGACAGCACAAGTGCATAGTCAACTAAAGAAATGAATAGACTTGTTAAGACATTAACATAATTCTAGAATTAACTAGGACTTAAAATTGTTTCAGTTGTATGATATAACCTCATGTGAACTAATGTTCGCGCCCATAATACAGTGTTTTTAAAATTAGCTTGTTTAGTCAAATTGTGACTAACATATTATATTGATGTGAGATAAGAAATCGTCATTATATTTACTTTATAAAAGTTTTTGGCAATAGCTAATGTATTGTTTTCTTTTTTCTGAAGTAAATTTCTTTACAGATCTTTAATCTTTTGTTTGAATACAAACTAAGTAAGTGCATTTCTCTCCTTTTATTTATATTGCCTATAAGATGAGTAAAGGTTTTCTCTTGCAAGCTTGATGAGTATATGTCTTGGTATTATTGCAATAACAGTTTTTTGGGTCATTTATATGATGCTTTCAGTTTATCTGTCATCAATCAAGTTATTTTAAATGACTTCAGTATTTTAATGTGTACATGTAGCCACCCGGTTAGCTCGTAATGTCAAATATTTTAATTACATTTGTGATTGTACTACGACATATACAAAAACTATATAAAATCATAGTCATTAAGATCTTGATTTGTTACGGGAATATTAGGCAGTGGTGATTGATTCCATTTATAGTGGACTTTGTGATAAAGGAGGAAATGTTATGCCTCTATCTCTAAATTTAAGATTCTAATTAGATTTCCCTTTGATTAGTTGTATTTAATAAGGTTCATAATAAATATTTCTCAAAACGCTTAATTAATAATCTTTTATTTTATCTATACTTGAGTATATCCAGAATGAATTATTTGAAACTACTTATAAAGTCTTCAGTCCAATAACAAATGAGGATACAGTAAACTAAGGATATTTTTTTAACCAAGTACCAAATCAATAATATGTTATTAATAAAATTGTCTAAAAAAATAATAATAAGACCACTTCAATAATAAACTTTAATAAACATTTGACAACATTGCATTTTAAAACTAATATAAATTCATTGTTACATATTTATGTTAGTTTTGATGTAATGTTTAATTCTGTAGCCATTTTCTTGTAAACTCCATACAATATACTGATATGACATACATGTAGAAGGGCACTTGTGATATCTGTACTAGGATAAGTATTCCAACATAGTTCTATTAATGCCAGTATTAAGAATCTAACAATAACGGAATAATTGGAACACCATAATAAATAAGGTAAAGTATGAAAATACCATGAATAGAATTGATAATGGAGACTTCTAGCACATACAATACCTATAAAATTAACCAAAAACATTGGAAGAATAAACAGTTGAGATAAGATGTCAAAATTAATACTAAAATGTTTTTCCTTTTCATGCTCTTTTATCGCTTTATCTGGTTTACTTTTTTGTGATGAATTTTTCAGCATAGCTTCAAAAGAATTAAGGAACGCTTCTTGTTCTTTAGAGAGTGTCTCGTCAGGTTGATTCAAATTATTTTTAACATCTTTTCTCAACTTTGCTCTTTTCTTATTTTCTTTGTTTTTAGCATCAATTTGGGGCTGTACTTGTCTTTGTACATACTTCAATCGGCAATAACTTTGAAAATATTTTATACACATTGGTAAACATAAAATTAAAAGCATTATGTGAATACCTAACAATGTTAAATGAAAGAATTTACTCTCAAATGTTTTAATGTCTAAAAATCTATAGTTAACAGTCCAAGTGTGGTTAAACACTCTACCCAGGTCGAAACTACCCTTAATGTATGCTATAGGAGCTACTAGTAAAAATGGCATCCCTAATACTAATTGTGTTACTCCACACAGTAGTAACTGTTTTATTGTTCCATTTAGCCCTAGGTTTACTAGATAAAAGAAAAATAGTGCTGGAGCATAAAGTAGTATATTCATCTTTATAGAAACTGCTAAACTGTAAAAGAGACTGCCTAAATACCATTTCGAATCTAAAAAGAAATTAAGGGATGCATACAGAAACAGAACAGCAACAGGATCATTAAACATACGCAAGACATGGATTGAATGTATTCTATATGAAGTTAAAATTGTTATAACTAATACATATGGAGGCACTTTCCGAGTTTTCTTATAAATTCTTAAAACTAAAGTTAATAACAATAGATAGATGAAAATGAATAAATATTGAGCTAGTTTTATATTGGTACCGCGGTTAGTGAGGAAATAGAATATAGAATAGATGTAGACGAAACCTGCAGGGTACACCAATGGGCCAGTATCACCACGAAGTTTACTGTAATCGAGGGTTCCATTTAGAAATCCTTCACATTCTTGCATATAAGCTTTCCAATCTATTTCAGTATAAGGCACTCTTTCCACTACCAGTATATTTATTATTAATTCAGCGATTAATATAAGGAAACAGGTGTACTTTTAAATCTCTGTACGGGCTGTGGAATGAATATGATAACAACTTATGTAAATGTTGCTCTAGAATTTTTCTAATTACATGCTCTATGTTGTTCTGTGTACATTGTAGCCACCCGGTTAGCTCGTAATGTCAAATATTTTAATTACATTTGTGATTGTACTACGACATATACAAAAACTATATAAAATCACTAGCTTTTGCCGCGACTCCGTCCGCGTGGAATAGTGACTTCAGGCAGATTTTTGGTTCTTCCCACATAGTTCCCGTTCTTGCGGGGTTATCGGAATGGTCGAGTTCCCGTAGAATTTTCAGGATAAAACTTGTTATTTTTTTATTCACAATGAAGTACTCTTAACCAACAATATATTTATTTGTTTATTTGAATAAAGATTAATATTATTATGTTGGTACAACTTAAACAAATTATTTCGACCACATTAGGTACCATAAAAAACGGTTTTTGTGAGTTAATCTTAAAAGATAGACATATACTGTCGCGGACTGTTTTTTAGATCATTAAAAGAGCTATTATTCTTTAATACATATTTTTTGTGTATCTTGAACCGTTTTCACGGCGCACGCTACGGAAGGCTTCAAAGATGAAATAATTTCTCCCGTTTTTTACACATTTACCACTATATCTTTGCTCCTATTGGTCGTAGCGTGATGTTATATAGCCCACAGCCTTCCTCGATAACTGGACTATCCAACACAAAAAGAATTATTCAATTCGAACCAGTAGTTTCGGAGATTAGCGCTTTCAAACAAACAAACTCTTCAGCTTTATAATATTAGTATAGATAGTCATTAAGATCTTGATTTGTTACGGGAATATTAGGCAGTGGTGAAATAATTTGTTTAAGTTGTATCAACATAATAATATTAATATTTATTCAAATAAACAAATAAATATGTTGTTGGTTAAGAGTACTTCATTGTGAATAAAAAATAACAAGTTTTATCCTGAAAATTCTACGGGAACTCGACCATTCCGACAAACCCCGCAAGAACGGGAACTATGTGGGAAGAACCAAAAATCTGCCGGAAGTCACTATTCCACGCGGACGGAGTCGCGGCAAAAGCTAGTCGTCCATATAACTCTCGTAACGAGTACCGCGATGCGTACGGGAGTAATAAAACCTTTTGATAGCAAGTTATTAGTTAGGATTACCCAAAAAGACATTCCGTTTATGCTATGTAAATATCGTAATCGTAACATAAGGGTGCATATATAAATAGGAATAGCTTTAAAAAAATCAACAGTCAACTTTCCTCAACATTTCTGACTAACGACTAACGTGAAGCAGTTACTGCAAAATGCATATTAGAATTTTCAGTATCTTTTTTATAGTTATAGTTTTATCAGTAGTAGTGAATGGAGACAGTGTAAAACGTAAGTATTTTTATATATTTTATGATATAAGTATAAAAATGTAAACCATTACGTGAAAATAAATATAACAAGATAATATAATAGCAGATGATAGAGAGATCTAAGACATTTGCGAGTATTCTTTGAAATAAAACTAAAATTTTCGAATTTATACGCGTTTAGGTACATTCTACCAACCCATTCAAACTGTGTCGCGGTTGCTGAAAAGTAACCGAAACGTCGGGACTTGAAAGTCAAAATAATTAAAAACGGGTACTAAATCCGATAATTTTAATTTCATTTCAATAATAGTTGATTTTCGAATACAAAATTTAAGATTTTTTTTTTGTGGCACTCAAAAATACATTAATATAATTTCTTCAATTAGCATCCAATGAGCTTGAAGAAAAGATTTCAGTACTGTTAACGAAATGGCGCGAAGGAGCTGTACAGACAAATCTTTTTAAACTTGCCTCTATTAAAACTCTAGATATCGATGGTATCGACCGTTTTTATGATAGCAATGGAATTAAGTAAGTATATTATTCATTTTTAATATATAAAACCGATTTTCACAGCGTATTAAAAATTAAAAAACTAAAACCTATTCAAGGAACGTTGTTTACGGATACGATTAAATGAAACACAAAATTTTCATATTTAAATATAGGTTACACGATATTTTTTTTTATTTGAGGCACTAAAAAAATAAATTTAATAAGAGCCTATAACATTTCACCTGTAAAGATATCTAACTCAATTTTTGGAATATCAATTTGTTTATCTGAATATTATTAATTTGAATGATTTCTCAACATTATGTAAAGAAAAATATTAACCGATGAATTTTTCTTAGTTGTAACGATTTAAATAAAGGCGGGTCAAGTTTTTAATCTGTATGTATGTGAACGTGTTTAAATGTTTACTTCTTTTAAGACGCGTTAGCCTGAAAATATATCGTTTATTGTATGTATAATATTGAATAATTCTATAATATACCGCTTAATATTTAATATGTGGATCCATAAGAGCAATGAGTTTTGAGTAACGACCGATATAAAAACAGGCTAGGCTAGATATTAATTTATATAACTCACAACCTACATTACGTTCTTAGTGTTCTAACTTCTATTTGTATCTTTTTTTTATAGAATTACGTTTAGTAGTGGCAAAATGCAGCTGACGGGACTCGATACGTTCTCTTTAGAGAAGATTACTGTATCGCAAAGTAAAGATAGTATGACATTGACGGCTCAAATCAGAGTACCCATACTGACACTGCATTCAGGTAATTAAATCATTATTTCCTGGACAGATTATATTACATATTAAATATTTTTTTAAACTTATTGCAGATAAGTATTCGCTAAAGGGAAGAGCATTTTATATCTATCCATTAAAAGGATCAGGAGAAATGACGTAAGTCTAATAGAAATCTAAAGATCTTTGCATTCAGGGTTTTTTTTTCTGTTAAAGTATGGGTTTTTGTTTTATAGAATTCAACTGAATGATGTTGTAGCTCTGCCGACAGTGCGATTTGTCCGTGTTGATGACTTTAGTTCCAAGATCGACCAACTTTCATTGGAGTATAACGTTACAGAAGTTAAGGTATGTATTATTAATATTTTTAAAATAATAAAGCTATCAAAAATTTAATTAAAATATTAAATCGTTAATTTATATTGGTATTACAAAATGAAGTCATTTTAAAGCTTTTTTTTTACATTTCTATACAATTTACCGTATTTTTTTTAATCATATTTTTTACTTTACAAATTTTCTATTGTAGGCTAATTTAGAGAAAAGCACTTTCTTAATCAATCAAATGCTGAATGCTGAAGGGGCAGCCATCCTGAATGACTTTCACGATGACATTGTCAACGCAACTTGGAATTATGCTGTTCCTCAAGCCAACGAATATCTGTCTAAAGTTAGCCTCAGTGATTTCATTAAAACAATATTAAATGTCAGCTAAAGTGCATCTGTCATTAAGGATACGAAATAAATATTTATGATGGAAAGAATTATTAGTTTTTATTATTATTATTACAAATATATTTTGCTCGCCAGACTTTCCAATTAACCTAGAATATAGGCTTTGAGTTGGGCAACAGTAAGCCCCTGAAGAGCTTTGTTTACTTCCTTCATCAATATGTGTGCGACGTAATTGTTCACGCGTCTCTTTATAAATTTAATTTCCGGCGAATTATCAAGGATTTTGGATTCGTTCAAGAAATTCAGAATATCTTGAATCAATTTCCTTCCGACACCCTCTAAAGACAACTGAAAGGAAAATATTGTATGATAACATAAATAAATATATTATGTCCTTAAAATATTCTAACGTACGTGAATATCGTCTGCGTGGAATTTTCCCTGCATAGCTTGCACCTGAAACACTTTCTTTCCTTCGTGATCCACCTCCTCAGCGCCTAAGGCGCCGACCACACTGATTCCCGTTACATTGAAGCTGTAGAATATAAGAACTTCTCAAACGTTACAGATTATATAAAGACTCAGGAATGAGTGCCGACTTTAATTTCTTTTTTTTTTACTCAAACTCACAACTGAGTAATTTTGCAAAGAAAAAAAAGACATGAGAGAACTTAAAAAATTTAAAACAGCGATAAAATTCAATAAATAATGTCCTAATACATTTTCATGTAGGGAAGTTAAAATAAAAGGATGTGTTTATGGTTAATCTATCAATAAATGAAGTAAGTAATAAGAAGATCAATGAAAATTTTGATAACAATTTTCTTTTCTCTGAACATAGAATAGAATATACTTTATTGTACACCACAAACAGTAAATTTTACAAGGAAAAAAAAATAATAAATTGAAATGTACAAAAAGGCGGTCTTATCGCTAAGTAGCGATTTCTGCCAGACAACCTTCGATTTGGGGAAATTGTGCAGCGAATAGGTAGGTGGTGCCTTATCCTTATATGTATATACACTAATACATATATAAATAGATACATACAATACATACATATATACATAAATATATATACTAATAAATATAAATGAACAATTAAACATATAAATATAAATGTATGTAATAATGTGCATATTTACACTTTAAAACGAAGAAAAACTTGGATTTATGAGATTTTTTTTTAATACTTTTGAAATATAATCTAAAGTACACTTCACAATTTTACTACAAAATTGGTACTCATGTAATGTTAATACGTTCTATTAACAGACAATTGTTTTTTTTCTATCAGATGGAACGTGATCGCGCTAAACTATTGCAACAAACATTTGCTGAGTTAAACAGCGCCTTTGCTGGTCACAACCGTCGCGCTCACAGCGCTCAGCCCCCGCTGGCTGTGAACCGTGTGAAGGTGACCTTCAGAGATGAACCCGGAGAGGGCAGCGGAGTCGCTCGATCATTTTACACCAGCGTCGCGGAGGTAAATATGTCAATACACCGCCTCAACTAACTTATAATACAAATATCATTATGAGATCTAACATTTTTTCTCATCTCGTCTGCCCACGACCACGGTTGCTGCAAATTAACCGAAACGTCAGGAGTATGTAGTTTTTAGAAATAATGAAATAACGCGATGTAATTCGAAACTATTAGTTTTATTTATACAAATGTCATTAAGGTATTTGTTTATCCCTTTTACAGGCTTTATTAGCGAATGAAAAGCTACCGCCTTTGGAGTCGACTACTGGTAGCGGCAGCAATAGTAGTACTACTAACGGTACACTCGGATCTTCCGGCACGGCTGTTAGCGGCGCTAGTAGTAACAGTGGCACAAGGTAAAAATGAAACCTCAATCGTAAATCGAATTTATGGGTCTAATATTTAGTTTCATATTTGGTCAGAAAATGAATAAAGTGTGGGGGCCCTGGGACTTTTCTCGTCCAAGCCTTAGAAATTTTTAATCAGTTATGAATTCAAATATTGTTTATGGTAGACACACGAGAAAATGGTTATTTTATTTACACCCAGATAACTTTAAATCATTTTTGTTATGAAATAAATCTGGAGAGAGAAACACGAAAGTCGGTTTAATGATTATAATATTGTTGTAACACAGCCGCAGCGGAGCCGGGCGTGCTCGTGCTAAGGATAACGCCCGCCGCGCACCAGGTCGACCCGCACCAAGACCTCCCGCCGCCCGGGAACCGAGACGAGTACTCAGTGTAGACGCACGACCATACTCACCGCAGGTATGTATCTGATATGTAATATGTGTAGTCAGTGGTGGCCTAGTGGTTAAAAGGTCCGCCTCTCATGCATGAGGGCGCGGGTTCGATCCTGGCCCGGGCAAGTACCAATGTGATTTTTCCGAATCATATGTACTTTCTAAGATTATTAAGACACCACTGATTAATGCTGATTCCCAAAAAGGGGTTGATGTCAGGCAGGCGGCCGGTCGTAAAACAAATAGCCAAATGTTATTCACAACATGGAAGGCATACCCTGGCTAAAGGCTGGGAAATTGCCAGGTAGAAGATATAATATGTGTACATTATTTATATACATTACATATATTTGGGATTTATCTAGTTTAAAAAAGTAAGCGATAACGCCCCTTTTGGCAGCTGCAGGCCTGAAGGGGGCGGTTAAAGACTCAAAAACAGGGCGGTTGTATAGAGGCCTGTAGGGTGATTGATAATTACATTTACCTGGAATAAGTTGTAGTTGTTCTTCAGTAAATATAAATCAGGTAACAAAAAAAATATCACAAAGTTGACAGTAGATGAATAAGTTTTAAAATCCTCGATCTAGTTTTTATATTTGTATTACAATGAAAAATGACTGTATTAATAATTTCCACATACAGGCTGCTCCTGGAACTGAAGGCGCTGGATACAGCGGAGATCGACCTGGAGGACACAACGAACATCTCACGTTACATCAAGCTCAACTCGGAGAACGACTTTACCCTAAAGTACGACCTGAATCTAAATTTTAAACCTTACAATATCAGAAATGTTTGCTACAATAATATAATTATTGACAATCGATCATCAGGTTCATTCCTTACATCCAACGTTTGCTGGCAAAATCACTGGCATGTTGCTGGAACTGACGCCAGCCCAGCTCCTTGTCCTCCTGGCAAGCGAAGACGCACTGCGGCAGAAAGTACGTGAGGCTATGGATCTCATAGTACTACATCCATCAGAAGCTATACTAGGTAATTAAACCACTTGTATATCTCGATTTTATTTTGCGGAATTATTTTGTTTTTCGGCTTTTTATTTCATAATCAGGGATCGAAATTATATGAAACTCGAATGAAGCTTGTACAACATAAATATATCTCAGAGAGAACTTGCAATAGTTGACATTCCGATCCCTGGTTCACATTAAAATGGTTGTCTTCACATAGATCTGGACGTGTTCTCGCTCTCAGAGCGCGGTGGTGGCGCGGGAGCGGGGGCGGCGGCTGGCGCGACCACGGCTGCCTCCGACGACGCTGCCCCACTGTTCTACTCACCCGGCAAGCGAGGGTACTACTCGCCGAGACAGGGACGCGCCACGCTTGAACGGATCAACGCCTTCAGAAATGTTGGCAGGTTAGCATGAACATCCTATAAGTTCTAGCTTGCTGTTATGTTAAAATAGTAGTTTTTTTATATACAGTCATACTCCGCTTAACGCGACCCTGTTATGCGCGGTTTCACTATAACGCGATTTTCAAAAATTTATTCAGGTTCGGACATTGCAAAGTATAGACAATAATGATGACCGTGTCTTGAACGTGTGTCAAACGATTAAAAACAGTGGTTGGTGTTATGAACGTATTTTACGAAAACGTAAACAAAACGCTACCCAAAAGATAATACATGTATTTTTTTAGTAAAAAATAAGGGGTACCTATGTATTGTATAGTGTTCTTAGAATTAAAGTGATAGATTAAAATAATTTTTATATTTGTCTATTAAATTTTGACTAAGTTTAATCATAAACCTCGATATACGCGAATTTCAGTTAACGCGATTTTCTTCGGAACGTATCCCTCGCGTAAAGCGGGGTATTACTGTACATTTTGAATGTATACCCCGATTGACTTAGTCGGCCTCGCTCCGTATTATGATTAGAATCCTTTAAATTTAGAAACCTTTACTTGTTTTAAATATTTAATGACATTTGTTATTACTTTTATTTTCGTCTGCTACATAATATTGTTTTATTTTTCAGGATTATCGGTTTATGCTTGTTACAAAATGAACTCTGCCCGATGTTTTTAAATCGTCATGTATTGAAGTACATACTGGGTAGACCCGTCAGATTTCACGATCTGGCATTCTTCGATCCCGTCGTCTATGAGAGCCTTCGTCAGCTGGTCGTCGATGCTGAAACTGGCGACTCGCATTCACTGTTTGCAGCTCTTGATCTCAACTTTAGGTATATTACAAGCAAAACATTGCCCCTTTTGAAAATCAAAATTATTTGCCCATTTTATTTATGTAATTCTAAACCATTATATTTTTCAATTTACAGTTTGGAAATGTGTGAAGAAGAAGGTGGTGGCTGCGTCGAACTGGTGCCTGGCGGTCGGGAAATTGAAGTTACGGCTCTCAATGTGTATGACTATGTACGAAAATATGCCCAACACCGCATGCTATTATCACAGGAAAAAGCTCTTGAGGTATGTTTACATTATTGATTACGTTTCTTTGAGGCGTCACATCGTGAATTCGTGTCTATAACTCTATATTTCCCTTACAGGCAATGCGTGTTGGTGTACTAGACGTGCTTCCTGAATCTGCCCTAGAAGGCCTAACGGCTGAAGATTTACGACTTCTATTAAACGGTGTAGGAGATATAAATGTGACGGCACTAGTATCATACACGAGCTTCAACGATGAAAGCGGTGAACCTCCGGAACGACTTGCTCGTTTTAAACGATGGCTTTGGGCTATCGTTGATAAGATGACGCATTTAGAAAGACAAGATTTAGTAAGTTTTGCGTGGTGCTTAGTATTTTTAAGACTTGTTGGTACTTAATAATAATGATTGTTATATTCAAAGGTATATTTCTGGACCGGGTCTCCAGCGCTTCCGGCGTCAGAAGAAGGCTTCCAGCCCATGCCGTCTGTGACCATCCGACCAGCCGACGACGCTCACCTCCCCACCGCTAATACCTGCATCTCTCGACTCTACATACCTCTGTACTCCTCGCGGCACGTTCTCAAACATAAATTATTACTCGCTATCAAAACTAAAAACTTCGGCTTTGTGTAAATGTTTATTTGTAATTTCGTTATGATTCGTTTAAAAAACAGTCCCGTGAGACTGCTGTTGTATTCTATCCCTGTTGGTTTTATGATACTATACATTTGTATTTATAGAGCGCCATAGACCTACGTCAAATGTTAGCACTACTAGTACATACATAATAGTATGATTTGTATATCTTTGACAAATATGACTGAAAAATATATGACTGGGGTTATTTGACTCTTATTATATTTATGAAACAATTATTGTCCACTTTCTAAATTAGGCCTCCATTTATTGGACAGCACAAGTGCATAGTCAACTAAAGAAATGAATAGACTTGTTAAGACATTAACATAATTCTAGAATTAACTAGGACTTAAAATTGTTTCAGTTGTATGATATAACCTCATGTGAACTAATGTTCGCGCCCATAATACAGTGTTTTTAAAATTAGCTTGTTTAGTCAAATTGTGACTAACATATTTTATCGATGTGAGATAAGAAATCGTCATTATATTTACTTTATAAAAGTTTTTGGCAATAGCTAATGTATTGTTTTCTTTTTTCTGAAGTAAATTTCTTTACAGATCTTTAATCTTTTGTTTGAATACAAACTAAGTAAGTGCATTTCTCTCCTTTTATTTATATTGCCTATAAGATGAGTAAAGGTTTTCTCTTGCAAGCTTGATGAGTATATGTCTTGGTATTATTGCAATAACAGTTTTTTGGTCATTTATATGATGCTTTCAGTTTATCTGTCATCAATCAAGTTATTTTAAATGACTTCAGTATTTTAATGTGTACATGTAGCCACCCGGTTAGCTCGTAATGTCAAATATTTTAATTACATTCGTGATTGTACTACGACATATACAAAAACTATATAAAATCATAGTCATTAAGATCTTGATTTGTTACGGGAATATTAGGCAGTGGTGATTGATTCCATTTATAGTGGACTTTGTGATAAAGGAGGAAATGTTATGCCTCTATCTCTAAATTTAAGATTCTAATTAGATTTCCCTTTGATTAGTTGTATTTAATAAGGTTCATAATAAATATTTCTCAAAACGCTTAATTAATAATCTTTTATTTTATCTATACTTGAGTATATTCAGAATGAATTATTTGAAACTGCTTATAAATTGTTCAGTCCAATAACAAATGATGATACAGTAAATTAAGGATATTTTTTTAACTAAGTACCCAATCAATAATATGTAATTAATAAAATCGTATATAAAAAAAATAATAAGACCACTTCAGTAATAAACTTTAATAAACATTTGACAACATTGCATTTTAAAACTAATATAAATTTATTGTTACATATTTATGTTAGTTTTGATGTAATGTTTAATTCTGTAGCCATTTTCTTATAAACTCCATACAATATACTGATATGACATACATGTAGAAGGGCACTTGTGAGATCTGTACTAGGATAAGTATTCCAACATAGTTCTATTAATGCCAGTATTAAGAATCTAACAATAACGGAATAATTGGTACACCATAATAAATAAGGTAAAGTATGAAAATACCATGAATAGAATTGATAATGGAGACTTCTAGCACATACAATACCTATAAAATTAACCAAAAACATTGGAAGAATAAACAGTTGAGATAAGATATCAAAATTAATACTAAAATGTTTTTCCTTTTCATGCTCTTTTATCGCTTTATCTGGTTTGCTTTTTTGTGATGAATTTTTAAGCATAGCTTCAAAAGAATTAAGGAACGCTTCTTGTTCTTTAGAGAGTGTCTCATCAGGTTGATTCAAATTATTTTTAACATCTTTTCTCAACTTTGCTCTTTTCTTATTTTCTCTGTTTTTAGCATCAATTTGGGGCTGTACTTGTCTTTGTACATACTTCAATCGGCAATAACTTTGAAAATATTTTATACACATTGGTAAACATAAAATTAAAAGCATTATGTGAATACCTAACAATGTTAAATGAAAGAATTTACTCTCAAATGTTTTAATGTCTAAAAATCTATAGTTAACAGTCCAAGTGTGGTTAAACACTCTACCCAGGTCAAAACTACCCTTAATGTATGCTATAGGAGCTACTAGTAAAAATGGCATCCCTAACACTAATTGTGTTACTCCACACAGTAGTAACTGCTTTATTGTTCCTTTTAGCCCTAGGTTTACTAGATAAAAGAAAAATAGTGCTGGAGCATAAAGAAGTATATTCATCTTTATAGAAACTGCTAAACTATAAAAGAGACTGCCTAAATACCATTTCGAATCTAAAAAGAAATTAAGGGATGCATACAGAAATAGAACAGCAACAGGATCGTTAAACATACGCAAGACATGGATTGAATGTATTCTATATGAAGTTAAAATTGTTATAACTAATACATATGGAGGCACTTTCCGAGTTTTCTTATAAATTCTTAAAACTAAAGTTAATAACAATAGATAGATGAAAATGAATAAATATTGAGCTAGTTTTATATTGGTACCACGGTTAGTGAGGAAATAGAATATAGAATAGATGTAGACGAAACCTGCAGGGTACACCAATGGACCAGTATCACCACGAAGTTTACTATAATCGAGGGTTCCATTTAGAAATCCTTCACATTCTTGCATATAAGCTTTCCAATCTATTTCAGTATAAGGCACTCTTTCCACTACCAGTATATTTAATATTAATTCAGCGATTAATATAAGGAAACAAGCTATGTGTAACTGAGACGGGTTTACTATAATTCCTTTCAAATAATTCCATGTAAGCACTTTCTTCAGGTCGTTGTAGACTTCTCGAAGTTTATTTCGATTGACCATTTTTGTATGAACGCGATCTCAATGCAATTCTTTATATATTTTATTCAATGATTCTATAGTAAGTCAGAAGGTATGAGTCTATTTTCGACCTAATTTACAAGTCCCCAGATTTTGAGCGCATTATATTAGCTTTGGTTAATTTAGCGGCTGCTTTGGTTTTTCTATTTATGTTCACGTTCACGTTGACATTTTGCTTGACATCTGAGACCTAGAATTTGAAAGTGACGTTTGCACATGTTTGCTGCATCAGCAGACAGCAACCACTGTCTAAATTCTAGTCTCCTTTGATTTAACAGTTTAATTTCCAACTGATATTATTTCAAAACATTTATTACATACTTAATAAATATATACTTTTTAAAAGGTGAATTATAATTTCTATACCTACTGATAAAACTGATGTAAAAGTAATACAATTTATAATATTTTTTGAACTATTATAGGAATATACTTTTAAATCTCTGAACGGACTGTGGAATGAATATGATAACAACTTTTGTAAATGTTGCTCTAGGATTTTTCTAATTACATGCTCTATGTTGTTCTCTATTCGATATTCTGTTGGAAAGAAACACAAAATAATGTTTTGAAAGTAATAAAATCCCAGGCTTACTTCGATTAATCCATTTTATTTTGAGTTCAAACAGATATGATATTCATATTTTGCCAAAAGATTCCTATTTTCATACCTAATTAAGTATAAAAATAGTTTTTTTTTCTGTATATTTGAAAATATTATCATTGCTTAATTTATAAAATTTGATCTATGGTTTTTGAATAATAATGAAATAATATGAAAAATTTTTAAATTACTCATGATGAATACGGAAGGAATGAAACTATATTCACAGGAAAGATATCACGCAAAAAATGCGTTTAACAGCACTCATATAGAGATTAGTAGAAAGATTCGCAGAAACCTATGTAATCTATATGAATACTGTGCTTAGCCTTGACCTTCGTTCCTGAAAGATTTTGGAATTATTTAAACTTACTTTGGTAGCTCCAGTGACACATTCATATATGTATGCACTAAACATATATTATTCTCGCGAATACAGAGTTAAATTACCTTTAATAAGATGAGTAATCAGGTCAACCGAAACGGGCGTCTGCTTGTATATCAAACAGTTAAGACTAAAATTCTTTGTCATGTTGTTATTTATCTTGATGTTATTAAAGACAGCTATTCAGTCTTATTACCACAATTACCCTTGACCAGATATTGGACAGGTTTGTTTAATTTATAAAATCTTTGATAAAACCGAGTTTGTAAATGGTAAAACATTTTATCATCGTCCATATAACTCTTGTCACGAGTACCGCGATGCGTACGGGAGTAATAAAACCTTTTGATAGCAAGTTATTATTACGTGTGGCAGGATTACCGAAAAGGACATTCCGTTTATGCTATGTAAATATCGTAATCGTAACATAATGGTGCATATATAAATAGGAATAGCTTTAAAAGTACGGCTTTCCTCAACATTTCTGACTAACGACTAACGTGAAGCAGTTACTGCAAAATGCATTTTAGAATTTTCAGTATCTTTTTTATAGTTATAGTTTTATCACTAGTAGTGAATGGAGACAGTGTAAAACGTAAGTATTTTTATATATTTTATGAAGATATTTATGATATACGTATAAAAATTTAAACCATTACGTGAAAACAAATATAACAAGATAATATAATAGCAGATGATAGTGAGATCTAAGACATTTGCGAGTATTCGTTGAAATAAAACTAAAATTTTCGAATTTATACGCGTTTAGCTACATTCTACCAACCCATTCAAACTGTGTCGCGGTTGCTGAAAAGTAACCGAAACGTCGGAACTTGAAAGTCAAAATAATTAAAAACGGGTACTAAATCCGATAATTTTAATTTCATTTCAATAATAGTCGATTTTCGAATACAAAATTTAAGGTTTTTTTGTGGCACTCAAAAATAAATTAATATTATTTCTTTAATTAGCATCCAATGAGCTTGAAGAAAAGGTTTCAGTACTGTTAACGAAATGGCGCGAAGGAGCTGTACAGACAAATCTTTTTAAACTTCCCTCTATTAAAACTCTAGATATCGATGGTATCGACGGTTTTTATGATGGAAATGGAATTAAGTAAGTTTATTATTCATTTTTAATAAAAACCGTTTTTCACAGCGTACAAAAAATAAAAAAAAATAAAATCTATACAAGTATCGATGTTTTCGATACGATTAAATGAAATATGTATTAGAATATTCGTGTTTAAATTTAAAAGGCTTTAAAGAAAGTTATTTACACATTTAACGTGTAAGGATATCTAACTCAATGTTTGGAAAAGTATAATTTTATGGATATATGGATACATAAGAGTAATGAGTTTTGAATAAGGATCGATACAAAAACAGGCTAGATAGTTTATATAACTCACAACCTACATTATGTTTTTAGTTCTCTATTTTTCATATTTTTTTACAGAATGACGTTTAGCATCGGCAAAATGCAGCTGACAGGACTCGATACGTTCTCTTTAGAGAAGATTACTGTATCGCAAAGTAAAGATAGTATGACATTGACGGCTCAAATCAGAGTACCCATACTGACACTACATTCAGGTAATTAAATAGTTATTTCCTGGACAGATTATATTACATATATTATCTAACATATTAAATATTTTTTTAAACTTATTGCAGATAAGTATTCGCTTAAGGGAAGCGCATATTATTTCTATCCAATAAAAGGATCAGGAGGAATGACGTAAGTTTAAAACAAATTTTTGTTTGCATTCAGGGTTTGTTTCCTTTTCATATTAAAGTGTGACTTTTCCTTTTGTAGAATTCAACTGAAGGATGTTGTAGCTCTGTCGACAGTGCGATTTGTCCGTGTTGATGATTTTAGTTCCAAGATCGATCAACTTTCATTGGAGTATAACGTTAAAAAAGTTAAGGTAGGTATTATTAATATTTTTAAAATAATAAAGCTATTAAAAATTTAATTAAAATATTAAATTGTTAATTCATATTGGTATTACAAAATGTACTTTATTTTAAAGATTTTTCTTTACATTTCTGTACAATTTACCGTATTTTTTTTTAAATCATATTTTTACTTTACAAAATTTCTATTGTAGGCTAATTTAGAGAAAAGCACTTTCTTAATCAACCAAGTGCTGAATGCTGAAGGGGCAGCGATCTTGAATGGCTTTCACGATGACATTGTCAACGGAACTTGGAATTATGCTGTTCCTCAAGCTAACGAATATCTGTCTAAAGTTAGCCTCAGTGATTTTATTAAAACAATATTAAATGTCAGCCAAAGTGCATCTGTCATTAAGGATAGGAAATAAATATTTATGATGGAAAGAATTCTTTGTTTATTATTATTATTGCTAATATATTTTGCTCGCCAGATTTTCTAATTAACCTAGAATATAGGCTTTGAGTTGGGCGACAGTAAACCCCTCAAGAGCTTTGTTTACTTTCGTCATCAATATGTGTGCGACGTAATTGTTCACGCGTCTCTTTATAAATTTAACTTCCGGCGAATTATCAAGGATTTTGGATTCGTTCAAGAAATTCAGAATATCTTGAATCAATTTCCTTCCGACACCCTCTAAAGACAACTGAAAGGAAAATATTGTATGATAACATAAATAAATATGTTATGTCCTAAAAATATTCTAACGTACGTGAATATCGTCTGCGTGGAATTTTCCCTGCATCGCTTGCACCTGAAACACTTTCTTTCCTTCGTGATCCACCTCTTCAGTGCCTAAGGCGCCGACCACACTTATTCCCGTTACATTGAAGCTGTAGAATAAAAGAACTTCTCAAACTTTACAGATTATATAAAGACTCAGGAATAAGTGCCGACTTTAATTTCTTTTTTTTTTACTCAAACTCACAACTGAGTAATTTTGCAAAGAAAAAAAAACATGAGAGAACTTAAAAAATTTAAAACAGTGATAAAATTCAATAAATAATGTCCTAATACATTTTCATGTGGGGAAGTTAAAATAAAAGGATGGATTTACGATTATATTTCAATTAATGAAGTAAGTAATAAGAAGAACAAGGAAAATTTAGATAACAATATTCTTTTCTCTGAACATGTGCATATTTACACTTTAAAACGAAGAAAATTGTGAATAGTCTTGTATTGTATTTTTATTGTGCATTTTAAGTCATGATATAACTTTTGACTCTAAACTGACTCATAACAACGATATTATTATTTAGGTATTTCCTCAGGCCATGTATTATATACCTACAAGAAATTGATCATGTTTCCAGCAATTAACCATAGGTAGAAAATCTTAATTACATTAATTAATATAAGCTTTTGAATTTATTAATTACTTTACTTTGAGATCCAGTCGTACGGGAAGGATACCTCCTAAATATAAATCAAAGTGGAATGAAACTGAAAAAAAAAAACATTTCAATAATTAAAAAATGCAATAGAAATTGCAAAGTATTTAATGTTTATAAAATTATTTGTGTAACGTTTGGAAAATTTTAAAATGTTGGCGATTCTTATTTAAGATAGAATCTGAAATGGACCTTAGTGTTGACATTTAATTCCTAATATTTCGGAGAGTAATTTATAATTTGCTATAACTTATTTATTAAGAAATCCCTTTTAATGAAAAGCAAAACCAAAAAGCTATACCATGACCATGGAGCGATGGAATTATGAAGTCGACATCAGTTCTCAACGTGTTCATGCGAAGTTGTAAGGAATTTATTTTGAATGCTTTAGCTCCTTCCACTTTTACTTCTTGTATTTTCATTTGTCCTCTGAAAAAAAACCTTTTAAATTTAGTACACTGTACAGTGGATCTGATAATTCTCATACGTCACAATTGAAGTGTATGTATATTGTATATACTTACCATGGACTTTATGAAAATATCGTGTCCCAAAGCCTATCAATCATTTTTATATATTACATACTTATAAGGACTAAATAGATTTTAATTTATTGTTTTGACATACTTACGTTATAAGTTTGGAATCTTTGTTGGTAAATCGGAGAGGTTTTAAATCCTTATCCTCATAAGGGTCGAGGGGTGGAATCGTCATTATTCCTGTTGCGAACAAGCCGCGCATACTCTCGAGCACATGAAGAGCGTCGCTGCTGGCTTTTTTATCCAAATCCGTCATTTCAGTAATATCCGGAACGTGGCCGATGTCAACTCGCCCGCCGTAAGCACCCAAATTGACGTCATTTTGGTGAACTGTTAATTTTAACAAAATTCATCTATTTTACAATCATAACTTAGGAATATTCTTAGCAATAACTTTTGTTGTATTTGAGGTTTTTTTTTCATATTTCTTAAGCATCTTTAATGTCTGTCGTGTATATTAAATTTCTTACGTATATTCAATAAAGTGTCAACAACTGCAGATTTCGTTACCGCGACAATACAGGCAAAAACGAATATACGGTGAAACATGTTTGTAATTTTAACATTAAATTAGTAATTGAAATATTATGTATACAACTTTTTATATAAAAATACATTCTAAACAAAGGTGTCCTGCAAACGATTTCGATACAAAAAAGTAAAGATTGTTTCTACCATTACGATTATAACCTTATAGGTACGTAAATATGGACACGGATGATTTCGTTCTTATAAGGTTTTTCAGGAAAACTATCAAAGGATATCATAATGATAGGAAGCTAAAATTATAACAATGTTTAGTTTTAAACCAGTCTCATCTTAAGTCGTTAAACTCACATAAAGACTAATTAGGTATATGACACAAAAAAAAGTTTCATATTAAAAACAAGTTATTTATGTCTGAGTGGGATGTTCTTTATTTGTCTATATTTGCTCTTTTTAATCTTTTTGTTCGCTTGAAAACAATTGGGTTTTATTTTAGACTCCAGAAAATTAAAAAAATATATTATATTTTTAGGTTTTTTTCTTCAGAGAGATCAGAATATTGGTCTGCGGTTTACCTATATCTATTAGTTACACACGAAGACTAATTTGTATCAAATAAAACGTTTAAAGCAGAACAGTCATTTAAATCTGCAACGTTATTAATAACCATACTAAATATTTAAATTAGTACAGCAATATAATAGTTATTTAAAATGTAATAAATCACTACTACAGTTTTTTTCTTACTTCTACTCATGAATTTTTTTTTATTCATAATTATTTAAGGCCTTACTCCTTAGCTTTAGAGCTGCTCCAGAAAGGGCGAATTCTACTACTGCGACTTACTGAGACTGGCCATTAACTATTTGCTTACCTATATTATTGTCACATAAGCATAAAAAAATTATCTCTAATATATAGGAAACAAAAATGCATCTTCCATTTATTTATCTAAAAAAGGGCAAATCCGTATGTCAACCATAAAAATTTGTTAAAATCCTCATATTGGTTAAGAATTAAGTAGTATGTTTGAATGTTTCTTCTTTCTATATTTTTCTGATCGGGAAATTATTAATAATAATTTATTTCACTGGGTACTTTGTGATATACATACGACTATATTATGATACGACTATATCTAAACAACATTAACTATATAATTAATTCTACTTCTTCGCTCACGTTTCATTAATTGCTTTAATTGGCGTATTAAATATCAAGTTAAATAGTAATCAAATATGTTCATACGGTAATTGAGTAATAAAGTAATTAATTTTTATTCAAATATCAAAATTCAAATAAATCTATTTCAAGAATCTTTCTTTTTTTTTTGTTTGTGTGATATCCATACTAGGTCTTCATCGCTGCTATTAATGTATAAATTCTAGTTACATGTTTCCTGTTACTCCTAAGATATATATTACATAATAGTACACAAAGATGGACTAGGTAATTTAAATTTATTTATCTACAAATTATTCTGAGCTTAAAGGCGTAGAATTTAGTTTTGAGTCCACTTGTCTGTGGACTGTGTATTTTATTATGACGCTATTATTATAACTTGAGTCGAAGCCTAAAGATTTTTGATGACTTAATATTTGATTATTAAAGCACCCGATTTTAAGTTTTTCTTAAAATTAGAGGTCGTCCCTATATACAGCGACATGTGTATACAGGGTGACTGGTGAATTACTATCAATGCATACAATATTCAAAATTATAATTCATTTAACAAATATAAACGATGACATTTTCAAAGTATTCCACAATTCCAGTGTGAATGAAGCCATTTACATACCTTACGCATTTGACGTCAGTTTATCATATTGACACTTGAATTTTGACAATAAGTTCATAAAAGAGACAGATTTACTTACTAGATCCAGCTTGTTTATAAAAATAAGGAACTAATTTTGTAGTATATTTAAAAATAAATGAATCATTCCTATTTATTAACAGTTGTTTAATAATAAGTGGTCTAAGATGGCTGGAAACTTTTGGCAAAGTTCTCACCATCAACAATGGATTTTAGACAAACAAGATCTCATACGAGATCGCCAGCACGATTTAGCTAAATTGACGGAAGAGGAATATCAAAAAATATTCAATTTCTTTGCTAGCATAATACAAGTACTAGGCGAACAGTTAAAATTGCGTCAGCAAGTAATAGCGACCGCTACTGTTTACTTTAAAAGATTCTATGCAAGAAATTCATTGAAATGCATAGATCCGTTGCTTCTAGCTCCTACCTGCGTTTTTCTGGCATCAAAAGTAGAAGAATTTGGTGTTATTTCTAATTCAAGATTAATAACAACATGTCAAACAGTTATTAAGAATAAGTTCAGTTATGCTTATGGCCAGCAGGAATTTCCTTACAGAACTAATCATATTTTAGAGTGTGAATTCTATTTACTGGAGAACTTAGACTGTTGTCTGATTGTGTATCAACCATACAGACCCCTGTTACTCTTTGTTCAAGACATTGGCCAAGATGATCAACTTCTTACCTATGCTTGGAGGATTGTTAATGATTCTTTACGAACTGATGTTAGCTTACTTTATCCCCCCTATCAGGTAAACATTAATTAAGATTTATAATAAATAATAACATTGTTGGAGGTTTTTACAAATGTTTATAGGTTAGTTTTTATTACTCACTTTTAACCAAATCATCTCAGACTTTTGTCCAATATTAATGGCCGCATCATATTTTTTGTGTTTGCTCCATGTTATTGTAATGAAAAGACAATGCCTAAATTTTGTTTTATAATATAAAAATAGTAAGGAATTCATAATTTTATTCCTTGAGTATAAGAATAATAAGTATATGATAATAAGAATGATGGTTTATAAGGTACTTAAGTTCCAAAATTTGTTTTCCAGATTGCGATAGGAGCACTTCATATAGCATGTGTAATGCTAGGCAAGGAAAATTTAAAGCCTTGGTTTGCCGAATTAAATGTTGACATGGACAAGGTATTGAAATATACCAATTAAATCAATATTAGTTGCATTCAATGTATTAATTTTTTACCTCTTTTACAGATCCAAGAAATAGTAAGACTAATTATCAACTTATATGAAATGTGGAAAAGCTATGACGAAAAGAAAGAAATCCAGGGCCTTCTAGGAAAAATGCCAAAACCTAGTCCAGCACCTCAAAGATAATAATTAATGAACTTTTATAAAAACAAAAAAATGTTTATAAATAATTTTATAAAAGACTACACTATACATATATATTATTTATTTAACCTTTATAACAAGTATTTAGATATCAGTGGTGTCATGTTCGAGTATGGCCTATTGTTATGTGGTGGAATTACAGAAGCCACTCTAGACTCATGAAGAGGTGGGAATCTTTTGCTCTTAGAACTACCTCACAAAGGGATAATGAACTGACCATAAGACTTAAGTCGATCAATATAATTGCATTAGTACAAATATAATAATAAAAGTAAAGACTTTGTAACTTAGATGTCTAGTTTATTCCAACTCCTTTACATACTAAGTCAATTGTATCTGAATACTAGCTCTTTCTATCAATCAGATATGTTTTAACATTAAAAATGGAAATTTATATTCTGGAAATCATAGGTTCGAATTATAATTTAAATTGACGAATTATTACTTCTACTATCTATAAGTTCTAGTCAAACTAAATAGAATTGACGTATTATCCTTCTATTATCTATAATATGTTCTATTAAAAATAAATGCGACCTAGTTTTGTATTGCCTGGTTGACGCACTTAGTAGATTACACTTAAAGAAACAAGCTCTAATATAATTTACTGTGATTTTTACCCTACAAGTATATGGAATCATTGTTTTTTGAAATGATAAAGTTTGTTCGTATAACGGACTATAAATGAAAAATTACAAAATTTTAAGTTCAATTTATTGATGATGCTATCTTGTTATATTTAAATATGTTATAAATGTATTGCAAATAAAAGTACTTGTTCTAAGTCATCGGAATTTCAAATAAGTATCTCCCGAATTTGTCATTTATAACCATCTTATCATTTCAACCTTTTTATTGAACCCATTGATAACATCGTGAGGAAACCTGGACTTATAATTTCCAGTTATATGTTTGAAATCACCAACCCGACTTGAGCAAGCGTGATGATTATTGCTGAAATCTTCTCTACGTGAGAAGAGGCCTTTGCTTAGCAGTGGACTCTAATAGGTTGATGATGGATTCAACTTATGATTATCATTAGGTATAATGATAATCATAAGTTGAGCGATTTAAAAATAAAACTAGAAAACAATATTAAAGTTGAAAAGTCCAATAAGTATAGTATCTGAAATTAATATCTAAACCACAAAATCTTAGGAAATAGTATGAGGATGTTCATTACTTGCTCTTTTAAACATCAAGTTTTTTAGGAAAATGTAAAATCCCTACTAATATTATAAATGCGAAAGTAACTCTGTCTGTCTGTCTGTTACGATTTTACGCCTAAACCACTGAACTTATTTTAATGAAATTTGGTACAGAGATAGAGTTTACCTTGAGAAAGAACATAGGATAGTTTTTTTTATTTTTTTATTTATTTATTGGGAAACAAACAGCTTATACAACATCATTATAGTTTTCACATATTAAAATAATTACATAAGCCAACAAAGTTTCCACTTTTGCAGTTTCATGGAGTGAACATAAAAAAAAATACTTATAATTATAAGAATTTAAACATTTTACAATTCAAAGTGAATTTCAGTATAAAAAAGAAAAACAAACATATTAATGTAATAACTATATGAGCTTTTTCAAAACACGAGAATACTTTAAAAAACTGTCATTAAAAATATCAACACAGCTAAACAATGCGTTATAGTTAGTACACGCTCTTACGAGAAAACGATTTTTTGCTTAATTTCTTTTACATAATGGGACAGAGAAGATATGTTTACATCGTATGGAAGAATTAGAACACTTAAAAAATATGTTATTTAATAAATATGTTGAGTCTATAAGTTTTTTTTATCCCAGACTTTTGAAAAGTTCTGTTGGAAACGCGATATAACCGAACTCCACGCGGGCGAAGCTGCGGGCGGAAAGCTAGTTCAATATAATCAACTGCAGGTTAAAGTGTTGGGAAAGGATATTCAGAAGTCGCAGTTGAATTCTGCTCTTTTTAATATACCTACCTATTTTCAGACTCAGTATACCTTCTATATTTGTATTTTAATTGATACGAATTCCTGGTTTCTTTTTCTAAAAAGAAAACATTGATGAAATAGAAAAAATACTTGTGTACATATACCTACATATTATGTAATATTAATCAGCTAAAATAATGAAATATATTAAATACCTAATGAATACGAACTTCTTAGTAAACGGATGAAATTCAAACGTTTACCCGTTAGGTAAGTACATTCATAATTGTGTATTGTATGAAGTGATACTTTCATAACATTTGGTTCCTATTCCTATCAAAATATTGTTACTTTCGGCTTGGATTACAATACGGTGTTCCTCATTTTTAAAGAATCTAATACAAAGATTAAAATGTGTAAGAAAAAATGAAATACTCAATAAAATATACATAGAAGGAAATTTCGTTTTGGGAAGGACGATATATCACAATTTTCATCTTAGAACTATTTAAGCAAAAAAATAAGCAGTATCTCGGGTGGCTAGTTATAAAGAAAAAAGAATACTTACGATATTTTAACTACCAATTCAAAAATATAAAATTTGTATTTGTTCCTCTACTATCTGGTCACCCTATTCAGTTTGAACAGAGTTTGGGTATTTAAGGAACCTGTTCAAACACAAGTTCACAGTTGAGAACTGCTGATTTCAACATGGTATCGATCAGGGAATTGATCTTCATTTGCTGTTTCGTATTCGGCCTATCTTTTGGTCAGGTGGTTCAAATGTACGTATTAAAATAATATTATTGTTTGTATTTTTAATAAAATACGTACTGCAATATATACCAATATATTTTTTTACTCAGCACCACACCTGTAGACGTTGGTGAAAAGGGTAACTGTACTTGTGGAGGATTCCCTTCATCCACGATAGATGGAACAGTCGAGCCGCTTCTTTCTCAGGCTCCAGGCATAGGCGTTAAGTGCGATGACTCCGGCGATGGTATCTGCAAGAGTCTTTGTGTTGCATTAGCCACCGCTGCAGAAGCTAGGGGACCAGAAATTTTGTGTGCGAGACTCAAAGACGCTAATGAGCTGCAGGTACATATTTCCCATCATTGTATCTTTATACAGACAGAAAATCGTTCCTTAGACTTTACATAAAAGCAATTTTTCCCCTCAATATCTGAGATAAGCAACGTCAATGATTTTAATACTACTTCATATTGAAAGCAAAATCCATATGTTGAAAGTAAGTATTATACATATGTAATTTTTAAATAACAAATCCATTTTCTGTACAAATTCAATACACATAAGTATTTTCATACAAAATATATGTTATTGATCCATAATGTAAATGTATTTATATATTTTACAGTTGTCAGCATTTTATAAGATATGCGATAGGCCGTGGACCTACGCTGGTATTTCGGCACAAGGAGCCCTTTGCTGTGAGAACGGAAATGTCAAAGTTTGTCCTTCAGTCGAAAATGCTACCGCTTCCCCTGAAAAGAAGCTGGAGTAAAATGATTACAATATTAAATGAGTTCTGTAATGAATTTCAATTAAATCGATGTACTTAATTAAGTTTTGTGTTATTTTGATACTTTATTACGAAAGGCTTAATTAATACATATGTAAAAAGAGGTTCAAATAAAAAAATAAAATAAATCAAGTATTTATTTACAATTTCCGCACGATAGCCAATACATGTGTGTTTAAATTTGTACATTTCCGCCATAAGTAAAAAAATATAAAGCATATTATTACATTTCAGGTCGTATTGAATTATTTAAGTAGACACTTTGCTAATGCAATTATTATTGATTATAAAATTTTAAAAGACTTCGAAGAGAGATTTTATATTGTACTCTCAGTTTTAACACCGATATCTTGAGTATATAATTTATTCATTAAAAGTTTTTGTCTATTAATTGCTTAGTAATGAAAATTGTCGTTATTTGAAAAAAAAAACAGTTATCAGAACAATGAGTAAAGTTATAACTGTCAATTATTCTTTGAACTCAACCTGTTTGTTTGGAATATATTTTAAAACATGACATTCCACATTCGAAATTAAATAACCTTTTAGTTATTATTAAAATAAAATTATAATATCGATTTAAGAACAGTTGCTGTTCAATGAATGATTTGTTTCATACTTTTTCATGCATAATTTGTGACTATCTGCCACCTTTTTATTTCATTCTCGTGGCAAGGTATAAAAAAAACAAGTTCACTTAAATTATGCATAGAACACATAGTGTCCATATTAAAAGTTGGTTCACATTTTACTGAATATACAATTGTTACAAGAACTTGGCTTCACCGCTTGAGAATCTGTTGTTGAGGTCTTGTGCTTTCTTGATGATGGACTTCTTCTGTGCTTCATCGAACCTGTTCACTTGCAGGTCCAGGTCACGGCTGAATGGCCGGCGTTCTTTCTTTTCATCGTCCTTTTCATCCTTCTGTAACAAATATTTTTTTAAATAATACATATATAATATATTATAAGTATTGATTGATTTCACCATACAAAAATTAAACCAAATTTCACCTTCTTTTTTTTCTTGAGTTTCTTTTGGTGAATGTCAAGTAAGCTTTCTTCTCTTTTATGCTTCTTTTTGTGTTTTCTGAAAATATTTATTTAATTTACTATTAGTGTATGTTTGGATTTTAATATGGATTATTCATGTATAGTATTACTGGAGTAGTTTCTTACTTAACAGCTTTTTCTTGTTCCTCATCCCTGCTTGAGATATATCGCGATTTAGCTTCCTTTTGAAGAGTCTCGCTTGAATCTTCTTTAACAATTCCTAATGCTTTTTTTGCTTTATCTTCTGGAGTGTCTGTCCAACTCGACCTTGAATATTAAATGTATAATTTTGAGAAAACTTATACAACTGGAAATAGTAATAATTTTGATAATTGTTAAATCGTATTCTATTTTTATATTTACCTATCAGACATATCTGGTCCCTCTTTAGCCCTAAAACTTCGAGCTTCCAGACCTAGAATTTTAGCTTTTCCTTCCGGGAGTTCCAGCATCCATTGCTCTCGAGTTTTGATATCCGTGTTCTGTAAGGAGTGGCCATCAAGAGATTTTATTTTCATCTCAATGGCCCTTTCCTCAAGACGCTGGTGAGCCTCCGACCATTTACTCTCAGCCCCAGCAGGTAGTGGTCCTATACCATCTTCGTCATCAGAACTCTTTATAACTTGTATCTCCTCACTTTTATCGGCTAATACTTTCCTTAAGTCCTCTGGTATGGATGGACCTGAAAATAGCAGTTATTAGAGAAATATAATAAAAAAATATTGTAATTTTGTTTTTAATGTCAATATTATAGACACTTACCAATATTACGATTTCTTTTTTGTAGATGCGGTGGTAGTGATGGTCCCTCTCTTGTCGGAGACTCACTTTTTCGAGAGTTCTTCTCGAGGTGCGGTGGTAGGGCAGGACCACAAAAGTCAAGGTTTTGTGTCTTACTATTGTTGTCTTGTTTTGAGCGTTTCAATTTATGACGTAAATCAGTGGGGTCTATATCGATCTCAGCCTGAGAGTCGTCGCTCATAATTTCACCTTCTTCGCTACTCTCTTTCTGATTGTTCTTTTGAGTTGACGTCACTTCTGCTATATCTATAACCGGTGTGAGTTCTTTGGGTTTAACCTCTTGAATGTCAGTAGTACTACTCACTTCAACAGATGCTGATAAATCACTTTTCTCTTTATCAGATTTCAAACTTTTTCTTTTATGTTTCTTCTTATGTTTTTTCTTTTTGGTTTTTTGCAACTGCTTTTCTAAATTTAGCAATTTCGCTCTAAGCTTTTCGTCATCGGAAGAATCGATTTCACTTGATTCTTCTGATTTTTCTTTTACTATGGCTGGTATCATGCTATAATAAGACCCTGGTTGGACTACATCAGAACCATCACTGGCTTGTTCATCTATTAATATGGGACTAGTACTAATTTTTTTCTGTGTTTCAGTTTCTGTTGGTTTATGTACTGCTGATTTCTGACTGACAGTCTCGGGTGTTGATGATTTTTCCTTCTTGTTCTTTTTCTCAGATTTTTCTGAACTACTTTCTTTCGTTGAAATTTCCGCTTTCAATTCTTCTCTTCCACTTCTTCCTTTGATCGGTGATTTATGGGACCTTGATCTAGAACGTCTATAATCATCTCTACTACTTCGATTTTTATCAGCACTGTTACTTCTTAAATCTCGTGGTTTTGATCTTCTTCTTGAATCCTTCTCATATCTATCTCTTCTATCAGTTGACCGTCTGCTTCTACTTCTGTCTGGAGAATGTCTTCTCCTTACTGGTGAGTATCTTGAATACCTATGCCTATCTCTATCTCTAGGACGACTCTCATATTTTTCTCTATTGTCTGGCCTCCTATCAAAATCTTTGAATTTGTCATCATACCTCCTACTTCTCTCTGAGGTCCTACCAAATGCTACATCTCTTTTTTGACCACTGTTATTTGACCTTTCTTCTTTACTCTTATCATGAGTTTTGAATCTACCAGTCTCTGAATCACTGCTTGATTCATCAGACAGCATGTTGGGACCTAAAATGAAATAAAGGAAAAAAATTAAGTGGAATAAAAACAAATTTAAATTAAATCATATTCTAGCTTTATTTATACATGATTTATTGCACTTAAAACAACACTAAAAGTTATAGATTAAGAAAATAATGTTATTACTCAAAGTATAAGAGACATTGTGGGGTCACAGATATGGGGCAATTTACAAATTTTATGGATTAAAACATTTTTGCAATTTTTTTAGCACTGTACCGAATAGATTTCATTAAACCGGCCGTCGGTATGCCTTTAAGGGATTGTCTCACACTGGATTGCCAAACTAAATCTTTTAATATTTGTCTCAAAATAACAGCACAGTCAATGTCATAGGCAACGGCTCTAAGAACATCTTCCATGTCCTGCTGCGGGCCGCCATGGTTCCAAAACTTTACTATCCTTTGTTGTGGAACCATTGGAAGCTGCATTAAATGATGAAGTTTAGTTTCAGGGTTGGTGTCTTGATGGCACTGTGTATCTCCGGTCGGGAAATCCACATAGGCATGGAATTGCTGCAAGATTGGTCTATAGAGCTCCCGGAAATTAGACAACTGTGGTTGTACAATGTTTCTAACTTTATTTTTATTCTCTCCAAATGTCATTCTAAAATCACCCGCATAACTTAGGTTAGATATGGCAAAATAAAAATCATACTCGGAAAATGTTTCTGGTAAAATAAGTAGTGCTGTGTGAACGGCACATCTTAAATTAGCTTGTAGAGCATTTTGCAGTTGAGAACTGTTGGTTTGTTTGATGATCTCCACGGGTTTGTGAAGACGACCAGCGAGATATAGATCATTCCAATCCAGAAGATCTGCAATGAGGTCTTTCTGTGATACTACACCATATTTAATAGTTACGTTTTCTTCTTTTATGTCAACGAGAGTATTGAAATAAACTTTAGCACCCCAATTTTCTTGAAATCTTGCAACAAATCCCTTGCCCAGGAAACGGAGTGCCGAGTAATGGGACGGGTTCATCTCAATATTAGCACCATGCCAACGATAAGAATTATCGACGCAGTATATCAGGTCGATCATATTCTGTTTCTTTTGATTTCCTATTTGAGGCTTAACGGCGGATCCATAAGCGAAGCAAAAGGTAAAATTTTGTGGAAATTTTGATAATATCCTATAGTAAAGGGGTGATATATCCCTTGCGACAGCAGACACCTTCGTAGCAACAGATGCCATGATATATAAAACGATTTGTATGCTGACCTTTTGCTACTGGCACCCAATATTTCTTGTATTTTTCTTGAACTTTAAACAATAGATGTTAAGGAAAATTCAAACCAAATATGGTTTCTTTTGGTTCATAGATCTTATTTACAATAAATGCCCACCAACACCAATGCACATTATTTTTGACTTCTGACTTCTGAGTTCTGTTTGACATCCTATGAATTTGACGAAATAATCCCACAGAGTATAAAGTAATGCGATTATTATCTGTAACTATCCACGCTCATGCCTTGAGCTCAGCATTACCAATATTGAAATTATTTTTTCCTTCTTAAAAATGGATATTAATAAATACTTGATTGATTGAGTTCAGTTGTTGAAACATAAAACAAAAGACTTTATAGTTGTTTTTAAATCATAAAATCATTTACATCGCCTTTCAAATATCAAGTTATTGCAAAAATTTGATACGTTAATTTATACTTGGTTTTCTTTCATTTCAATTAGTCAAAAAGTATATCTTTTCAAAATATTGTAATAGAGAGTTCAGGTTAAATTGAAGCTCGAAAGCTCAAACTCGAAATAACAAAGAATATACCTAAAAGTCACTGTGACACTGATACAAGTTTCATTATGACAATTAACTAAAGATAGGTATATAGATTTCTGATTTGCTACTACTGCTGACTGCTGAGATTGAAACTGTCAATGTGTTAAATAAAAACAAAACTCTATTTTTCTCTAACCATTGAAATCAAGAGTTAATATAAGACAAATAGAAATTTATAATCATTTACGTTTCAAGTTATGTCGAGTGCTGACAGAATCGATTTTGAGATGGAGGTAGAAGTTGAGAGTGCTTCGTCGGGTCCTCCGGTGGATTTGCCTAACCCAACCTCTCCGGCTCCTCCGCCCTCAAGCAGTGCGAAGTGCGTTGTAGTAACAACAGCCACATCTGGCTCAGTCACAGTGTCTCTTCATCCTTTGGTCATAATGAATGTTTCTGAACATTGGACGCGTTTACGAGCTCAAGAAGGGTCACCTCAGACTGGTAAATAATATTGTCGTCTTCTCTCTAATCATACATTCTTAAATATGAACTCATTCATTGGAAATAATTATGATACTATTACAAAGGAACCATATACTAGAAAAAGTAATTAATTTTGCTTTACTTCTACACACTTTAAAGGGTAGAATTACTTTATGTAAGTTATTATCAATGGTCTTTCTATTGATGTTTAAATTATAAACATAATAAACTTTTTATTTAATATACATACTTTTTAAACTCAAACCTCAAAGTTATAAAATAGATTTTTTTATTACACCAAAATGTCATGGAGGCATCAAGTTTAGATGAGGTTTAGAGCTTTTGATATCCTTCATATAACAGCTGATTATTTATTTTTGCTTATTTATATTTGTGCTGAGTATTTAATGTATATATATATATGTGTTTAAACCTGTTATTATTTCTTTCAGTTATAGGAGCACTAATAGGCAAACAAAAAGGTCGGAATATAGAAGTAATGAATTCATTTGAACTTGTCTTTAGTGTCATTGATGGAGACATTATTATAGATAGAGATTATTACAATTTAAAAGAAGAACAATGTGAGTATTTTACAATATTATATTACAATGTTTTATATAAAGCCCAATAATCCAAATAAAGTATTATAAAACTATCACTCTTCAAATTGATGTAATATTGAAATAGATATATTTCTTTATTTTTTTATCTCATGAATTAGCACCTTGAATAACTTCTGTATTGTATTAAATGATGACAGTAGCAATACGAGTTCAGTCTGCTTGCTATTTAAAATTGAAAAAATAATTATAAGGAAGTAATTTATTGATCTTGCATCAACATAGTTCACAAAACCAAATATTTATGGCACAAATCTTTTCTGTTGTGGGTAGTATCAGTAGGGTGTAATTTATTATATAGTCTATACGGAAAGAGGCCATTACATGCGATTGCTATCAACTTCGATTGGATCATTTGCTCAATCCCTAAAAGAAAATAACCCATAAGAGTACAAACAATTAAAAAACAACTTGGAAACGGTTTTGATTCATGCCTTTTTTTTCATTCTTATTGAGAACCTAAAAATTGGAACCGTTCTAAGATGGGCTCAAAAGATGTCATTTATGCAACTCAAAATTTATATATCACAGAAAATGATATAATAAAATAATGATATAAGTCATTTTCTATTTGTGAGACAACAGTGAAACTCATTAGACGTTTTATTACTATTTAAGCTTAATTTTATAAGTGGTATGGTTGTAAGAAAATATTAACATGCTTATAATTTATATAACAGTTAAGCAAGTATTCTCGGATATGGACTTCCTCGGATGGTACACAACAGGTGAGGTACCCACTGAAAGAGATATTGCCGTTCACCGTCAGATCTGTGACATCAACGAATGTCCAGTCATGTTGATGTTAAACCCGGCAGGGAGGAAGGGTGATGTATGTGATATTATATATACAATATATCTATTACATAATTAAATTTCTTTTTACATATTTTAAGTATATTTACGGTTTAAAACATAGTTTTAATACTTATTTAAGTTAAATTTACACTTTTAATATAGGTATATGTATATTATAGTAAATCAAATAGAATTTGTTAATTATTTTTTTCTTCTGTTACAGCAATTACCAGTAGTTTTATATGAATCAGTGATAGATGTTGTGAATGGACATGCCACTATGCTGCTCGCTCCACTGACATACACCTTGGCTGCCGAGGAGGCTGAGAGGATCGGAGTGGATCATGTAGCGAGGGTGTCATCCGGTGAAGCTGCTCTTAATAGTTTAGGTATGAAATTTCATAGAACTATTATTAATTAATGTCTTTCATACTTATTTTTAAATAACAATTATATGTGTATTTGTTTGTTATTTTGGTGTGGTTTACACTTAACTCTTAGGTATATAAAAGTCAATAATAATGTTTTGCTAAAATTAATTCAAAAGATATCCGTAATTACTAATTTGACAGTAATGCAGTGAATGTCCAAGTCAATCTACAGCCATCGGTAATTTTTCAGCAATTCATGAAATTCCCGAGTCATTAATAGTGTAAATTGAATAACGAGTCAAGCAACTTTTTATTGACACCATAAATGAAACCAATTTTTACTCGGAGTACAGTCATCATTATTGTGATGTTTAAATTGTATTTCAGTGGCGGAACACCTAACAGCTCAGCGGTCGGCCATCAAGATGCTGGTGTCCCGTGTGCGTGCTGTGTTGGCGACTGTACGCGCGGTCCGTGACGGAACCCTGCCGCCAAGGCCCGCCTTGTTGCGTGAGGCCCGCGCCCTCGCTAACAGACTGCCGCTGCTCACTTCACAACAGTTCCGAACGCACTTTTATAACGTACGTACAAATATAGAGATGATTTCATTGGCATAATCTGTGAGAAATTCAATTGAACATTAATTTGCCCTTATGAATAACATTAGTATAAACAATAGAGGCTGAAACTGATTTCAACTTTCCAATTTAAGAAAGATGGCCAAGTTTATCATGATAATTTTGCAGAGTTTTAAAGAAAATTATATTCGGCAGAGGTAATTCAGCCTCAGCAATACGTTTTGTTTTGTTATAATCTCTTATTTTTAATGTCAATGTTGTCATTCTTTAACCTTCTTTAAACCTTTTTTAATGACTGTGTAGAATTAAAATAATAATAGTGACTAATAAAATCTCGTTTTCTTTCAGCAATGTAACGACGTGGCGCTTATGACTTACTTGGGTACAATCACTAAAGGCTGCAACGCTATCAATCAACTGGTCAACAGATTTAATATATTGTACGACAGGCAAGGCATGGGGCGACGTATGAGAGGGCTATTCTTTTAGGGAGGACGATAATATTAGATACTAGGTTACTAAGAATCCATAGCATATATGATATAAAAAAATATACTACAACTTTTTTGTTAAAAAAAACCTATATAGTCAATGAAGCAATAAATCATAGTCTATGGATTTATTTGTGGTAAAGCTAAATCTATGCTGCATATGCTTATGTTGGCCCCACATTATTTTCTATCTATGGTACATGAAGCAGATATCAAATATTATATCCATCCCCAAAAGAAAGAAACTCAGCAAATTGTTTTTGTGAATTTTATTACACATTGGTTATTTAGTGTCACTTGAAAAATACATTTATCGACTGATTAACTTGAATTTCAATTAAAAATTTTGTATAAGATGTCTTTTTATTTTTTTTTGTATAAAACTTCTTCGTATTTGTCAAAAACGTTCAGTCGTTAATGCATTGTTAATCGATTTTTCTGATTTTTATATTTCTCTATATAAAATAAAATTATTAAAATTCTATAGCTACGTAGCGTATTAACTTAAATATTAGGTAAATTAACATAAATAAAAAAACAATATATTTAAGATAGCTGTTTAAAAAATAAATTCCTTAAATACGGGAGTTTTATGCTAAAAACGTAAATAAGTATGTGTTATTACCACGAATGTGAAGTAGTCTCTAAAATTGTTCTATATGACTTACTTGAATTAGAATTCATAAATCTATCCATAAAAAGTGAGTGGAAGGTCTGGTTAGCAAATGGTTATTGTGTTTTTTGCATAACAGGAACAGTTACCTGGAATCATTTCTAAAATAAATATATGTATAAAATCACAAAGGATTATAAGTTATTTATGAAAAGTAATTTCTGTTCATAACTTATAACGCTGTAGGATTTTGTAACATATGATACACCAAAGCTAATGTTACTATTTTATATAGACTATGAGGCAACTTTAAATTATAATGTGGACCAAACAGATATAATAAAAGTTAACCAACACACAGTTTTAAAGTCATGCTGTCGAGAGTAGTATGATTGCTGTGTAGTGTTTGAGATGATAAAAAAGTTGTGAATCATTTACACACTCAACTTTTGTACGACGAGTACAACGTCATCTTATTGCATTAAGATATTATTAGGGGGAGGGGGGGCACTTTGATACACAAAAATTAAATCTCTTTTCTGAGGACCGTAAAGCATTATATTTAAATATTTGTTTTGATGTGTGCATTGGCTGATATGTCAGCTTACATTTTGGCTACGCAAAAACCGCAAAAATTGGCGACGTATAGAGATAATGTGATTTTAAGAAAATAAAATATTTGTATCATTCTGCCCCACCAGTGGGGCACTTTGATACATGGGGTGGGGCAGTTTGATACGTATTTTAGATCCATATGAAATGCAAATTTAAACTGACTAAAAACCCAATATAAACTGTATTATTACTTAAAATTAAGAAATAAAACAATTTTATTGATTGAGACTAAGTTTATTATTCGATTATGTGTTCATAATTATCATGAAAGTGAGCTACAGCAGCTTTATTAAAAGCAAAGCTTCTTGCTGCGCTTGTGTTTTCTGGTTTTCGTAGACTCAATTCTGGGTTTCTCTTCCTGAAGCCAGCTGCCCAGTCTTTTCCAGCGCATTTGTTTTTTTCCAGGGTTTTGGATAATTACACCCTGAGGATTCTGTGAACTCGTATGCCAAAGTCAAAAGCTGTCTCAATGTAATGCCGTAGTGCATTTTACTGCAATTCAATAAATATTGAGTCAATGCCTTTTCTTGTTCGATTGAAAAAACTTGTGCAACGGTATACTTGGAACCATAGATGTTTGATGAAGTAGCTGTAGCAGTGTGTGATGATAAAGCTGCAGTAGTAGTGTGTGCTGAAGATGACGCTATTTTTGCCATCTCCACAGATGGTGCTATTTGTGGTGAAGATGGACCTGCTTGTGATAAAGAAGATTCTTCTTGTGATAAAGAAGATTCTGCTTGTAATGAAGAGGATGCTTCATTTGTAGATAATATTCTGGTAGCTTCAAATGATTTTCAGGCTTTTTCTATGCGATGTTGTAGGGTCGCAGTTTTGATGCTATATTTGTCGGCTGCTTTGCGTGTAGATAAAGTCTTTGACAATACTTCACGTATTGCGTCTTCAATGTTTTCTTCATTAATATTTTTTCTATCAGTTTTGGGTTTGTACGTGTGCACCATTTTCTGAAAAAAAGAAAATAAACTACACTTTAATACACTAGAGGGGCAGATTGATACGTATCATTGTACCCCGCACATTACCGTATCAAAGTGCCCCAACGGACTTTTTCCATAAAACAATTAATTTTATCTAATATATAATAATAATGCAATCAAAAACATTTTAAAATACAATAATAACTATATTTACTTACCTGTAGTAACAAATTATAACAAAAACAACTAAAAGAATCCTCCTGAGACACAATTACATTTCATGTTTTTTTTTTGTAGGCAGCGGCGTACGCCACTTTTAACACGTTAGTGACCGTTGAGGTCCAATGGCAAACTGGTGGCGAACGGTGTCACAACTGTTATTCTTGTGAATACCCTTGAGCATTCTAGTGATTTGCCGGACTGTGTAGCGTTTATCGGTTTTGAGATATAGATACTGTACCAATGTGCCCCGTGAATCAATGTGCCCCCCCTCCCCCTACACATAATTCGATGTCTTCTTTATTCTTTTTATGTTGGAAAAACGCACTACTGTATACCAATCAGCCAAGTATGGCAATGTGCGATTACCGGGACATTTATATGGTTCTCTTTTTAAGAATATAAGATGTCCTGTCCATGAGCCTACCAAAAAAAAAACCATTGATAACGCTTTTGAGTTCACCACTGTACTCCGGCAGAATTACTTACCCTATCAGTATGTCCCAAGAAACGACAACGCCCAAACAACATAGATCTTAATCGATGGAAGTTCTGGAGGCTTCCCTCCAACGGGACCTACAGGTTGGAAATGAGTCGGCGGGCGTAGTTCGATCTCTCTCTTCCTAGCCTTCCTCTATGGAGTAAACGAGGCTGGCTGCATGTCCCTTTCGTTGGGTTGCAGTGGCTTCCTTTGGGGCAACCACTGGGTCAAAAGAAGCCCATTGCAACCCAACTTCTTTCTTTGCCGACCATCGCTCTTATTAAGGAAGCGAGATGTTTCCGTTCACAATATTCGTCACCTCTGAGCGAGAGTCTCGAGTCCATGCCCCGTAAGTACCTGCATAAGACGAAAGGTGAGTGTGATCCGTGTCACCGAATCATCTGTCGATAGAGCTATTGGCTAATCGCTTCCACTGTCATCTGACAAAAAAATTTAGCACCATCATTTTTGTAGTGAACCTGATTTATAAGTCCAAGAAGGGAAAAACGCGGAAAAAATAGCAATAAAAGTCAATATAGTGACATCATAATATATTTATATATATCATAATTTGGTTATTTTAGTTAATTACACAAAATTAACAAACTTTTGGACACATTGAGATTCATGCTATGGAAGACCTTTTGAGATGTCCTGTACTTATTGATTGTCAATGATTATAGCGTGTTAGTGAACCTACAGCTTTACTCAAGAAAAATATGGCCTATTTACATGTGACGATAGCTTTAATTTTTTTTTATATTGGCTTTTTCAGTTTTTCAACGGTTGTAAAGTTATGTGTACATACAATAAATGTCACTATCTTAACGCTTACGTATTAAAATGTTTTATCAATAGTATTTTTTTACAAGATCATTTTATTAAATAACGTCATAAAAATCCTACAATATAAATAGAAACACACAATTGTACTGATACTTTGTACAAAAATATTTAATTAAATTCTCCCATTAATTTATTGCTTTTAAGCGTCTTATTTAATTCTACAAAATTTCGTAAACAGTATAAGTAATCCACAGCTGCCATGATCACATCCTATTTATTATTTTTGAATAATTACAGTAGGACCCCGATTATCCGGACCTCGGTTATCCGAATTCGCGATTATCCGGACTGCCGATCGCGACGAGTTTATTCTAACATTAACATGTCAGAACTTGCATATTTAAACCAAATTAAACTAATTATTTTATTTCATGATTACCTAATGCAAATTACCAAATACATACAAAATTATTGTAAGCAAATTATACGTACATTATGTACAATCTTCTATACATATGATACAATTGTAGAAAAGTGCTGTCTGTACATTGAAAATAAAAATAAAAAAAATAGCAGGGGTTATTGTTATGTCGATGTCGAACCCAAAAATGTATGTAACTTTTTTTTTGGTTGTTTGTCTGTTCACGCTAATCTCAGAAACGGCTGATCCGAGTTAGATGCGGTTTTCACGAATATATTGTGGCATGCTTCACTTATGCTTTAGTTTGTTTCATGTCAATTGTTTCATAAATAAAAAAGTTCTGTCAAATTAAAGAATCACGTCGAACACTATGTTTATACTCTGCTGCTATTCTATGTTTCTATACTTGTTCTTAAAATGACTGTGATTATGATCCAAAATAAAAATAAGTATATATTTAAAAAACAAACGCTGCTCATAGTCACTATTCCACGCGAACGAAGTCGCGGGCACAGCTAGTTTCTTAATAAACGTTGATTTTCGCTCATATGTATTTGTTGTTTTAAATAAACACCTAACATTACATATGTATGGTACAGACTACATATGTACATATGCAAAAAGCCCGTTTTTCTTCATATATTGGATTATCCGGACTTTCAATTATCCGGATGCCTACCGACAACAATTAGTCCGGATAATCGAGGTCCTACTGTACTAACATTAAAGTTTATTATTATTAAGACACCATCGCCAGCTGACGTTTCAAGGTCAGCCCGTTTTAGTATTATTCTCGAAAATTCTTCAATTATTAACTTTTTTATTATCTGGGCGCCTGCAAATCAATCAGCCAGGACATTTAAAGTGAAATCATCAGTATCTTATAGTGCGTTTGATTTAAGCTGAGCTTTGCATTTGTGTGAATGCACACGGATAGTGTAGGTGAGATGTTAAATTTTTGAATGAAACGTTCTTTTCTAGTTTTAAACCGGTTTGTACTGCTTCGTCACTTCACTTTTTGTACTGGTAGCATTATCAAATGTTGAAAACGCAATGTCAAGTGAATAAGAAGCTGTAGTTTTTTCAAAATTCTTATTAATCAATAATTTTTTTTCCTCAATATTATATTACTGGACTTTTACAAGTTTTTCTTATGTTATGTATCTATTTAAAATATAATAAAATTGAATTCTAAAAGTTTTTTGTCTAACTCTACTTTTACTTTCACACACAAATGCAAAGCTCAGCTTAAGTCTAACGGACTATATATATCTCTATAAATAACCTAGTGTCATAACTTGTGACTTGTAAACATTCTGATTATTATTATATTAGAATAAAATATTGAAATTTGAAATGAAATAAATGCATCGAAACATGTATTGAGCTTTGTAAATATATATTACATTGGTATGTTATGCTTTATAAAGGTTAATTGATTAAATATTTCTAAAGTACATTCAGTTGTTTTCATATTAAACAGTTTCTATATCAAAATTTTCACATATTCTATACATATGTAATCATTATGTAGATATTCGATTGTTTTAAGTTCGTTAAGAACTCTGATTCCGATATAATGATATAGGTTTTTCTTTCAAATTTAAATATATATAGGGTAGAGTTAAAGGTATGCTAATTACATAGATTATGTTATTTTTTGATTATTTGATCTTTAAAGTTGAGAGTTTGGCTAAAGTGTATATAATAGTGTTGGGAAGTGAACGTTTTGAATGTTTGAATGTTTAATAATCATCGGATGTTTTCTCGATCCCGATCAGTTCATCGAAGAGTGAATGATTGTTCGGTATGACGTGCGGCTCGTGTAGGGTTTGACGCGCGAACTTTAACACGGCTCGCGCCAATTGTCCCACCGTCCACTTCCTGTCAGTGAGCACACGGACCAGTGTGTCCAGCTGTAAAAATAAAAATTAACATTTAAAGAAACTAATTAAGTTATTATCAATACAAAAAAGGCTAAATTCTAAAGCAACAATTATTGAATATTGTTTTTTTTCCCGGGATTTCGTCCTCGTTAATTTTGGGATAATAAATACGTACAGCTGACCGGGCGAAATCTATTCCGCCCTTAAGGCCATAAATAACCAGATATTAGAGTTTATAAGATATTTTGGTTCATTTTCGATCGAATAGAATTATTAAATATTCTATATCCGTCTCATATTTCTAAGCTATGTCCCCACCGATTTTCAAGCATATCCCTACAGATATTCTTGAGTTATAAATAATGTAACTAACATAACTATCTTTTATATACATAGATTACTCTTTCACATGTTTCATTTAGAAGAACTAACTTCGTGATGAAACGAATATTGTATTCAAATACCTTAAACAACTTTTCATTTCCGAATGTGTAATAAAATAATGCCGGTACTCCCGCCACGCTGGCCGCTAGCCATTGCAGCAGCAGCTTCAGTTGAGGGTGTCCCCGCTGACGCCTGCCGCAGCCCCAGTTACCGGTAGCCACGGGACGACACGACCCGCCTGTTACGATCTTATGCGCTAATTGGTTTAGCTGGAATTAAGATGAATTATCATGAATAATTACAATTACACAGTGCAATGATACCGTTTATAGTGTGTTCTATGTAGTGTTATTCTAAGAAATGCCTTTCGTATTTTTATTTTCTCGATTCGTTCGAAAAATCTCGATGCCATTGAGGGAAGCGAACTCAGATTTTAGGCTCCGTTTTCCGCCTCAAAAATTGAAATTTAATGTCCGATATCAATTGTCTTTTAATAAAAACCACCACAGATAGCTGGGCTATCGAACAAAAAACCTCGACTCTATCATTCGGTTGCAAAAAGTTGTGTTCGTTTGTCTCGCTTCACTCAATAAAATGTTCCAAATAAAATTAAAAAAACTTTTTTCTTTAGAAAGGTATATTAAAGCTTGATTTCTGGTAACACCAGATGATAACAAGCTATTAAAATAAAGATTTGGACAAATCCATAAAAAATCATCTACTTATATAATAGATACACAGACATATACACACACAGATAATGTGCTTATAAATACATACATATATGTACAATTTAGCCCGAATTTTTATCGCAACCAGAAAATAACAGTCAATAGCAAACAGTGATCCATTCACGAAAGTTACAAGAAAATAATTGTTAAATATTAAGTTATAATTAGCCACAGTTGTGTTCTATTTTCTTTAGCAAGACCTAATATTGTTTTTCACAGTGCAGTTAAGCCAATAGCCATTCCAAAAAAACGTGAAAGCCATCGCCTTCAGTGTAATGTTAGTACAGTATTAGTAGTAGTTTGAGGTTTTATTTTAAAGTTATCAGCTGGCAACGCGTCTGACCTTTGGTTTCTTAATTTTTATCGTCACCGGCTCACATTCGACTGTCTCTTCGATGGTTTCAACTATCATATTTACTACCCAATTAAGTTTTTTCTTTCTCACATCTGGATTTGAAAGTTGTGTCGAACAAGTTTCAGTGGACGAGCCCAGGGACTTCGTCCTACCCTCGCTCAGACTATCGTCTTTATCGCTTCTCACTAGTTCATTCTCTAATATATCTTCTAGTATCGATTCTTTTACTTTACGTTTCTGTCAAAATATATTATACTGTGAGTTTATATGTAGCTTATAATTTAATCTATATTAATACATTGTTATATGACTTATTTGACTTTTGAGAGAAATAACGTTTGTGAATTAGTAAAATTAGATACATAGACTTTATTTAGTTGGTTTAACATAAAGTTAATCCAATATTTTGTTCGTATCTTGTCTAAAAGTTAATGAATAAATTTTAACGAAGTATCGCATTATATAATATATACTATAATATTAAAGCGGTTAACTTTCTATCTGTTATAGTTAATTTTGCAATATAACGTTATTAGTAGCGCTCTATTTAAACAATTATATAAGTCTCATATCATTTTTCTATCTATATTATAAAGCAATAACAAAATATTTCATCAGACACACATAAATACAGTCATAGAAATATTAAAAAAACAATAAGTGACTCGAGTATGTACAATATTAGTGATGTATGGTCATTATATATCATACCAAATGCGCGGCGAGTCTGTGCCGATGTTTGGCTAGTTCCAATGATAATGATCTAGCGGCGAGCGCGAGGCGTCGTGGCGGCACTCGCTCCCGGACGTCGCGCCCGTACAGTTCACAAGCGTCTGCGCACGCGCCGCTAGCCATGGACTCGCTCAGGGTGCGCTTTAGTAACGACCCTGCGAATCTGTGAAACAAAATATTAATAAGACATGGTACTTGCTTTATATATGCTTATTAAGTTCCATATCTTTTGAGCTAAGAGCTTATATTAAAGTTATTAGTTAAAATTTCAGACCAGTTAATTCAGTAGTAATACAATTTATTTCTGTATAACTTCACTAGATGGCGTTGTTAATAATGATCAAGTTGATGGCATATTACATGACAGATGGATTTTGTACGGGCAGATTTAAAATGTAAAAAATGATTGTTTTTATGTATCCTTTATAAGATTAACCTTATAACTGCCAGATCTCGGGAGTCCAACTCCTTGGTTTTGTTTTCGTTGTTGTCATTCTGTAATATCGGATCGTTCAGCCACTGGTTGAATTGTTCGTAAACTTCCTCCAGCTCTGAACTGTAAATGTGAATACAAAATTATAAAAGGTCGTAAACCTTAATAAGGAATATATTTAGATTTATCAATTGAGCACTTACGAATATTCCGTACTGAAACTGTATTTCGAACTATTCCCAGTCTCTTTCCTAGACAGAAGTCGCTTGGGCGGCTCGTTCCCATTTTCTACTGTTTCTTTATCCGTTAGCACGAAACCGACGGAGCCGCCTCGTTTCACTCTATAGAGCAGAACAAAAATTATAATACTGTTCGAATGACCAGAAAAAGTTTATCAAATTCTCTAATACCTACCTTATGTCGTTATCGTTAACCTCAGCCCCAGATATGCTGATACCCACAGCGTAACTGGAGCTATCAGTAGACCAGTCCCCAGTAGTACTGGTCGTGCAAGACGTCTCAGCCTCCCTCCGGAGAGCCTCCCGAAGTCTATCAGCGAAACTCATCCGTCTTTCCTCTGTCGATAGATCTTTTGAATATTGGAATGAATTCGGACGCGCGCTTTCACCCCTACCCTCATCTTCGCTGCCTGTATTTTATGATTCCGAATCATGATTCAGGACACAATAAAAAAACAATTATTCTAACAGTAAATTGTTTCGTACATGTAGGATCCCTGGTCCTACATGTAAGTATAACTAGTCACTGGCTCACTACTACCCCGCCTAGAGCGCAGGCGCACGCGTTCCACTCCGCGCTAGTCATTAGACTGCCGAGCACATCCCACCCCGTCCAGTGGAGTACGTGAGACAGTGTGTTATATCTATTGTATAGATACATACACTACAATACATATTAATGATATACAAGTAATAATTACCGTAATCGAAGCTATCATTAGCGCTGTGGTATTCATCATCGCTGGAGTTGCAGCTTGAGTATAAGCTGTCTTCCTGCTGCAGGTCCTCGTGTCCGGAGGATCTCGTCACAGGAAGACACTCCCCGGATGAACCCAGCACTATGAACCGCCCGCGACGATTGTTCAAAGTGCCCGCGTCAGGGGATAGCCAGCATTTCCGTTTCTGTAGGTCCATGCCTGTCAATTTTAAACATTTTCATTGTTTAATATTTACTAAACATTACATATAGTAGCGAAATAAATATGGACTTTTTAGCATAATCTTTGATTTTAAGGATTTATTGTATGAAAGTAGACTTTTTGATTGATTATTGTGTGTTTGGGACACTAAACCTTCAAATTGCGTGTTTTCTGTGTGATTGGGACACTAAACTTTTAAAACCTCGTCATTTTGAGGAATTTTACTTTATATTTATTTGAAATTTATCTTAAAATGCTTAAACGACTAAAGCATCATTTAGGCATTGTAATTATGATAAGTTAGTTCTATATTTGGCTTTTGGAATCATTATAGAAATTTAAGTTCAAATCTAACGTCTTATTGTATATTTAGGCCACTTACTAGGATCATTCAGGTTTAGTGATGCCACGTTATAGTTCTGTGGTGAAGGACTTCTGCTGTTAATGCTGTTGATGGTGCTTGAAGACGATGCTTGTTTTATCATGACAGTTGTTTCAACTTCTGGTGGAGTTTGATTAAAGGATTCTCCTGTAACAAAAATGCGCCATAATCTAAAATTTAATTACAAAATCCAAAAAGGTCAGACGAAAATTCAGTTTAAAAATTGTATATAGGTTACAAACTTTTAGACATTGAAAAGTAATCCCTTTTTTCATGAGAATCATACGTATTTAACCGGAAGGCATTCATTGTTAACTCTTAGTAAAATCTTTAAATTACACAATATAATACCAACAATAAATTGCAATAATACCTATGGGTGAAAGTCGTCTCTCAGCCTTCTGAATCTCTTGACTTTTCATCGGCGACTGCTGGAATGCTAAAAGACACTTATTCAGTTCGCGCAGGACATTGTCTTCTTCCCATTGACCAAGAGGTAAAGCGCTGTAATCCTCAGCGTCCATCAGACATATTGTCACCTGGAGTTCGGAGAAGTTATTAATTTTGATTAATTAAAGGGCTAAAAAGTGAATATTATTTATTAAGTTAATTATTATTATTTATTAAGTTAATTATTTATTAAGAGTTAGTCTTTGTTTTTTAATGTTACCGTTTTTGGTTCTTCGAGGAATTCGATGTGATTCTTTTGTCGCTGGTCACTTATTCTGCTGAACATCCTGACTCCTTCGACTTTCAATACCTCATTATCTTCGAGTGCCTCCACAGAGAGCATGGCCGGCAAAAGTTCGGGCATCATAAACATTGTGAGTGATTCCTGAAAGATTTACAATGAGGGAATTATTATAAAATATATTTTGTTCAGAAATATTCTGTTTTAAAAACCTGCATTATTTAAGCTTACTTAAAACATACAGTGCAGATAAGTTTGCATGAATGCAATGCATGAACTTACTTTTAATTACGTGCAAAAATTCCTAAGGACAACAAAATAAGTCCCAAACTTGAGCTCTTTTGAAAACTTCATCATTAGTAGACGATTTTATGCCATTAAATTAGTAATATAGCTGATTACCTGTGACTCTCCATCAATGAGCACGTCACCACCAATCCTGCTGGAGGCGAAGCACACTCTCAGAGCGTCATCACTCTCACAGCGTTCCGGCCGACCCTCATGACGGATCAGTAATTTACACAAAGGCAACGTGCATTCCAGCCAGTCTTCAATAGTCAGCCACTGCTTTGAAGACATTATCTAAACAATGTTAAAATTTTGAGCCAATTTCCGTTTTTCATTTTTTCTATTACTGCTTACTACGGTGAACTTAATCGAAAATTATTCAGAAAAAACTGGTACAAGATTAAAAAAAATTGGACGTGGCTCACATATTTTGGGTGAAAGTAATCACATGTTCTTCGCGATTCGAAAACTAGAGAATAACGTAGATAGTGCCACTGTATCATTTAGAACTAATATTCTAAATAAATGTATATACTGACCAAAATCTGTTGATAAATACTATAAATGTAAATTGTACATAAGGACTATTTGAAATAAAATAAAATTCTGTTTACAGATTGCATTGCTTATAATTGTCCATATTAATTGCATTGTATAGATTTTATCAAGTCTACAAGTACCGAGGGTAAAAATTGATATCGTGCCAAATGTACGTTATTAGCTTTTAGTTAAACCAAACCCTAGCCGATAAAAGTTATAAGTAATTTTTGGCTAATGATAATTCATATACTTTACACTATCTCCCTATCACATGCAATCGATAAATTAGATAAAATTTTATCAGCTATTACCTGTCTACTTAACTTAATAGATCCTTCATTGCTATTTTTGTCCAACCATTCAAAGTAATGCAGTAAGCTTTTTAATTTATTCCTTTGCGATTTTCTGAAAATTTTATTAATGATATTTCGATAAATGTAAGTAAAAAGGTTAATATAACTCATATTTTATATTTTTTATTCCATACCTATGAAGATTTTTAAAAAAATGCGTAAAATTGAAGTCTTGCAATGTGGGATGTGTTTTGAGCGTCCGTTTTGGAAAAGTAGAAAAAAATGCGTGAGCAACCAACGATGATAGGAAATTATAATCCAGTTCAGTTGAATCGCCTGAAAATAATTAATAATGACAGTTATTCTTATTTTTCTTCTAATATTAAAATTATGGCTGTAAGAAATGTAAACGAAATGAAAATATGTAACAGTTAATTTGTGAATGTATTTATATTTGCCATTCTTTCACGCAAATGTCACAGCCGAGATTCTCAAGGTAAATTATTGCAATGTAAATACTAGACGAAAATTTTATTGCACATAGTTCTATTAAATAATTCATTAAAGAGTTATTTCCCTTATACATAAAATATGACTGGAATCTGCCAATAAAGGGTATAATATTACTGTCAAAGTGATTGTTTTACTTATATTATAAATTGTCTGTTACAGTACAGTTCCAAAGCTTAGTTGTTATGAGGCATGGCTAATGCCATTACAAACGTAGATAATATGATACGCAGCCCTTTAGCTATTGAGGCATAGTGGAAGTGAAAAATTCTTAAAGTATTTTCCAAAATCTTATTAATACTTCAGAGTTTAAGTTAAACTTCAACGGAGAAAGTAGAAATATTATAAGTACAAGTTTGAATATGTTTTTAAGCTCGTGTATGTCATCGACTGGTCGTCGTGATGTATTTTTTTGACTGAGTTTTGTGGCCACCAGATGTGTAGGTACACTATAAGTTCGTCACATTTAATATAAGGATGTCATTTTATATTTTTTGATTACGACGAAATTTAAAAACGGGCCCTCTCCAAAATTCCAATACGGACTTCACCCAGAGAAAACTATGGCCCTGACTGTTGAATGGATAGTATTTATTAATCCTTTTTATTCTCATTTGAAAGAGAGTCAAGCAAGCTACGAAAGCAAGCCAGTAAGGAAAATAATAAAAGGAAATTTATTTAACTATTTGTCTGTCTGCAACTCACGATGTCTAGACTGTAGACACCGTTTGATACAGTGGCTGTCATAAATCTTGTATATATACTCTCTACGTTTTGAGAGATCATAATAGTTGGTATCAAATCTATAGTCATCCCTACTCTTAATGGACGGTGTAATTAATGAAATATATACTTTTCTGCATTGTAATCTTTTCAGAGTGTTAAAATTTGTCTTCATAAGGATTTACTTTATATCATGGAAACAAATTCTAACTGTAATATTTCTAGAATAAAGCAGATGAATTCGAATGTCAATAAATTGTGATTTGTAAGAATTTAGTGTTATATTATATGCTTACTTTGTTGCTGCAAACTAAAAACAAGCCCCTTAGGTGGACGCCATCGTTTAAGATGTATTGCCTTATTCACCATTATACGTATTGTATTATCGAGAAAATTTCTTCTTTCTTCTCCAGAAAATTCTTCATCCAAGAACTGTTCTAGTCCTTTCATGAGCTCTGGATCCTTTACATCATCGTCCGGGTCTATTCCTATACTGTAATATGGATAAGGTTTGTTTTTTTATGAAAATTCTAACACAAATTGTATATTAGACGTATTTATTTTATGGAGTTCAAAAGAAGTAGATATTATATAAATAAAAAAATGCTGATTCATTTATTCTTTTCACAGTTAATATTTCTTAGATTATATTGACTAATAATAATAGCATTATCATCACATTACATACTTACTTGCACATATCATGAATTTTTAACATGCTAGCCGTTAATTTCGCTGGAGACGATGCTACAAGAAGATGTTTTAGGTGCCGTTGTACAGACGTCCACCATGGTAAATCACAGGGCAGCATAACGAGAGCCATCCTACGAAATTAACATTTTGCTTTATATTATGGCTATATATATTTATATTATATGGGATTACTAAATTTTAATTTATTTTTAAATTAGAGCAATTTTTTTTTAATTACCAAAATCAAATTAATTCTTTTCAAAATTTAAAATAAAAAAGCCTTTCACCTTTAATTTTATTATAGAACTATGTTTAATTGTTTACTAAAATAAATTATTGATGTAAATTACAATTGCTTAATTAACTTTTTTTTATCTAATAACAATGATACTAGAAGGAACACCAAATTATACATTTGGTATAATTATTATAAATAAATTAAGAAAAATAGAAACTGTTTAGACAAATATAAAAGAATATCAGGAACTTGCAAAAATATCTCACTAAACTAACGTCAAACGATGAATGTTGCACAGAGATAATTTTAACTTCGAACGCTCCCATTGCGGATTGACATTTAAAGTCACTATTCTTACAACATTTTATTGGCAGTTTATAATTGAGATTTGTGTTTTCGATTTAAATTTGTTTACTTTTCAATATTATCAGTGTTTTCAATTTGAACTTTCTACTGGAGTATTTTGATATAATTTTATACATTTACAGAAGATTTTTTTTTTTATAATTTACGATTTATACGTTTCAAGTAACCAGTCGAAATTATCAATAGGGACACTGATAAGGTAATTTTTAATTATTTTTATCAGAGTGACGTATATATTATTTGGGACGTTATATTATTAAGAGTTATTGAGTTTATTAGTTGGGACGCAAGGCCAAATAAGATAGCAGTGCAATATTAGCTCGCCGTATCAAAGTACAAGATTCAAAGGTCAACAGTCGATTGACTTAAAATGACTATACGAAAAACGAAATTACTGAAAACACTGATATTAGGCGCTCCCGCATCAGGGAAAGGTACAATATCGTCACGGATAGTAAAAAAGTACCAGGCTGATCATGTGTCCAGTGGAGATAAATTAAGGGATCACATAGAAAAACAAACCGAATTGGGACTGGAGGTTAAGAAATATCTCAATGAAGGCCAGCTGGTACCAGATAATGTCATGATCAAGTTTATGATCACGGAATTAAAGAAAGTTGAAGATAAACCTTGGCTTTTAGATGGATTCCCACGGACCATATCGCAAGCCGAGGCCCTGTGGAAAGTGCAACCGGTCGATATAGTGCTAAACCTCAATGTGCCATTTGATGTCATCATAGATAGGGTTAAAAACCGCTGGGTGCATTTGCCTTCCGGTAGGGTGTATAATATAGGTTTTAATACACCAAAAGTCTTAGGAAAAGATGATGTTACCGGTGAAGATTTATACCAACGCCCCGATGATAAACCGGAGGCCGTAAAAAAGAGACTTGAGATATATGAAAGTGTTACACGACCTGTAATTAATTTTTACAAAGAAAAAGGTATATTGAAAGAATTTGAAGGACGCACATCAGATGAAATCTGGCCGCAAGTGACAGCATATTTGGACCCGATATTTCAACATTGAGATACATCATTCAACCAAGATGTACAGTATTAAGTTCAAATGTAGTTTAAAGAAACATTACCAAAAAAGGTCTTCCATTGTTATGAATTTATCCAAGTACTTATGAAGAATATATAAATAAAAATGTTTTGATACAATAATGTTGTCTATATTTTACAGTAAAAAACTGCACAAAGTAACATTAATGTATTGTATATCTCTAGTCACGACAAAAAATATATATATTGGTCTTTACAGCTACTTAAGGATACAAAAAATGTACATCTATATGCTAGTTGAACATTTTTAATAATTAAATACATATGTATGCCATTTAAAGGCAATTATTAGTTAATTAGTGCCTTATTGTTTTTTACATTTATAAGGATTATTACTAAGGTATTGTTTTCTAAGAAAGTGTTAGTTATGGATTGTTATATTTGAAAAGATTTTAAATGTTAATTAATTTAGCACAAACTGTATATTTAATCTATAAGATTTTCTATTATATATTTTAATATTACTTGTTATTAATTTTAACAAATTGGTGGAGTTATTGCTGTATTTGTTTTACTTTTTGCCAAAAAGTGTTTGTTTGTTTTAATAAAAACTGAAATTTGAATGTTTCTTTTATTGAATTACCTAACAAAGATCATATTAAAAAATAAAATGGTATGATTGTAATTGAGTAACTTCAAATTAAATTATTTTTTTGCTTACAATGCCAACTATTAAGAGATATTTTTTTTGTTATTACGCAAGGAATTAAATTTAAGAAGTTCTCTCTTTTCTTTCATTACTATGGCTTCATTCACACTAAGCAAGTTGTTTTTTAATGCTTTGGCTTGGTTGTTTCTAGTGACTTCTTAAAATTTCTTTTTTTATGGCTTCATTCACACTTGAATTGTGAAATATTTTGCTAATGTCACTTCTTTGTCTTAAGCTTCTGTCGTGTCAAAATTCGTTGCCTCACACAGAATGTCAAATGGTCTATCAGATTTCAGTGTTTTTTATATTAATTTCGCTACGTAGGTATATAAAGAGTTTGGAAAGTATGGAAATTTCGTTGATATCCTAAATATTTTATGTAGACTTAAATCGGTTATAATTTTAACATATTTTATTGTTTTAATAAATGCTACGTTTACATTTATTCCTGTGTGATTTAATCTTATGTTTAAATTCATTTAATGTTGTTTCTTTCTTTTAGGTTAAAAATTAAACTTATATTAACATTACAACTCAGCTTTATATAAAAAAATATTAAGTGCTGGACTCGTATTTACCCTTTGTATATATTATGTATTTATTTTGTTGTGGGTAACAAAATAAATTTAATATTTTTACTTTTGATTGAGACACCCACTAAATTAGACTTTAAGCATATATATATATATATATATATATATATATATATATATATATATATATATATATAATGGTTTAATATAACTGTATGTACTATCAACTAGATAGCTATTTACTGGGGCTTCGTCAGTGTTAAACTATGTAAGTTTCGATTTTTTCTGAATTTGATAACTATTACTTTTAAAACATAAACCGGCTGATATGAAATCTCGATAAAATCTTATTATCACTATTCTATTGCATAGATAAAAATAAGTTTTCAAAATCAATCATGTACATACGTATATATGTCATTTGAAATGACTATATTATTTTATTTTTAAACTACAAACAAACGATTGAATTTTATTTAGATGTATAGATATTTATATATATTGTTCTAAAGACAATGGTTTTAAATTATCCACTAAAGATGCAACTGGTGTATTGGAAAAAATTAAGTATCATTGTCCTACATTGTAAGTATGTCAAAATATAAATCCACAATAAGTACATATCTTACTTAGATATAATATTTATCGTAAGTATATATATAAATGATCTAGCTGGTTACTTACTTTGAACGTTTGCTTTACAATATGATCTCAATAACTGCAGTCACAGTAGCATCGAAGTTTGCCGCTTAGCGACTATCGATGTTTTTTTCGCACTTTTCTCATTGTCCACAAAAATTTTAAACAATATTATCTCTCATATATAATATTGGTTTCCTATAGACAGAAATAGTGTGCGTAGTGAAAACGATTGCCGGTTGCGGGAGACGCGAGCGCGCGAACCCCGACTATTTTTAGCAGCTTTCGTGCATTGGCGCTGAAATTAGATTGTAAATAAAAATCATGGGTTAACTGAAGTCGTAATTCTCGCTGGTAGTATCTATGGTTCTATGGCTTAGTAGTATCTTTCATTTCATCACCATCAGTGACAGACTTCCTCAAAATTATCGTCGTATTTTTCAGTGGTTTATATAAAAAATATACTACAATAAGTTTAAAAGTTATTGAATATAAATTTCATTGCCATTCAATTGTCGGTTTTTATAATAATAGATACATATAAATGTCATAAACCATCAAATGTATTTACTGGTCTATTTATTTAATCGCCTTATATAGGATTTTCGGTCGTAGCGAGCGTAAATCTGACTATTAAGAACGTTAACGACAACTCAGTGTAAAATTACTTACAGTATTAAAATAACTACCACTATAGATTTCTTATTCAATAACACATTACCGTACCTACAACCTTTATAATATTGCAAGGCTGCATAAAGTTTGTAGGTTAAATGCTCGGCGTTCATATAGGAACGTGGTGACGCGACGTGCGTTTAATCCGACGGTTCGGTACTGACTGACGCTACTTTCACTGGGGTGCTGGGTAGCTGGGGTTGTCGCACCCTCCACCCGAGTGACGTCATCAGCGTCGCGTCACGACCTACGACGCCGTACTAGCTCGGCACCTCATCCCCGCGAACGTGAAATGCCATGCCATGGAACCTTTGGTGTTACGTAAAATTAAATGTATGTGCAGCTACGTCAGCGGAGACGTCATTTGAAGAATAATAATAATAAGAGTTAGATACGAGTTAACATGTTTTAACGTGACCTTTTGTACGTCTACATAATGTGAAGCTTATTTCAATGAAGAATTTCATATATAAACAAAGAGTATGTAAGAATGCCCTCGAAAGTAATAATAGAATGTTATGTATGTATATACGGAAGGCTATACTCTAACTTTTTCCAAATTGTAGCTGCGGTACAGGAGTGAGGCGACTGCTACGACTTTAAGCGCGCATGCGTGAGTTCACACAAGCACGTGTGCTTGTATAGAAGCCATATAACACAGACGTGTACAAGTAACTTGAAAACTCCTTGTTACTCCTTATCTCCTGGTAATTGTACCGCCCGTGGAAAATTGTTGCCGCCCTATACAGCGCCTTTGGGCGGGCTAGGGCGGAGCGGATCGGACTTAGTTTTACAGTTTTACACTGCGGAAATTTACAAGGAAATATTGTCCTTAAGATATTTAGACATATGTATTTTTATTGAAATTATTGGGTGACATTTAGTTCATTATTTTATTCTTCTACACATACATATATGTCTGTATATGTTTATTTCGAAATAGTAGTATTTTATATCAAACAGCATAATTCATTCATTTACAGCCAATATTATTTCCAATAATACCGTAATGCGATTAACTATTTCTAGGCTACAAATCTATTTAAGGGAAACCTCTTGAAAATATAGAAAAGCCTTTCGATAATTTTCCCCCTCACATACTATGAAACCCTAGTAATAGCTCCGCATGTCCACCGCCAGCGCCTTAAATACAATTCCTAGTTAGTTTTAAACTAAAACTAATTTCGTATTAAAACTATGACAAAAGAAATGAAATAATATGAGATTGCAAAATTCATTCATGTCATTAATAAAACATTATATCCTTACAAATCTGTTTGGAAGAATCTAGAATAAAAGATATTCACTATTCATCTAGAATAGAATGTTTTTACACTAACAAATATCACTATAGTTACAATTACAAAATGCAGTTATTGTATAGTTTTATAATAAACTAGTAGTTCCTGGGATGAGATCGTTCAAACAAAGTTTGCAGCTTTATAATATTAGTGTAGATGTAATGTACTAATTGAGATTTAAACATTGTTTTGACTTTTGAGTATTAAATTTATTGTTATTATAGATAGATAAGGTCCAGAACATGTCCGCATTTATGATATATCTTAAGAATATTAGTGAAACATATTTACTTTCATGTGGTAACGAATTATTTTAAGTAAATATAAAAAAAGGTGTTCCTCGTTTACTTTTTTCTGAAGTGACGTTTAAGTTTCATTCCGTCGAATTAGTTATTAAATTTTAATCTAATTTTATTTTCGAAAGTAACTTATTTGACTTCTAGTGGAAAATGTACTTTAATATTTTATAAATAAATCGTAATAGTGGTTAAAATACTACTATTAGTCAAGTCTTTACAAGTAGCTAACAACAATACATTGAAGTGACCAACTTATAACAACTTACAACTATAGTTGTGATGACGTGCTAAGTGACGTCATTCCAAATTGAATATGGCGAATTTCTAAACATGATCAATTAGTTACATTCTGCGAATATGGCTGAAAGAATTTAATTGATTTCAATTAATATTTTGTTCTCTGTATATTGATTGGTTGTATCAAAAATCACCACGTAAGACCGAAATATATTTTTCTTAAACTAATACAATATGTGGGTGTCTTATTTTAGTGTATACAACATTAAAATCAGTTTAAAAGATAATCATATACATGTATAATCACATCACGTAGTATCACAATGTTTCACATCTAGAAACGAGTATTTAAACAAGATTTCAGATTTCAGTGTGCGTCATTTTCCGTACCTAAATTATTTCGCCGTCTCGTCTGCTGGTGGCCGTATATATTCTTTCGTTTATGTCACCCTGGTACAATCGACCTCTGAAGCAGCCTTGTCACCCCTACTGAGAGTAATCTTAAAGGTCAAGCTTAAATGCCAAAGGTTCAGAATTAGTGCTTTCTTGTGACGGATACAATTTATGGTTAAACCGGTTTTTTTAGTTTTATTTTTAAAAATAAAGGTAAATATATAATGCAATACGATGAGAATAAGAAAAAAATAGGTAAGAAAAAAATTATAATAAGAAAAAAAATTAAACTTTAAAAAAATAAAGGGAATAAAAATTACTTTAAAAAGTTTAAGTATAGGACAATAGGCAAGCGTTTCTTTGATTTTTCAATTATATTTGGGCTCATTTAATTAGCCCTTTGTTATCTTATTGGCTGAAATTACCCCTTGTAGCACGTGTCACTTGTGCGCCATTGTCTGCTCGTGACCCCTTGTACCAGGACATCATAAACAACAAAGGGATCCGAATTCACCATTCACCCTCACACAATATGCTAATATGAAATTTTGGGAATGAACTTCAAAGCGGTGACTGCTGTAGAAAATAATTAATATTTTTTTTTCTAACGCACCTTTTTAACCAACGGTCGTGATTATATTTAGGCGGCAAAAATACATATGTAACTTAATACAAATTTCCAATTAAGTGTGTAATATATGTATAATTATTCCTTACCAAATAATTAATAAAAGTTATCAAGCTAAGCATTACAAAATATATGTTCCATCTTCTCTATACTATTACATATTATGTTCTATCTTATACTTATGTGTTCGCCACCCTCACCCTTCCACCCCATGATAGTGGAGCGCACTATTTCCACCTATTCGCCATTCTGTTATCCTATTATGTTACACTAGCTTACGCGGGCTGACGGCGCTCGACGCCGGGGCTCAGCGTCGTTGTGCTCCAGTCAGTCTATGCTACCCTGGTACATTCGTAGTTAGGGTGTTACGTCACCATGAAAATCAAAACTCGTAGCGCTACGAAGGTTCGGCCGGCGTAGCTCGTAGCACGTCTACGAATACGCTACAAGCAACTTAACGATTATAAACAAAGATTGGAATTAAAAATAACTATTAATTTAATATTTGAAAATGGCTTTTTAAACTTAATTTAAATTAAGTTTTATTAATAAAAAAAGCATCTAATCTGACAGATGAAATCTTTGACTTTATTTTTTTTTAATCAGACCTCACGAATCGGACGTAGATCTTGATTATTCTACTTTAAAATTATTATAAAAAAGAATAAATTAATTTATAAATTCTCTCATATACTTTTATAATAAATTTAAGGTCGATGTAAATGAAACGGTAGATTTGAATAAGTTTTGTTTCGCGTGTGTGGGCGTCTTTGTGCGGGCGTATTTTTATAGTTGTGAGAGTGTCTAACACAAAGTAACATTAGGTACGCAGGTTACAAGTAACGCCTAAGTACTAAGGTACCAGTGGTTAAAAGGGTAACATAGTCCCAACATCTAGATTCTCTTAACATACTACTAGAGCCTTATGTTACCCGTTGTATTGAAGTTGAAGTTATTTCACGAAAGCAGGATTTATACATCATGTTGGCATAAAAATAAATGCAATTTATAAAAATTACTCATATTAAAAACTTTTATACTTTTTTGACCGTTTTGTAAATTAAATTTTCATCTATAATTTAAGTTATTAATATGTTTATTTTGCTTTGTTTAATTTTAATTATGATCTAGCAGTTGCATAGATTAAAACAGAACGAAACATAGATTAAAATATATTAATATTGAATAAGATCTGTTAATATACATAAAGATATGTTAGTTTATAATAATTATTATTTTCTATGGACTCAGTAGTTAGGGCAAATATTTAATTTGAATAATATCGTTAATATTTATAAACGTATATATAAATATACGACTACATAGTTGACAGACTATATCTCTACTCCCACGGAGCCGATCTCAATTAATGAGGTTGTATTTTTCCTGTCGTCAAGAAAAATTTAAGCGAGATTATTTCTAAGGTTATTTAAAATAAGCGAATACCTTTTAGTACGTTATATCATATTAAGGAGAAAAAACTTTTTTCTGCAGTTACAATTCTAATGATTGCATATAGTTTTCATAAATTGAATATTTTTTTAATAATAATTATTACATTAAATATTATACTTTTTGTTTACCCAAATTTTTTGGGTACTCTGTAATACTTTAAAATATTAAATGAAAACAAAACTAATATTTTCGGATGTACTGCGCGTTTTCTTTTTTTAAATAACTCCGGACGTTTCGGTTACTTTGCTGTAAAGCACATCGTTTGCACAAAAAAGTGTACATTCAAAAATATTAGTTTTATATAAATGAATACTCTCAAAAGTCTTATTTATTATTATAAAGTTTATATACTTGTGGTCACTAAACGAATATAGTGTATAATTTTAGACGTACTTCTGTATATCAAAGTTAGCAGTGTTTTCTACTTAATATGTTGTCGTTCATTAAGTATTTTGCGCATTTGGTCCTCTGCTGCCTTAGTACTACCAGAATGGTGCTAAAACTCTGCGCATGACGTCATCCGTGGAGTCCAATGGCTGCATCTACGTCATAGCCTCCATCTTGAATGTCTACTAAGGATAAAGACAATACGGACAATTTATACATTAATTATTACCTTGATATGTTTACCTTATACGATGTTAGCATTTGAAGCTTAGTTGTCCTTTTTCATATTATAAATATGCTGCATCTCTTTCTTTTAATCGGATGTTCTCTTCTCACTCACACACAGTAAGCGCGATCAATAAAGCCATCACCACAAGTCTAATCGCGGCCGATCGATGGACGTGTCTCTGTGTGATCGAGTGACGTCAGTGTCTCATATTGATTTTTCATATTCCATATTCTGATGTTCATGTGTTCCTGGTATCTAAGTATGCCGAGGAAAGCTTTCGTTACGGGAAATTTCGATGACTTGAGAAAATTCTTGAATGGGGGTGGCTTTTGAAGACATTTAATTAAAATACAGAAGTTTTCTATAAAATAGGTGTACAGGTATTTTAATTGAAGAATATTGTTCTCTTTTAACCAGAAATATTTTTTTATAATTTATTTTTTGTATAGTGGCGTCCTATTTAAACCTTCAGTGATATCTGTATGGTGGGGATCTGAACGGTTAATTATGTTTATGAAGGAAGTATTCCCGTCTAACTAGCAAATTACGAGAGGAGAAGTTCAATTGAGCGTGGCTCCAAACTCCGCCCACATGTCCCGGGCACTTCATCTGCCAAATCCGTTTGTTAATCTGGCCGACACCTCCAACAGCGTATAGTCGCCTGGTACCCCCGGTGCTGTTTATCCGAATCTGTATCCGATTTTATCCGGGTTACCCGGCTTTGTAGCAATGGATCATCTGTTTTTCATTCTATCAGTGTTCTGTGTAGGATATATCCAATGTTACGGACAAAATAATTATTATTTCGAAAACCACAAGTACTGTGATGATCTCTCACCATATTTCGGTGAGATAGATTTGGATCAAATAACCGGTATTTGGTATGGTGTTGAGAAAATACCTCATACAAAAGGAGAGTATAAAATAGAACATACAAACGAATGTTTCTATATTGATATAAAGGAACTTCATATTCAGGTGAGTTATTTCCATAAATAAAAATTTCTTTGAGCAGATTTTAAAAATATATTTATTTATAACTTAATTTGAGTGATTTTAAGTGTATTTGAAATATAGTAATATTTTTTGCACATATAAGTGAGACATTGTTTCTTTTGTTATTTTTATAATAAGCAAATATACAATAGATCTATAATTATTATATGAGATAATACCAATAATAAATAACAATTAATGTTCATTATTGCATGTTTTATCGTGTTAACTTTGATGCTTCTTTGTTTATTGAAAATAACTTTATTCCTTTAAAAGTTGTCTAAATCACAATATGACAATGATAACCTTCTACATTAACATCTCATTAGAGGTGACACGTCAGGATGTGGGGTCGGTGAGTCAATTAACAGGTTAAGAGTGTGAAGTGTGCCTGTGTCACAATGATCGACCATAGTACTGGAGATACTCCAATTAACCGTTTGACTTCAATCTCACAACTTAGAGGCTAATTGCGCATTTTATTGCAACCAAATTGGGTTAAAATGCTCATATTATTAATATTAATTTTCGCATCTTCCGTGAGTCTTTCGGACGTTAAGTTCTGTGCGAATCTTCATCCAGTTGAGGATTTCGACGAAGAAGCTATTTTGGGGTTGTGGTACATAAAAGAGTATGTTTACCATAATGATAACGGAACTAAAACTGAATATAATCCGTACTGTCCCACGGTGCAAATAAGAAAATTTGAGGACTATGTTAGTGGTGGTCTTTTAAACCATAATCTTGTAAGTTTTATGGCTTGTTTCATGGGCACTAGGATAATAATTATGATTATTTATTTATGATAGTCTATAATTTGAAGTGTTTATTGCTAGTGTTTAAAAGAGAAGAGTATTTTTCATACTCTAAAGTTCATCCTAAAAATATATGTATGTCATTTTGCCCTTTTGGAACATAAGTATACTAACCAAAAAAATGTTTATTTGGGCGATACTTGATAATATTTGTATATTCACCTTTTCCAGCCTACTCCTCCGACACCGTACCAGCAGATGACAAATTCTCCGTACCAATTAGCAAGCAGACCATACAATTCTCCGGAACCGTATAGAATTAGACACTTTGTTTTAGAATGGCATGAAGGACTATGGAAAGATGATTATCATATTAAAGTGAACACTTCCCATAAAGGGTTTTGGCCTACGGATGTCCCCTATGGATGTGAGTTACATCAAATTTAATAATATACGAAGACTATTGTTTTCGTTATTTGCATTTTTATAATATTTAAAAGACTTTAGTATAACTCTAAAATCAAGGTTTTGAAACGAATATGTAATAATAATAAGTTTAGCGTCTAATTCAGTTCCTATGATGTTCTCACAATCCAAAGAACAACATATTCAACATATGTGAGTAATATTCCATCACGACTAGAAGATCTAATGAATAGAAAATTCACATTTTTCAAACACATACTTAAATAAAACGAATTGAATTTTTTTCTTCTCTGAAGGTACATATTTTAAAGATTCCATTTGACTATCAAGGTCAAGTATTATAGCTGTTGTGTAAACTATTACGTCAAACAGTTTTTCATTTACCCTTTCAATATTAGTCATATAGACTAATAAAATGCAATATTTCAGCTGTGGACAAAATGTATCGTTTCTTCGGTGGTGTGATCCAAGTTTTAAAAGTGTCTCACAACCATTTGGTGCTCAACTTCTGCATGAGGTTGCCCCATTCTCAACTGTACAGCGTTGTACTCGCGAGGAACGAGAACCAATTAACACCGGGAGATCTTACCAGCATCCATAATATATTTTCCATAAAGAACCTGTCAACTTCCTCTCTCAAACGAGTCTGTGAAAGTTCAGCTGTCAGCTTTAAACTCTCCGGTTCACTGATTTTATGTTTCTTACTGATATTTTCAAAATTACGTTTGTGATAACGACCTATTTACTAAGCATAATGTATGAAATAAATTATTTATATTTAATGAATATTTTTTTAATACAATGATAATATTATAATAAAATGTATTTTTTAATGCTTATGTTTCATTTGTTATGGCTCTAAAGTTTAAGACCATTTAGAAAGTAATAAACACGGCATAAAATGTTAAAATTAACTTCATTGTTGTTTCATGAAAACGTTGTTATGATAAATCAGAAATATTGTAGCCCGTAGGTATTGTATAGAATGCAAAATCAATTCCACGGTCTATTTCAGAGAAAACGAGGCCTAGAAAAAAGTATAATTATAATTTAGAGTCTAGATATTACAACTGACCACTATATTTCACATAGAACTTTCTCTAAATCTATTAAATAATGTTGGCATTGTTACATTTATATTAAATATCTTTAAAATAAAAGTACGAGTATTTATGACTGGCATTTATATACATCTTATAACCAAGAGGAGTTAACATTGCGTATAAAAAAATCTTATTTTATGTATGGACAAAGAAATATAGGTACTATTTATCATAATAAATAATATCGTGGGTCTGTGAAATAAAATGGATTCTTAAGATATGAAATATAAGATTCAATTAAATTATACTTCTATTTAAATTGTTACTTGTTTGATAGAAAATTTACTACATTTTATTTTTAATTTTTACTTAATATCGATTAAACTAAAATAAGGAGTCGTGTTTTGATTTATTAATATTTATGTGCAAGGTTGTTTAATTGTTCCCTAATTAATTGGAAAGCTAAATTTAGAAAATAAATTTAAAACAAAGAGGCCTGTGATTAAAGTTCACTTAAAAATTTGTGTGAAATTGAGTACAAATATGATGTTAGTGCAAAATTACATCAATACTGACGAAGAAAACGAATACAATTTGAAAACGTAAAAACTTAGGTACTGTTTAAAACAAAACTTGCGAGTTATTTAATTTAAAATAATTAATAAGTCTGAAAATAAACGAAGTACCTAGTCATATTTAAAAACTTATTATTAAATTTATCGTTACTTACTATTATGTACACAGTCGAATATTAATTATTATAGTTCAAATTGTTTGGTTTTAATTTTTATACGTAATATTTTAAGTAGGAATTTTCAAATCAAACAAGCGTTGAAAATGGAATCGAGATAAGTTTGTTGAGCGAATCGAAATGTGTTATTCAGTATACATAAACTACTTGTAGCAATTTAAACAGTTCCTTTGAGAGTATTTTATTTAAACAAGGAATTCCATTAATAAACATTTTTATAAAAAGATGCATAAGATACATCTCTTGAATGTGTTAAGTATAATTAATTACTGTGACTATGTATTACGTGACGTACAATAACAGCAACCTGAACTAATTTGCTAATTAAAAGCGAGTTGGCCGCGACCGACGCCTTGTCCCACATACTCCGTGATATCCAGAGTGTCATCATGTTCGTTCAGATTGTTCAGCTCGTGTCATATCTTGTAGTAATCTCCGTGAATAAGGTCGAAGGTATATGTGGGGATACTGTACGCTGGTCTCATAGAGTCAATATAGATGATGTCTTTGGGGTGTGGTACGGAGTGGGCTACGCACAACATAACCCAGATATGACGAATAAGCCTAATGAAGTCGGATGCGTGTCTCTTTACATAACCGACGCAACTAATGAATTTGAAGACAATTGGCTTGATTGGTCTGTGAGTGTAATTCACACTTGTAATTACCAGTGATTGTTTTCTTTTAATGCTAATGAGTTTTTCTATCAGTTCCAGAGAAGAAATTTTTCAGATCAGAATTGGCGTTCGTCTAAAAGCAATCCTTGGTCAGGAGACAAGTTGGCTGGATCGTGGCTTGATATACGTTTAAAACGGAGAGCGAAAAGGGATTCTTTGGATGAGAAACGTATTAGAGTTCTGTGGGATGAAGATGGTCACAGTCTTGAGCAAATTTATTTATATTATCCCGAGGAGCCAGGTCTTTGGACTGCAGAGAGACTGCTTCCTGGAGAAAGGCAGTTAATGTCCAGAGGAATTGGTACTATCATCGTTCTATAAAGAATCAAGTATCATATACTATTACGTCAGCGTAATACCTATAGGAGGTATTTTTGTATCAGCGGTTGATATAAAACATAAGATAAAGAACATTTTTCTCAACATTATTTCTAACGCATAACTTAAAAGAAATAAATTAATACAAAATAATAATTACGAAGTTAGAAACTTAAGTTTTCTGACTGAGGAAAGTTTATAATAACTTTTATTTACAGATGTCTGGTATCCAGATGACCCACCTCGTCATCCAGATGTAATTCGGCTACTGAAGGTCACTCCGAACACGCTGGTTCTTAATCATTGCGCTGAGTTGGGTAATGGTGGTATATTTACACTTATATTACGAAGATCACCATCGAGGGTCCAGAAATGGGAGTGGTATCAGTACCAGAGAGAGTTCTATAAATTCGAACTACCCAACGTGTACAGATATTCAGCTGTCTGTGGAACAGCTATCGCTTTTAGTTCAAATATACTTTTAACAGTCTTAACTTTTTTTGCCAGTGTACTATATAAATGAAACATTAAATAAATAAAATTTTATATAAAAATATTTGTATTCTTATAATCCTTATATCAATATTCCTTTAATGTAAGCGTTTAAGCAAGAATGTGCTGAATATTTGAATCGCAAGCAAATAGAACATGTAGAGTAAAATTTCATTCCACGAGCGGAATCTACAACTTCTGGAATATAGCATTCCAGGTGTCCGTTCATGACATTAGTATCGATATGAAGGATAAATGTTTAGAATGTTTAATTCGTCGAGTCAGGAACGCCGCATTCCAGAAGTACCGTTTATCAAGGAATTTTTCATTCCATATTTTTAAGGATTTTATTTTATAATAAAACATTTAAATTGTAAGTTATCACTTAATATTTTAAGTATGTTCTTCATAAGTATATTTTGCCTGCAATACAAGTTGATTCTCTGTAATCGCAAAAATATTTCAACATGTTTATACATTTCAAAGAAAAATTTTCGGTATGAAATTGAAGAACAACAATCGCATAAATGCAATATTGAATGTGTGTAAAAATAAATATAGGTATTTTTATGAATTCTGTTTTCAGTGCTCTCGGGAACTGTTGTACATGATTTTGGAAAAACATTTTATGAAAACAACAATAACTGTAGAAATAAAATATTTGATGTATGAATAGTTTTACCTTTAGATTTTCTTTTTACATGCTCGTAGCGTGCCACTATGTATAAGTATTTAGAACTTAGTAGTTCTGACTTAGGTCAAGGATAACTTATATCCAACTCCCACCCACGAGTTTCGTAGTTCTTTTGACAAAAGAAAATAAATTAGGAATACATAAATACATCTTAATTCAAAGGTTTTAATTCTACGTTCCTTTATAATACATAAATCGTTGAAATGGACAGATATTCGTTTATTAGTTTTTGCGTGCCAAACTAAATATCATAGTTAGCTATCCTGAATTTTTTTTAATTTTCTTATTATATTGATGTTGGTACAGCAATTTTTTTTGCAGGCGCTTTCTCTACTACATAATATCACTCATTATGATGCCTTAATTAATATTCCGTGAGAAATTAACGTTCAAAATGAACTTAATAATGTTGTTTGGGCGGATGTGGTGACTTTTGATCCGAGATCCTAGACGGGGTCACTCAGGAGAGACAGGAACCATGAGAAGATTGTTCTAATTAACCCAGCAATTATAACTAAAGTCAATAGTTTAATTTGTTTTTCGTCCGGTCTAACTGTTAGAACGTGACTACTGACTACTTAGACCATTTACGTCATCCGCTTATAAGATTAGGTTTTGTTTTATATAAAAGGTATTAAAATTTTCTATTAATGTTTACATACTTATTTAAATTCTTCTTGATTTTCTATTATGGTCTTAAATTATTATTCAATAAAAATATAGTGTATAGCATAACTTAATAAGATACAAGTATATTTATTATGTACAAACTACGAACGACGTTTACATAAATAAAAATAATATTCAGTATAACATTCGATGATGAATTAAAAATTACATGCTAATATCAAAAGTTCCGATTAAAAAATGTTGAATGTAATTTTAAAAACGGTAGCAATTAACATATTAAGTCAGTGGTGGCCTAGTGGTTAAAAGGCCCGCCTCTCATGCACGAGGGCGCGGGTTCGATCCTGGCCCGGGCAAGTACCAATGTGATTTTTCCGAGTCATATGTACTTTCTAAGATTATTTAGACATCACTGATTAATGCTGATTCCGAAAAGAGGGTTGATGTCAGGCAGGCGGCCGGTCGTAAAAACAATTAGCCAAAACTATTCACAACATGTAAGGCAGACCCTGGTTAGAGCTGGGAAATTGCTAGGTAGAAGGTAGGAAGGTAGGTAGCAATTAACAATTTCATATAACTTATGTGCATAGGGCTTTTCGAAATAAAAACCTGTAGATAGGTATTTAATAATAAAATAATTGCGACTTACCCATAAAGGGGTTTAAGGTACCATATTGTTATTACTATTTAAATAAGATTTAAATATAGAATATATAATTAAAATTCATCGAGACGAGCTTGATTTGGTCTAGATGACTCCGACCCAAGTAAGGTCACGATAGTTTAATTGGGAAAGCAACTGAAACGCAATATTCTCGAGGTTGCAGGTTCAAACTTTGAACATTTCAATTAATTTTTCATATTAATTTTACCACTTAAATTTTAATTTAAGTATTTAATAGTTACTCAACATTCTGCAATATTTTTTAAAGATTATCCTAAACGATAAACTAGTACTAATAAAAATAGTTTGTATTAGTATACTTACTTTTTGACGAATGCTTTGAGAATATTTATTATATAGATATATTATGTGCATTTTATATATCAAAAAACATCTTTATATATGTTCAATATCGGTGATGTATATAATTCAAATCACGACTTTATATGCAATTGATGATTCCTTTACGACTCGTTTTGAATATTAAAATTATTTAAATATTATTAAAACTAGATGTCGTCGGTTCTAGAGTAGATGTAATGTAACCAATACGTTTTTAATTACAGAACATTATATAGCAATTATTTTTTTATGTCCAAAACGGCAAACAAGCTGTCGGCCTACCTGATGGGAAATAGTTTTCTTCGCCCAGGAACATCTGCAACGTAAGGGGCGTTGGGGATGCATTGCCGGCATTAGTAAAATATAAATTATAACATTAAATAGATTTTATATTCAGTTTATTTAGTATCGTTTATCAGCATTTCGAACACAAGCTTAATAGTTAAATATCTTTTAAGTTATCTCTATACTTATAATAAATCTATAGAGAGGACAATTTTGTACATAAAATATATTTTCAAGATTAGTATCAGGGGATAATTAGTGAGTGATACTGATGTCCGTCTGTATATTCCTTATAGAAACAAATACTACTCGACGAATTTTAACGAAACTTGGTACAATTGTTCTTCATACGGGCAGGTTAAAGTATACTTTTATTACGCTACAATCAACAGGAGAAGAGCGTTGAAGGGAAATGTTGGGAAAACGGACGAAATTACTTAATTTTTTAAGCTTCAAGCGCCTGTGCAGGGTTATAAGTTAAAGCTTCATAGAAACCATTTATGACGGGTATAAAATTATATAAAAAATATCCCACAACAGCATATGCTGATAGACAATAGACATATCTTTTATGGTTGACTCACAATAACACGTGTAACTTCCTATAGCTTAGCAGTCAAAGGTTTCTAATAATATTTGTTTAGTCTTACTTTTATAATACTCTCACTCATTTCTAATTTAAAAAATATATTATTACCTATTCAATTAAAAAAGAATCGTAGAAATCGGTATAGAAACACCAAACTCAGACATGAAATATGCTAATAAACCATACGGAAACGAGGACGAAGTCGAGGGCAAAAGCTAGTAAAACATAATTTTCTTTTAAGTTAGCTAAAAAAAAGAATAATATGTATATATTATTACAATAAAAATGGCCAAAATGATTTTATTCTGTTGCAAAAAATATTGTAAATCATTAAAAGAGTAATAAAAAAATTTTTGGCTTTCTATAATTGACTATTGATATTTTTATAACAATTTACACACTTCGTGAGCAATAACATCACACTCATTTTCAAAACTACCTAAAGGGTTCTCACGTTCGAAGCAAAGTGATGTAAGTTACATTTTATTTATTTATTTATTTATTTATTTATTTTGAACGGTTCACACAACAGATTACAACTTAATATGCGAATAATTAATGAGCAAACATTATAAATGAACTGAGTTGCAATCCAACAATTATGCGAACACAGATTATATACAAAGTATCTCACTTATAAAAAAAGAAAAAAAAAAACACATCAGCACTCAAAAATACGTAACACAACACACTTACAAATGAAAAATAATGAAAAATAAAAAATAAACAAATAATATAGATTCGATCACTATTCCTGGCTGTTAACCGAAACCAATCGTTTTTTAAATAGCTTTAGGTTTCTGTTGAAAACGTCGATACCATCCAACCCGTCGTCCTCAAGAGAGACCCTATTGTAAGCGCGACACATACGTCCGATAGGATTGTGATACGAGATATTGTTATTATAAACATCCAGGGTAAATGTTCTGGGGTGTCGGAATTTAAAGTTGATGTTTATATTTATGGAGCCTAGAAGCGTGGGTGAATCAACGACACCGTGAATAATTTTGTGCAAATACACTAAGCTGTTACAATTGCGACGCTTTTCAAGCGTTTGCAGTCCGAAACGGTTGAGCCTGTCGTTGTAGCTTTCGAGTGTACGTCCGTACCGATGGCGAGAACTAAGCAGTCGCAAGAACCTCCTCTGTACTGCCTCGACCTTATCACAGTGTATTTTGTAGTTGGGTGACCATATGACCGAGTTGTATTCCAAAACGCTGCGAGCCATGGTACAGTATAGATGTATGGAAGTTTTTGGACTCCTAAAACTTCTAGTGCCCCTGCTTATGAACCCGCACAATCTGTTACCCTTGTTAGTAATGTAGTCATAATGGTCCCTGAATGTGAGTTTATCGTCAAATATCACGCCTAGGTCTTTCGCGGTGGATTTGCGTGTAAGTATTTTTTCGTTTAATGTGTAATCAAAAAGTATTTTTTTCGATCTTTTCAGTGTAAAGCTTATTACAAAGCACTTTTCTGTATTTAACGTCATATGATTATTAGAGCACCATTTAGAAACAGCGTCTAAGTCCTTCTGAAGAGATGTAGCGTCGTTAGTGTTGTTAATCGAGGAATACATTTTGAGATCATCAGCGTATAGTAAAAATTGACAAGACAAGTTCTTAGCTAGATCATTAATAAACAATATAAAAAATAATGGTCCAAGGTTCGATCCCTGTGGTACCCCAGATGTAATTGTAGCCGGGGAAGAAGTGTACCCTTTGATTGCAACTAATTGAGTTCTCCTGTTTAAATATGATTCTACCCATCTTAGTAAGGAGCCATGGATTCCGTATGCTTTAAGTTTGCGACAGAGCAAAATATGGTTTACCTTGTCAAATGCTTTTGAAAAGTCAGTGTAAATCGAGTCCGTTTGTCCACTTTTCGCGAAAGTGTTACAAATGTAGTTCTTATACTCTAATAAATTTGTTGTAGTGGAACGGTTTTTTATAAAACCATGCTGCTTTTCAGAGAGTACTGGATATACATGATGATAAATTTTGTCGTATACGATAGATTCAAAGATTTTGGAGAAACATGATAAAATACTGATAGGTCGGTAATTTTCGCAGTGCGAACGGTCGCCAGATTTATGAATAGGAATAATATAGGCTGTTTTCCAATATTTGGGGAAGATACCGTTGTTCAGGGACATGTTGAACAGAATAGCCAGTGGAGCACTAAGTTCTTGAGCACATGATTTTATGAAAGATGGTGGTATCCCGTCTGGGCCTGCACCCTTATGTTGATCTAGATGCCTGATTTTTTTGCATATTTCATTTTTAGAGATAGAGAAGTTACTTAGGGTATCATTACTGTAGTCGACCGCCTCAGGGTTGTATAGGCCTTTTAAATTGGAAGAACTAAATACTGAACTAAAATAATCTGAAAATAATTCGCAAGCATCCTGGGCGTTCTTTGAAATTTTATTCGCATATTTTACAGCTTCCGGTATTGAGTTAATTTTGGAACCTTTTTTATCATTTATGAATCGATAGAAAATCTTTGAGTTAATATGTATTGAGTCTTCCACCGAACACACGAAATCGTCGTAACATTTGTCTATAAGGTTCTTGCTTCTTTTACGTAGTAAAGAAAAAGTATCGTAGTCACGCGGATTATTAAATTTTTTAAATTTTTTGTGATATTTATGCTTTTCGATTTATTTTGTCTAATTGTTACCTGTGGCTTTAGATTCAAAGTAATAGCAATAGGTGGATGATGTTTGTCAATACGACTTAAAGTTGAGTCTACCGCACTGTTTACTTTGATTGCCGATAGATTTGATAAGACGAGATCTAAAAGTCTGTCATTATGATTTCGAATACAGTTAAATTGTTTGAGATTGCAAAAGTTCATTGTGTCTAGTAATAAATGTGATTTGTGATCCTGACAAGAGCTAGGTATAAGATAATTAGATGTGGGTGTATTTTGCCATGTTAAGTTCGGTGTATTAAAATCTCCTATAATTAAGAAATTGTTCGTCTCGTTTATGTCGGTGATAAGTTTAGTGCAAGAAGCATAGTAAGATTCAATACTGTCCACAGCAAGGTCAGGAGGCAGATAGCAGAGACAAAGGTGAAGAGCACAGACATTATCTTGAGTAGATATACTCAACCACAGATCCTCGATATCACTGTCCCAGGAAGTTTGTCTTAAAACATAAAAGCTTTTCTTAATCGCCACAACTACCCCACCGCCGTCTTTTTTGTTAATACTGGAAGTGTAGCGGTCTCTACGAAAAACATTGTAGCGTGAGTCGAAGACTTCATGGTCGAATACTTCGTCATTGAAATTGGTTTCGGTTAAGCAAATAACGTCATAATTGCTGTTTAAAATATTGAGGGATACATCAACAGTTTTTGATCTAATTCTATTAACATTCTGGTAATATATTAACATAATAAGTACTTTTGGTTTCAAAATATAAGATTTAGAATAAAGCGAAAGATTATACAATTACTTACTACTATTAGTTATTTTAAGTTTTTTAAGCAATCTTCGTTTTTAATAAGGATAGCCGATGACGAATCATTTTTGCGTACGTAGACGTTTCCATACTTGACCCAGACGTATCTATATTGTTTCTCTTTAGAGACTTTCCGTGCGGAGGCGTAAATCATTTTACAATCTGGGGATAGGTGCTCCGTTACATAGATTTTTCTTGACTCGCCAGTAACTCCTATAAGGCTCGAGTTTAATGTTTCTTTTGGATGTCTTTTATTGTATCTGTGTACAGCAGAAAGAATGGTGTCTCTTATGTAAGGAGAGCTTAAGGTAACCAGAATATTACGCGGTCGAGCTGAGGATGGGTTTAATTTGGCGACACGGCGGCATGCGTGGATTTGTATGGGATCGAGGGGTACGTTAATGATTTCACATAATTTTCTGAACAGATCCATGACGTTTTCGTTACGCGACTCAGGCACAGCTTGCATCTCAAGGTTATGGCTGCGGGAACTTTTTTCAAGTAAACATATTCGATTGTTGATCTTCTGCACGTCATTACGTAATCGTGAGTTTTCAGTCTCCAAACTGGAAATTAGTTTTGTTTTTGTGTCAACTTCTTTTTTTTAAATTTTCATGTTCAGCGCAGATAAAATCAGTAGTTGAAGAGAATTCGTCTTTTAAATTTTGTATTGCTGCATCCATTTCAGTACGCACTAGGGTTTTTATATCTTCTCGTAGTGTCAAACGAAGATTGTTCATGTGTGCCTGTAGAGTGGTGTTAAATTTTTGATCAAGCAACTCACTTATTTTATCCATAGTGATTACGTTATTGTCGTTTACATGTGCTGTTTGTGTTTCGCTCGGTGTGACATTACCGACTTCAGTGTAATCACACGACACATCAAGTGAATCTTCAACAGTAGGAATTTGATTGTGTCGAACGGGAGTATTAATATTTCCTCTGTTTCTGCGTGTTATGTTTGTACACGCTGGACAAATCCATGAAGCTCGAAATTTTAAGTTGAGGCGTTTGAATTGCTCATCAGAAATGTTCAGGCACTTGTGATGGTACTTGTCTTGACATAATTTACAAGTGAAAAATTTATTTCGTTCTAAATGCATTTGTTTACATCCTTTGCACTCCATACTTTCAATCACGATATAATTTAAACCAGATAAAATAAATTTTTTCAAGAATTGGCTTGGGATTGAACCCTGGTTTGTCGGTGTTCAATTCTGTAGCTTACAGATTATGCCACCGTTGTAGTTAGTAGACCGTGTGAAAATATGGTATCGTATGTACACGTTAACAGTGAACTTGTATACCCGATTTTTATGTATTTATTTTCTACCCGTTCACTGTAATTGTAAAACTGTCTCACTGTTTTTATTCTTTTATTTTTATGCTTTCGATAACCTGATATGTACCTGTGATTGTATATGTTGAGTTCCTTGAGCACAAAATACGAATATAGCACAAGCACAGTAAAGTTGTTAGTTTTTATTACGAAAAATAGACGGCTTGTTCTGTTTTTTCCTCACTCCACTGATGTTGTTGTTTGTTAATTTACACTATAATAAAGACCACAAAACACTGTCACTTTAAAGGCGTATTATAAGTTCTCAGATAACATGGAATATGATTATTAAATCACGATAATTATATTTTTAATTTTAAATTGTTACGGAGCTGATGTTGCTTACGTGAGAGAGAGAGACATTTTACTATTTCAAAGATCTTTTGAAGAACAGACCTAAAAAGAAACAATATTTTCTCATTTTCCTGGTATGAATAAAAAAGACAATTAATCACAAGTATAAAAATTATTATAATATGTTTGTTTCGACATTTTAATTTTATATACATACATATTTTAAATTTTTAATGTGAAAGGTGGCAAACGAGCAGACGGCCTACTTGATGGGCGGTAGTCTCCGTTGTTCATGGACATCTGCAACACTTGTTTGTTTATGCGTTGCTAACATTAGTTTTTGTGGAAAAGAGAGGGATTGGTATAAGGAAATAGCAGAAAAGAGTTTGAACAGGGAAAGGGCGAAAGGCTCTCTCACTCATCGGAAAAAACGTAGTCAAAAAATGACTACTTCACGCCAAACTTCTGTGAGAGGGTGGTACTTCCTCGATCGAGCCAGCCCATATTCGAGATGTAGTTACTTGACCACATTTAAGCTCTACCGCCTATTTGAATTTAACACAGCTAAGACGACGTTAAAAATTGTTTGCGTTAATAAGTACCAGACAACGAGTAAGTTTTATAATACATAATTATATTTGAATCTTTTTATCCTCTTGATAATTGAAAGCTAAAAAGTAATTCACATACCGCATTTATGTCAAGAAATACACGAGATAACAGTAACCTTAGAACGACATTTATATAATAGAAAATGAAGTTCCTTCGTTATTGTTCACTCAATTAAATTATAAAAGCTCATCCCAAATTCAGAAGGCAGTAAAAAAAATAACTGTTATATTTTACGATCGTCTTACCCTTATGTTTGATAAATATATGTAATTATTACAGTTGTGTCCGGCTGTATCTCTTTTTACATCTTCTTCTTCTTCCTGGCAACCTCCCAGCTTTAGCCAGGCTCTACCAAAAGGGTCTTTTTACATATATACATATTATTAAAAAAAGGAAGTCAGTGGTGGCCTAGTGGTTAAAGGGCCAGCCTCTCGTGCATGAGGGCGCGGGTTCGATCCTGACAAGTACCAATGTGATTTTTCAGAGTCATATGGACTTTCTAAGAGTATTTAGATACCACCGGTGAAGACGGTGAAGGAAAATATCGTGAGGAAACCTGGACTTAAATATAACTTCATAATTATAAGTTTTAAATCACCAACCCTTCTTGAGCAAGCGTGGTGATTAAGGCTCAAATCTTCTCCATGTGATAAAGAGGCCTTTGCTCAGTAGTGGGCTCTGATTGGCTGATGATGATTTCAAAATTATTATATGTTGTGTAAACAATAAACTGGGAAATATAAGTGATTATTATATTATTAGTTCATATCTCCGTCTATTTTATTATGTCATCATTATTTTTAAACAGAACAAGTGAAACACAGTATAATATATGTGTGTAAAATCATATTGATCACATAAGTCATAAACTCTAAAAGTCATATTTTCGAGTTGTTTAACTTTGGCAGCCGCTGGATGTGTCAATTAAGCTTGATTAATTTACATCCCACTCTTGTAGTAGTTCGTGCAGTAACACGCTATCACGAGCCACCTACCACGCGACATAAACACGCTGCAATAAACGCCATAGAAGATGAATCGAATAATTTTACTACATTTTTTATTTACCCTGGCATACGGAGCTAGCCAACAAAGATATGGTGTAACAAATCAGTACCCAACATACACAACAGTAGCCAGTTTATACAACGAAAATCAGTTTCCCTATAAGACAAATTATGGCAGTGACGTTGCCTCATTCCCAGAAGCTACTAGGTATCCCAACTATAACTCCGCATACTCGACGGTAACTCCTTATCCGTATAACTCAGCTGGATCGAATAACAACTATCAGTCGGGTTACACGACGCCTAACTACGGATCGAATCAAAACTATGGTTATGGTCAAGGATACAGTGGCCAGTCGTTCGGCCAAGGCGTCAGTACATATGAGATGCCATTCATGAAGTATAATGAAGGTTACTGTGTTAACCGATCTCCTCAGAACGGTATCTGGGTGGATAGTTTGACCGGCATGTGGTATGGAGTGGAATTTATCCAGCACTTGGCAGGAGACGCCAGAGTAGATTATGACAGAACATGCATCGTCATACACATATCTGAACCCGCTGATCAAGTAAGTTGCTTTTTTTATATTAAACAATTATAAATTGTGAAAATTTTTACCTGCTCAAAATGCTATACATGTCTTCTTCAATATGATTTATATGTGTAAATATGGATACCGAGATCTATCCCTAGTCCCTACAACTCGTAATATTATAAATGCGAAAGTAACTCTGTCTGTCTGTCTGTTACGCTTTCACGCCTAAACCACGGAACTGATTTTAATGAAATTTGGTACAGATATAAATTGACCTTGAGAAAGAACATAGGATAGTTTTTATCCCAGACTTTTGAGAGGTCCTCTTGGAAACGCGATATAACCGAACTACACGCAGGCTAAGCTGCGGGCGGAAAGCTAGTATATTTATTTATGTGAAAATATATCCACCGCAATACATACATGACTATAAACAAAGAAATATGATGTCATAATTTTTAAATTGATTGAAACATCATGTAAATGTGTAGTTGTTATATCACTGCTTTGTTAGACAAATACGTTGTAATAATTTTATTACTATGTAGATTTACTTTATCTTCTTCTACCTGGCAATTTCCCAGCTTTAGCTAGGGTCTGCCTTGTAGATTTACTTTAGATATATGTTATTATAATTATTGACAAATATAAAAGATCTGTGATATTTCTACTATATACTGTCTGTTATTTATTATTATTAGTATTCATCTGTTATCTAATTAGTAATTACGGGAACATTTAGACACACTTTGATGAAACTTTGGAAAATAAATGTTATTTAAGAGAGATAAATTGGTTATATCTGTCAAAAAAAGGCAATCAAAAAAAAATTTATATCAAATTTTGAAATCGCAAATGTATTTATTAAAAGTACGGCAGTAGAAGAAATAGGATGCTTTAAAATCATTCCAATTTTATTATCAATAGGCTAGTTGGACCGGAGTCACAGCTGTTAGTAGTTTTGTGTCTATATGGTCCAATCAATAGAAATTTTAGTAATAGGAACAATTAAGAATTCCCGATCACATCTTGATCGTAGCGACCAACTCCAGTTTACAGTTTACAGACTTAAATATATACAGATGTGGCAATTATATACATTATTTTACTAGAAAATGGAAAATGAGACATATCTTTAAACGTCCAAATTATCCAATATTCCAAATATTTTATTTATAGAAACTAATTACTATTTATTTTTTATTTTTAACAAGTTTAACATATTCAGATATTGATATATAAGACTGTATGGTTACACATCACAAAAGTATTTTTAATACCCGGAATTCATTTTTTTTTTTCATTTGATACAGATATTCTTATTCAGACTCCTCACAAAACCTATTTTGAATTTTAATACACCTTGTTCCTCTAATAGTGCAGTCAAAAATACAGATGTTTTAACAAAATACATTACGTTGATATTTGTTTCAGCTTTTTCAATAAAACAATCTTAATCCCTTTAACAATATATATGTATGTCTTTAATGAGTGCTCGTAATTGCTTAAACATTATGAAACTGAGTACACATCACAGAGTACTAGACATATAAACACTGAATTATTAATGATGATGCGACCATAGTAGAAATAAATAATTTGTATACAACTAGTGTCATTATAATGACCAACGGTAGATACATAAGATAAATGTTTACAAGAACGAAGGCCATTTCAGGCGAGGATCTTACTTTATATAGTACAGTTTACTTTGATAAATTCTAAATAAATAAGAATTTTGCAACATCTATCTAAAAATTTATATTTATACAAAATTTATTAGGTATTATTTTAATACGCGTGCCTTGCGTGAGGTGTTATTAAATTTAATTGACGTTTGTCTCCACAACCTTTTGACCCTCCAATTATAACCTTCGTTGACAATTTCTGTGATGAGTGGAACCTCTGTGCGATTGTAAGACTAGGGGTCAAATAAGATAGCTATGTGAGTCAGGACTGAACGCGCATCAGCGCTGCCACTGTCAGTTGTAAACTACCGCTTAGACGTGCTATTTTTAAAACCATCTAATGTTATTTTGTATATTATCCATATAAAAAAATGTGTATTTAAATTCTATATCAATTTTTAAACGCCATGGATATAGGTTTTGTGTTGTGTAGGTTTTTTTTTACGTTATGTATTTTAATGAACGCTATTGCTGAGGATGTTTCTAATAAAACCGATATACCGGTGAGGTGCGAAAATAATCACGATTACGATGATTTGGACATTAGAAATATTACTGGGAAATGGGAGGCTGTTGAACTCTACATGCATTTGAGTAACGAGGGTGTTAAGATATATAAAAGCTGTCCAAGAATAACGATTTGGGAGACAGAAGACATGCCTGTGTCTACTTTTGGGGTATGTGTACACTATGAAGTAATATTAAATAATTGCTCTGAGCAAAAAAATAAATAAAAAATTATAATGTATAAAGGAATTGTTATCGCAGTTTTTCTGACAAAGTAATCATTTATTTATATTACATATATTACAAGTTGCATATAAATTGTAATATTGAAACAAAGTAAAAAAAATATCGTATGTATGCAGCCAGTACATTATAGAGATAAGTTTTTAATGCACACGATAATACCTCATCGTTATATCATTAACATGACAGTATTTATTAAAACATAAAAACGAAACAATGATATGTCAGAAATTTATACACTTTTGCAATTTAATAATAATTATATTGGACAAAATATTTAACGTGAAAGTATTTTACTTAAAGCCACGATAATCTCACTTACAATTTATTTTATTATTATTTTATTGTAAAAGTGCTTATTATATATTATTTAATGAGTCCGTAAAAGGAACATTCCAGATAATTCTTAATAGTTCAAGACCTGCATGATTCCGTAACTAGGTCCACACAATACTAAACGACGCTTCAATTGAGAATTGTATTGCATAACAGATGTCCACTTGTTTGTAGAAACAGTTTGTTCAGCGTAACCTTAAATTATTGCCGTCTGTTAGAACGTCCTTGCCAATTGTCTTCCATTTTGAAATTTCAATAAAGAAAATGTTAATACATGTTGTAATTGTCTGTATGAATGAAGTAATTGCTTGTAAAATGTGTGAAAATGTTCTAGTTAGTTCATTAAGGGGGTTTCCCCGTTTCCCAGCATGGTTGCTAAAGTGATTTGAATTATCCGGTTATCTCCCTTCGTCGACCCTCGTTTCCTTCCAGTTGTATGGTACGATAAATTCGCTGGGATTTATTTAGGTATATGTGTAATTTTTAATTCACTCAATCCAATTCATCAAAGATTTAATAGATAGTATCTACAATATATTTCTTGAACTCCAAGAATAAAAAAAACAGTTTACTGAGACTATAAACTTTTAATTACTGAGCCTAGTAGTGAATGAGTCTCATTTAATATTGATATTTAAATACATGTATAAATCCCATTTAAGATATGTATTACAGTATGACGGAAAATTTCCATAATGTAACATTTGTGAAATATAAATTTAACATCAAATTCATAGAAGGAAAACTTTGACTTAATTCCTTCACATAGCTTTTCATATTATGAAGTAATATGTTTGTTTTCCAAATCGATATATTAATTTATATGCTATTTTAACATATGAATCATTCTATATCTATATAATGATCTGTGTCCAACCTCTTTGGCCCACGTAAATTAGGTTGAGTCATGTTCAACTATCATTGGGTAGGTCAATCTGGATGACCTAAAATTGTTAACGAGAATTAAGAGAAGATTAAAAGAGCTCACGTTGAAAACTCTCCGCTAATATGTCGACAGTAAACAGCTACTCTTATATATATAGGAATATCAAAAAAGTAACACAAAGTTGTTTATTTAGTAAAGATTTATAAATGAAATAAAAATAAAATGAATGCAAAGTCTAAATTAAAAAAAATACAACTCTCATATTATGTGATGTCAGTATACATTACCCGTAACTGATAAGATATTTAATAAGATTTAATTAACCTATAAATTTTAATAAAACAACTATTACAGAGATATCACTCATTTTTAATTGGATAAATACTTATTTGGAAATAGAATGTTTTTAACATATCTATTAACCAATTCAATTAAATTTATAATACTTTTAATCTATAGCGGTATATTTTTCTATTATTTTTTAAATGGATTATTTTAATACGTTTAACTTATAAATCGCTATTGTGTTCATTATTACTTTAAAAAGTTTATATTCTGTTATAGTGTTAGTCACAAACGCTTGAAGCATTCACTATTGCTCACACAATCAAGTCTCCCACTGGATAAAGATAAAAATTCAATTCAATTTAGTGAACATGAACACAATATTTTCTACTACATTGATAATATTGATAAATGTTTATCTATATATTCTAATATAATAAGTTTTGTTATTTCATTGTCCTTATACGATCTACGATGAAGAAAAGTTCTGACTTGCTGAAGTTTTGAAATAAAAATATCTAAGTATTTATATAAAAGAATTTTTTTTTTGTAGCCGAATACAGAGAATCCTCCTCACCACGTCCAGCACATGACTGCTCGTTTTCGTCAGGAGTTCAGGAATCTTCGTCTTCTGTGGGACGAAGCCGGTCAGACCATTGAATACGCCATGTACTTTAGGAACGACTCCGCGGGATATTGGCAAGTGTTCCACGGACAGAACGGTGAGAAGTTACATTTAACTTTCTTAGATATTTCGTGACATTGCCTACAAATATGTACTTAATAAAACTAAATGTTTCCAGTATTTAATTCATATAAGATTGCAAATTAAAAAAGTATGTATTTGGGAGAAAACTATTTATTTATCTTCTTCTTCTATATATATAAAAATGGATTGCTGTTCCTTAGTCTCGCTAAAACTTGAGAACAGCTGAACGAATTTATCTTATCTTAGTCTTAAAATGTTCGTGGAGGTTCAGGGAAGGTATAAAAGCTGAAAAAAATTGATTAATTACTGGGAAAACCATAAAAACAGCCATTTTCTATTTCCCATACAAACGTTTTTTTTGACATTAGATTTGACAACTAACTAATATGTCAATCATTCTGTCGCACTTCAAAACACGGAGATTTATGGCTTACAGGTAAACTCCAAAAATATAAATAAAAAAACGTAATAGATATTTCTTGATTATAGGGCGATACGAAGTTCGCCAGGTCTTCTAGTATTAGATAATTAATTAACGTATTTTACTACAGTTAAATATTTCAATTTAGATTATTTTAAAGGTTGTAAAATGAAGCATATATAACAGTTTTACTATAGTATACACCAAATAATGAAAGAAAAGCTGACCAAACGATACATTGACTTCAAGCATTGACATGGCTTATTTTAATAAAGGTATTGTTTTATTTTAGGAACATTAACTATAAGACCTAACTACCAACAGTTCGATGGAACAGTCCAAGTTTTAAAGGCCGTGAACGATCACCTGGTTCTCAACTTCTGTCAAGAGGCATCCAATGGAAGACCAGCCCAACTCTACACGGTTCTCTTCTCAAGGGAACCAGGCGCGATGCTGAGGTGGGAAATAGAATCAGTTCACGCGTTACTCCAGAATAAGAAGCTATCAGTTGCTTCCAGGAGAATGGTCTGCGGGAATGGCGCCGACAAACCGATATTGAGCGTGCTTTTTTCGTTAATATCGTGCTTATTTGTGTTTCTAGTAAGATCATATTAATTTTCAATGAAACTTTAATATTTATTTTGTATTATCCTAGTTTTCTAAACTCACGTTTAAGATATTAACTGAAGAGAAGACATTATATATGTACGTTAAATCCATATTCCGTCCTTGTTAAATGTAAGGAAGTTACAATGTTTTAATTTTATACTTCTCGCTCAAGGTATCACAATGTTGATGTGTGTTTGCAAGATTCTTGTATTTTCATCAAATTACAATATTATTAAATGAGACTTTTATCTCAAAGTGCCAATAATATCTAAAGAATTAGGCTATTAGACGAAAGTAAAGAAAATGTTGGTAATATTCTGAAAAAATATACTGTACAAGAGAGAGTAAGTGTTGGAATTAATATATTTGTTTTTAATTATAATTTTATATACGATGACTATTTGATTATGTAATTAAATGATTTTTTATATTATTGTTACGTTTTATTCTCCTATATTTAAGAGAAGCTAGATAAAAAATTACAATTTTAATAAATGTTTATCTAAACAAACAAATTGCAATTCAATTTTCTAAGCTAATATATTCAATGAGAATAGTTATGAAAAATGTGTTCATAAATCAGTGACTAATTTTCATAACACTTCACCGGAAAATACAATTGTTTTAATAAACAAAAATTATGTAAAATTTATAGCAGATTGCTTCTTAATGCAGTAAACTCAGCATAAATACTTAATACTAGATGCTTTCTTCAAATATAACACACATATATATCTGTCATAAAAATCTATTACGTGACATAACGAAGGTTATCCAAGGGTAAAATCAAGTTTGCAACTTCAAAGTTATCACCAAGTTGTAAATTCTGGAATAACCAACGCTGATACGCCCACACTTCCACGTCAGACTTGAATAATCAACATTTGTATTAAAGCACAATATTATTGAGTCTAGACTAATCTAGTACCACCAATTTTACAACCAACACGTTCAAAAAAGAAAATATTATTAGATTCCTTTAGAAAATCAATTTATAACAAACCATTTAAAAATTTAATAAAACTACATATTTTATCATATATCGTAGCATACTTATATCGTTTTTTTTATTATTCTAACCATATATGTACTTCCAATGTTTCGGTTACTTTACAGCAACCTTGATCACAGGCAGACGAGATGAAAAAATGATTCAGTATTTAAAATTATATTATTAAGAACTATGATTATAAAGAAATTGTTTAAAGGTACATAGACAGATTAATATACCCTTAACAATAAAGTAATAATATGTCTTTTCCTTTGACATCATACAATTCAAAGACAACCTTTATATTACCCTATTGCGCCAGGGAAGCTATGACGTCATTTTACAAGCTTGACATTTGCCCTTAAAAGACATGCCAAAGAAAATTAAACCTTGACGGGTGTGAATAGAGATCATAACAGCAAACGTTGTTATATACAGTACTAAATCGGATTACAAATGTTTGTCAAATTAGTTAGCGAATATCTCATAGAGTATTACATCGAATTGTTAGTGAATCTATAGTATAAAATAATTTATTATGGAAAGAATTCAAGGTTATTTCGGTTTTATGGTATGCAATAAGTAAAAAAATCCATAATACACTGCACAGGTAAAAATATTTATTTAATTTTTAACAAAAATAAAGATAAAAATAATACGTCTTTATTTATAAAACTAAATAATGAATTACTTATTTAATAGTCTACGTGTTTAAGACTATTTTATATTTATTGGAATAAAAAAATTGTCCAAATACAATTACTAGTAAAAAGAACATACAGTAAATGAATATTTGAGTAATTTATATATATTTTCTTGATATTCTACTTCTACATTTTTGGATGAACGAATCACATTAATTATTTCTTAGTATCTAGCTAAATATTATGCAATCTATGTGTTTAGTGTTCACTTCATATGTATAGATAAAATTAGTGCATTTTGTACTCAAAGTATAAGAAAAGAAGATTTACCATTATTTACAATCCTCACGTACCAGTTTGACTATTTCATGTGGATCAGAATAAATTATATTGTCTTCGCTGTCAAACGTCAAACCAAAAATGTTTTTGACGTGCGCAATTTTTTCTAGTACATGTTTTTTTTTATTGGCAACAAAAATACCGTTTTGCCCGCTGAAGTGGGCAACCCCTTTGTTATTTATTTCAATCGCTCGGTACATTTTGGGTCCTTCATAGAAAATCCTGTCAGTTGTACCGTTCTTTATTAAGTATAAACCAGTCCCATTAGTAATAAATATATCTTCGTCGCTGTCGATAGCAAACTGATATATGTTTTCGTGTATGTGTTTTTGGCGTTCGATTTCAGTCTCATTTTTGACATGAACCATTTTATACAGATGCTGTTGAGGATATGTTATAAAGTATAGATGATGCTTGAAGAACATGTCCCATATGTCATGGTTACTCAGGATTTTTGTAACGCTGGTGTTCGTTTTGAAATGGTGCCTGTATACACCGCTGCTTCCTCCGAAGTAAACAACTTTATCCTTGTTGTCTATAGCGATAGCAAAACCATTTTCAACGCCTTCGATAACTTTATGTTTTATATGACCCTTTTCTATGAAACCTATTTCGAAGGAGTCCTCATCGTCTTTGCCAATGTTGAAGCTGAAGAAGATCTTGTGATCTGTGTGGTCGTAGGCTAGTTGGTAGGGCCGGTTCAGACCCATACCGATCACGTGCTTCCTGTGAAACTTATTCCTAACGAGGATACCCTCACATTTCTCTTCATCTCTAGCGTCATCCGGTTTGCTTGACGTCTCCTTCAATAAAACAATGAGACACACGATAATTATGACTTTCATATCGTATTAACGGCCTCCTTCCTGTTTTCGAATACCAAAACCACGTCCGTTCGAGTTTCGCGATATGTCAATATGATTCATGATCAAGCAAATGAGAACATGGATTAATTGGAATCGATTAAATGGGCGTCTGCTTTGACTTTATTAGATAATGGGCGAGCCACGTTCAGATAATTGTTATTGTATTATTGATAATTTTACAAATGCCTGCGTTTTTCTAATAATAAAAAACAAACTCCAGACAATTAACATAAAAATTTTAGATTGATTTACTGACGATGAAAGTAAAAATAATACATGAACACATATTTTTATTGAATTACTCGCAGTGTAATATATATTTTTTATTGGTATTTTTGTGTTCCACAGACATACATTTTTATCGCTGTTCTATCAGATAAATTTCATATTATTGGTCCCTTAAAATTACATATAATATATGTATGTATTAATTTATGTACTATTAAGTCCTTCTTTGTATGCTACGTTAATTTTTTTTTATTTGTAGTTAAAAGAATAAACAAATTATTATAAATAAGTAAAGAAAAATAAGTGAGTGCTGAAAAGTTTTAATGGAGTACATCAAATACGAAGGAACGAAAACGTTTTCAGAGGAAATGCGCACTACGACGAATTTTCAACTTGTTTATAGAATTTTCCTTTGCCGTAGCATGTACCAGGAGATCATATTTCGTAAGGACTCCTAGAATAGACAGAGCAAGATCATTCTATTTCGTTCCAATGTAAGAGGGTCGTTCCCTCAATGGATTTTCCCCAACCCCTCTATAAGTAACAACCGCCCACGCCTCTTTATTCTGACGTTTACGTATAAATTTATATGATTTTTATTTTGAAAATCACTAACAAATTTTAATATATATTTGTTTGATGTTAGTCAAATTAAATTACGGAAAGATTATAATTACAAAATGGTTAAGAATAAGTTAAAATTATTTATTTTAAATATGCGGCAATAAATTTACCTTGACCAAAATACAAGTTCAAGTACAAGGTACGATATATTAAATACTTTTAATATACATACAGTATTAAATGGTATACCCACTTGCTTACTGAAAGTACATCTCCCACATATTTGAAAATCAATAAACGTTATCTCTTCCAAAGTATACTTTCCTGGTACCTTTGTTTTTAAAAAGGTCGTAGCTCCGTAGCCGTTTCCTCGTAGATGGGAAAATCAAAGTAAGGGGGTTGGTTACAGGGGTAGTCTTCCAAAATTTAAGAAAAATAAAAATATCTTCGTGAAATGAACGTCTCGAGGTCGATTTTATCCGGGTTTCAGAAGATACAAGGAGGTTACTACACTAATGAAAAGCCCCTCGCTATAGGGGCTCAATTGTTAACTCCTTTCCATTCCTGCAGTCCTAATACACTGCGCTATTCCAAAAATATTTTGCTATTATTTTTCACGAGGCGAAATAAAAATAAAAAATAATGTTCTAATTAATTTAATTTTATTTTATATAAAAGTATACATAAATTACCTAATCTTAAAAACATATATTACCAACTAATTAAATAAGTTATATTAATTAAAAATATTTTATTTACACTTCACAAGCTCCTGCTGATGAAACAGTAACTGTACCTCGAACGTATGTGATATCATCTCTGCAATCGCAACCATCCTACAATAAAAATTAATAATTTAACCTAATAACAAGTTGTTGAGATTAATCACTTAAAAAAATACATTAATACTATAAAAGTCCAGACCATTTACACCTATATGTACCTTTAACTTTATAACAAATAGCACTAATAAGGAAATTTACTGTTTTTTTATTTGAATACTCACAAATATATCAATTTTCGCGCACCCAGGACTCTGTTCATAGAAGTGTACTTTTTGTAAATTGTGTTTTATAATTTCATGCGAAGGTCGCTTGTCTTCAGCCAGCGTTATTATTTTTGAGACAATGCCTTTGTTGTTTCGCTTTATAATAATGTTTTCTTTATTCATTTTCATGACCACCGGTCCGAAGATAGTTTTATCTAAATATGAGCAGTAGCTGTTTTCTGGTTCTTTTACATCATTACATTTTGACTCCTTTATGCTTTCGTGTTGTTCATAATTCTCAGCCTCTTCTGCGTTCTCGAGGTAATTTTGATATAAGTCCTCATTATTATCGCTTTGATTTTTCTTATATTTATTGTAAAATTTCCTTAATTTTATATACGTATTTGTCAAATATTGAAATTTTAAGAAATTAGTTACTATATCCCCTATACTCGCCGATCCATTCTCCTTGGTGTTGTGCGTCAAACATAGCTGTTTCAATGGCGACGTTCCATATACGTAATACGCTGAAAAATACATTTAAAAGATCAATAATTTATTATTATTTGTTTATTAACTTAAGAAAAAAGTTTTGTTTTTTTTTTCTTTATATGTATCATATATAGAACAAAACCACAAATTTAAAAATGGAACGTTTCTTTATTCCTTGGTGTTTAAATAGATTATCTAATAATTAATTTGATATTTAAGTAGACTACATATCTGTTTTGAACTCTCAATTTGAACTAAACAAAAATAATGCGCTTATAATTATTTATTCAATAAAAAATATGTTTCATTTAGAAACGGGAAAAAGGTATGACTACCTAAAAGATTTTTCTGATAAATCATGACACGTAGAGAGCATGAGGCGAGTACTGTGAAAAATTGTCAGAACTCAGGTACTTATGTACCTCAACTTAACAAGCTTTACACTTTACACTTGAGGTAAAATATTACATTTAGTTATTTCGTTACAACAAGATTCGTTACAACTATTCTTTAACAGAAATAATGATATATACTAGAGGATATTTTTTTCATTTTACATCCAAATTAATTATTCCAAATATATGTGAAGTATCAGAGCAGTTTTTGGCTGAGGCGAATATATTTAACAATAACTGAAAAACTTTTATTTTTAGTACTACTAAAGTCTAATATTTATAAGGTGAACCTTGAAATTAAATCTCCTTAGATCACAGGAGTCCAAAGTCTAGTAACAAAAGCGTTTTTCACACAATAACAATGTCGTCATTGTATGAACTTGGCCTTTGACCTTTAGTAAGCTGACAGCATTTAGAGACTACATAAATTGGAAATTGTTCCCAACCATTGTATAACGTATACATGATAGAACTGAATGAATATTTATCAGTGATAAAATCCAGGAATGTTACATTTCTAAATAAAACTAATATTTTCGGACTACTACGCGAAAAGAAAACTCGCGAAAGTGTTAGATCTCATTATTTTAAATATCAAAAAAATCTAATTATAAGAAATATAAAATTGAAAATATTAAGTTAATGTAAGGTAAGTGACCCAAATAAGGCCTATGTCTTAATAAGACCTATTTTTTGAATTTCCCACTTCTCAATTTCAAATGACCGCCAATGTTTGTAGATGTGTACATGTATATAAATTAACACCTACAAGCAAAGCAAATGACCCGTGCCGCGAGCGGGTTCGAACCTGCACTCGAAAACAACAACGACGCGGAGATCACGCTTGTTTTTATAAAATTCTAGCAGAGGAAACAGGAAGTATTTTCATTTTTATTCGTAAACGGTGTGCTGTGTTTTGTCTATAGGATAATTATACGTGTAGTCATCTCCTCATATAAGTGAAAAAGGTGTAATATCGGTGTATTCCATACAATTGTTGTTTTGTTTATCCATGTGCTATGCCCTAATAAAGCCTATAAAAACTGTATAGGCCTTACAACGGCACTGGTACAGATCTTTTTAGGATAATGTTTTATGTCAGTTAGAAAGGTATCACAGTAAAATAGTTAACCATTGTTTTTAGTAACATCGGGGTTATTTCTCAAATGACACCCTGAATTAGCAAGTCGTAAAGCACAGATGATGAATATAGTACTTTTGTATGATAAGAAACTCGTTACATCTTATCTATAATGATCAAAAGTAATAAATGGGATCTCATTTGATTTAATATAAGTATTGAGAACGTTTTGAATTCATTAAGAAGTTGAATGTTTAGTTGTTATTATTTAGGCCTTATTAAGAAACAGGGTTCCCAATAAGGCCTAAGTGATATTTTAGTCATTTGTGTTCACAAAAGTGTTATTTTTGTTTCTAAAGTAATTTTGTTTGATTTATTACAAAGTTTAATAAATAAATATAGTAATATCAAATTACCAGTGCAGTGTTATTTTAAATCCACTAGTTAGATAATAAAAAAGTTAAGGTAGGCCTTATTTGGGTCATTTACCTTAATTAGAGTTTCCAATATCGAAATCACGAGCAAACAGTAAAACAAACAAAACGTAAAACACTACCAAACATATTGTGTCGCTCCGATCGCGGTAGATTAAATTCTCTCTAAATAATTAAAGTAAATAACTTAGAAATTTCAAATTTTTGTAAAATATAAAATAACGTACGATAATATTTATATACAAAATCGATCCACTTAATATCCACAGATTTGTTTTATAATCTTATTAAGGTTATCGTATTATAACGATATGGTTTTAATTTGCAAATTTTAATCAAATTAGTCTACAAATCGTTTTATTAGTTATAAATCAAGTACCAGTTTTCGAAGCACACGAACAGGGTGTTAGTAAGGGTGAGTTTTCCATTTGTCCGCGACCTTCTGGTGCACTCCGTGTTCGTAGGAACTGATTGCTGCTCCAGGTTGTATCGGTGTAAGGGATGGAGTTACTAGTGGAGTCATCATCCAACCATTTAGATGATTCGCGAAGAGAGAAGAACGTCAATGTCACCACGGCCTGTAATGTTATGTCTTATATATATACCACGTGATTAGGTATATAGCTTTTGATTCGTTTAAAAAGTTTCGTTATATTGATATTTTCTTTATGTTTTTATATCATAAGTCTAAACTACTCAGTATATTTATCAGGTTAGACAGCTATGTCGGAAAATTTGTCAATAAGCAACTGTCTCCATATGGACAATTCATTTCTCGTTATATTAAAATAAACTTGATATTTGTTTACCATAATACTATTGAATAGCTTTTTCCTGAGTTAGCAACTTTAAAGTACAGGTATATCCACATTTAATCCAGATTTATATGGACATAGTGCGAAGTTAATTTCAGTTAGACCTACCATAGTAAAGCAAGCGGCTGCGCACATCGTAGCACATAATGGGAAGCCGTATCTCTGAGCGAGGGCGGCGCCAAGAGCTGGTCCCAGAACTTCCCCGAGGGAATAACAACAAGACCACACGCCGGCAACCGCGCTGTACGTGGCTAGGGCTTCGGGACAACCACCCTCGTAACTGAAGATATCAAATGTTTCGATAATTAACGATGATATTTTCAAATTGAACAAAAATTTGTGAGATTTTTATTTTCATGAGTAAAATTTTATATCTTCAGAGAATATTACGTTATAGATAAAATTTAATAATTATAAACAAAGATTGAATATGACGGATAATTTTAATTTCCTACTGAGCTCATAGTAGTCAGAAAAAATATTCAATAAATTTTTCTCGTTTCTTATTTTATAAATTTATAATATATCTTTGATATCGTCAATGATTTTTAACTATTTTAAGAAAGAATTAATGATATATAGAAAGGCTATTTTCATGCAAAAGTAGAGTTACATCAAATGTAAAAAAAAATATATAAATAAGATTTTACACTATTTAGAATATATGTATTGTTTGATTTTTATTTTAACAAATACTCCTTATTTTAACTCACATAGAACTGGTCAGAACTCCTTGAAAGGTGGGTAGTAAAGTCAGCGCCACGGACATTCCCAATATAGAAAGCGCTAAAAGATCCAGCCAAAGGCCCCTGAAATATAAATTTATTGAATTATAAAACAAATCTAACATGATTAATAGAAAATTAGGATATCACAAACCTCGACAGACCAGGAATGAAAGGACATGGCCCTAAAAGCAAGAGGCCGATAGTTGACAGAAATAGCCCCCAAACCATCATACACCAATGATTATGGACCCTGCAACAGAAATTAAACTAAATAAAAACAGTTTTCTATTTAAAATGAAAATATAATTGTCACAATATTTACCTATCTGCCACCCACCCCCAAATGGGGCTAAAAATTCCATATAAGCTCGAAAACAACAAAAATATAAGTCCTATCTGCTTAGTTGATAGACCGAACTGTCGTAAATGTGGTTCTAATGTGGGGTCCAGGAAGGCCCAGGTATTGGAGACGATCACTATCACCAAACCAGTGATAATTATAGATGGAATCTTAAACAGTCTCATGATTGAAGCAGTTTTTGAACCGGATACATATTCTGAAATAGAATTTACAATAAATATGACTATCCAAGTGCATTATATTAAACTAGAAATAAATGGTTTAGGATTGATAACATATTTAGATTTCTTATTAATTTCTAAAGAAAATCTTTATAGTTTTTCTCAACAAGAGTTTCTTAAACAAGTAATGTAATTAAAAAGTATAATACCGTCACAATCAGTTAGCAGGCAAAAGTTGATAGGGACCGTCAGCACCATCACTATACCAAGACTGTAGAATGGTAGACCGAATCCGCCGATCTATCTGGAACATCTATAACTCTTATAATATCATTCTAAACATTAAATAACATCAGAATCTGTTTAAAAACATATTTTATTACACTGTAGTCATAAATAATATGTGTATGTAAACGGATTTATGTATAATTGTCGCTTGAAATTACGAAAATTTAAGCTATATCTTAGTCAGCTGGACAAAACTGAAGCTTAACTTTATTATTTAAACATGTGTATAGAACCAAAATAATCCATACCGAATATAGCAGCCCTCCAATAGCTGGTCCAACAGACATACCCAGACCTACAAAGGTTTCAAGGATACCTAAAACGGATCCAATGTTATCTGGAAATGCGTTGACGACGAACACGTAACTTGCTGTGGAATACGCGCTGGCACCTAGCGCCTCCATACCTCGAACGATGAAGCAGAGAGTGGTAAATGTTCTCGAGTCTTCTATTAACACGAGGGTGCTGGTTTGAACAAAAATCAACATTCAATGAATCACATAATGAAGATTGAATTAGAATTAACATTATTTTATTGACATGATAAAACAGAATTAACAAATCTAATTAATTATTATATTTTCTTTAAGTAAGTAAACATTAAATTTTCGATAATACATAATTTATACGACCCCTGTTAAAATAACAGTGGAAACCGTTCTGGCAAATTGCATTAATCTTTCACAATAGCTTATTTTAGTATAAATTGTATGTTTCCCATTAAATAAATGTATAAAAAATCTTATACAGATGTTTTTCTGATTATATGAAGTCAATGTTTTATTACATTTTTATAGTAGTGCTTAATCTAATATATAAAATTCTCGTGTCACAGTTTTCGTGCCCATACTCCTCCGAAACAACCTGACCGATTTTGATGAAATTTTTTGTGCTTATTCGGTAGCTATGAGAATCGGCCAACATTTATTTTTCATCCCCCTAAATGTTAGGGGTAGTCCACCCCTAAATTTTTTTTTTTATTTTTTAGACAAAATTTTTAATTACTATTTTTTTATGATACAACGTACAAAAATACATACAATCCTAAATTTTCACCCTTCTACGATCAACCCTTATTTTTTAACAGCTATTTTAGTAATTTAATCATTTTTCATCTCCGGTCGATAACTGATCAATCGTCATTTAATAAGTTATCCCCGCCAGATATCTACAGGTGTCACTTCTGACCCAGTAAACAGCACGGAGTAGGGATGAGAACGAAGCCGGTCTTCTGTTTCTCTCACACAATTAGACTTCTCTCACTCCCTACACAGTTGTCGGCCATCGTTATTGTTTGTGCATCAAGTGTAGTAGTAACGTTGACAATTATTATTTTGCTAGCTCAGTGTAACTCTCATATTAACTATTAATCATTCCTAATCACTTCAAAACACGGAGATTTATGGCTTTAATAGGTAAACTCCAAAAATATAAATAAAAAAACGTAACAGATAATTCTTGATTATAGGGCGAAACGAAGTTCGCCGGGTCTTCTAGTTTTCCATATAAATAAAAGTCTTACCCAAATAAAACATTACAAGCTCCTGCGACAAACATCCCCGATGTAAACATGAACTTCGCTCCCAGCGCCGGTAACTGTTGACAAAAACAGAACGAACCCAATATTAGTTATTAATTAACCAATTCACTTGACACTGTTTGACCAATAAACATTTCCATTAAAGTAAATTCATTAATAAATAAATATTTTTAAATTAAAACTGTTCGGAAACTTAAGTGCCCAATTCAAAAACTGATCGATTTCAGGACAAATTTTGTTGGATTTAAAAACTATATTACTAGTTTTCTTATCTATATTCCTAAGAAGAATTCTAACTCTAAATAACTGTTTCAAAACACCTAAATTAATACACCACCTAATAGTGTCGTTAATGAGGATATGAGGATAATCAAGGTTTCCTATTCAAGCCTTTTCGGTACCTACTTACATATTTACCAAAGAAAGGTGAAGTGAGGAACATAACAACTGCATAGAAACTAAACACCATTCCACACATTGTTTCTGACAGACCCTTTTCAGCAGCTTCCCTTGGGAAGAATGGCGCCATGATGCTCATAGAACAGAAACTCATGAAATCCACCAACGCCAATGAAGCCAGTGTAAGACGTTGGTGTTGGGACAAATGACGTACGGCACCCGGTCGCAGCTTCGCTTGAGTTCGAACTAATCTAAGACAATAAGTAAATATGATATAATATATATCTTAAAGTCTTGGGTCACCACTTTCAAAATAATATTTTTTCAACGTGCTTTACATATTTAAGCAAATCACATTTTGCTTAGTAAGGACTCTTTTTATTTTATTTAAATCTACAATTTACAATTGTATAGTCTTTAGAAAAGATAATACATATCTAAATAAAGTTAGCTACACTAATGACTTTTATTCAAACCAATGGAGCCCGAACGGTACGAAATTGAAGTTATAACCTACCTTTCTCTTAATATTCTAATTTCGGAGGGAACATCCTCCGGCGGTCCTCCAGACCATGAATGTGCTCGCCGTAACCTTCCAGAGTCTGGTCGTGAGTAACGCCCGCCCCACGTGGCAGCCAATTCCTCAGTATGAGTTGAAGTTTTCATCATTTTTCCGTCGAACACTATCGTTTCGGACGAAGATGCCATCGTATCGACGTTCCTATGTCCATAAACGACAGTCTGGCTTTCATTCGGACCCAAATGATAATTCTGTTCGATATCCTCACATAATCTGTCCATAATAGCAACTTAGACTGTCAACAAATCCTTATCGTCGTGTCAATATACCGAACTACGTGAAGTTACTATTAAATGCACCTAGCACGCGGATCACTTTATCAATATCTTATCAAGAGTAAATAAAAACTTCCGAAAGGATACGTTCTAATGGCTCTGTGATTATTTTAATACAAACATCGTCGCGACTGATTACTACTTTCTGGATAGTATTAAACTCAAGGTATTTATGATGTGTCAGTTTTAGTGAAATAAATTGAAGGTAGTTTAATAAAAATATTAAAAAGTTAATTATCGTTTACACTTTTAAAGTCTCCGAATGTGATTATTGACTGACTTCATTAATTCTAGTAAATAATACCGATATATTTCCTATTGCAATCGTTTATCAAGGCTTCTCATTATATCTACTTTCTACTAAATCCCTTTCTCGCAGTTACTTGTTTTCAGTTGTTTATTTACTTCCTGTGATATCAATGTCCAAAGTCATTCATCACTACAGCTATATTAATAAAGAGAAAATGCTCGTTACAATCAAAAATCATGATAAAAACCTTTTGTTGCCGCTTTTAAGACTAAATATTCGAATCTGTCTTCGATTTTTATTTTTTATGCGATGCCATAATTTTTTGATGCAATTTAATCTCTATGTTTTATATTAAATAAAAACTACTTTTGCTATGGTTACAGTTTACTCAAATCTATATATATAAAAATGGATTGCTGTTCCTTAGTCTCGCTAAAACTCGAGAACGGCTGAACCGATTTGGCTAATTTTAGTTTTGAAATACTCCTGGAAGTCCAGGGAAGGTTTAAAAGGTGAGACAAATTGGAATAATTGCCGGGAAAACCCTAAAAACAGCCCTTTCCTATTTCCCATACAAACGTTTTTTTTGACATTAGATTTGACAACTAACTAATGTCAATCATTCTGTTTGATTGAAACAGAAAAAACCTGATTATTTATGGCCTCTTAGACGGAATAGAGTTCGCCTGGTCAGCTATACCTACATATATTTCTCTTGACCAAACTAACGCGGACGAAGTCGCGGGCAAAAACTAGTTCATAAATAAAAAACTAACCAAATGGTAAGGAAAACATGTTAAATACCATATTTTTAGCAACATGTAAAAAACCATATTGTCGTTATTGCTTATATAAATGAAACTGATATATATTTATATACATATCAATAGTACACTTCGATTTTATCCAATTCATATTTATTATTAAGAGTATGGAAAGTTCTCAATAATGATGGAAAATTTCAAACTAAAATTGGCGTAAGTATATTTAACTATATCAATGAGCCGAGTAGCTGAGTGGGTAGATATCAGATGATTAAGATTAAGAACTGTTTTCTTTTATATCAACAGTCTTATTAATTTCCAATAGGTATATAGATAAAATTCTACATAGACATGATTACAAGAACAAATACGTTCTGTCAGGTAGAACGTCAAATGGCCGTCACCTAGTCTTAAGATTAGGCATACTGTGAATACTAATTAAAAATTAAGATCTGTATTCTTAGATCTTAATACTAAGTACCCGTATTCGAGTTTACACTGAGCATGAAGGATGCCTTCGGATCATCTTAAACGATCCAGTATATAGTTAGTTTTAACACTTAAACTGTTGTGGGAATATGTTTTATTTGTAGTTGTATAGTTGATGCTTTGCTATTTAATATCACGTTTATTAACGACAGCGTCAAAGATTATTTTTTTTGAAATAGGAATAAAACGCATTTTTTTTGCAATATCTACACTGTCTATGCATTTTCAGTAATAAAAACAAAATCAACAGAAAAAAAACAATATTTAAGTAGGTTTTAAAATAGAACGAAAACTAACTTTTGTCATAAATAATGAAAGTATGAATCTAATGTTTTGTAAATAAAACACATTCGAAGCTCATATATTTAATTTGAATAGCAGTTATTTTATATAAAGTTATACGTCACATACTCTTCAAATACGGAAATGTTTTTAAAATTAATCTTATCAATGAGTGTATATTATATGAAATAGATAATACTTAGAAATATTGTATCGATTATAAAAATATATATCACTATATTAAAAGTTATTTATAAGATAAATAATCATTATCTCAGTTTATATAACTTCTAATACGTGAATAACTTTTGGCTGAATGAGATCTCACATAAATTCCTTATGGATATGATTTTTTCAATAATAATTATTATTAATTAAAATGAAATGCAAAATTAATGAAAGAAACTGACTTAAGCAAAAATAACTGCTGCAACTAGAAAACATTATATTTCTTATAAAACTATGTTGGCTCTACGACCAGATGTTGACATTTGCAAATAAATTAAAAAATACATGAGGCCTGTCTTATGAATACGAAAAATTTCAATGAAACTAAATATTTATATTAAAAATTAATATATTTTAATCTGACAACAGCAAGTTAAGCAGAAGATGAGATTTAAATTTGAAAATCTCAGAAGTTTGACACATATAAATTATATTGAAAACATTTTATTCAAATCATCTAGTAAAAAAATAACCTCTTAAACATATTCATTTACACAGATTATTAATAAACTAAGGCAGTATAAAAATTAAGTCTTTGACTTAAAAATAACAGAGCTATTAAAAGCATAGCAAGAAACATTCCTTAAATTTAATGTTGATATACATATAATATATATATTATATAATATTTTCATTCTGTTTTATCTTCAATAGCATCATAATTTTAGTTGAGCCAGTTCCTGTAGCAAGGCTGCTTCGTTTTCAATCTTAGCCAGTTGATTGAGCTCCAATTGTTTTCCAGACGCCTTTTGTTGTTTTAATTTCTCAATGTCACTTAGTTTCTGGAATAAACATGTTTGTATGGTTTATTCATAGGGTAAGAAAAAAGTAATATTTGATATAGTTGCAACTTGCATGTTAAATTAAATTTTATCTAAGTTTTTCATTCTCTAAAATTTTAATGAAAAGCATTTAAATTACTTATATGTATAAAAGTTTTATTGTAATATTTTACCTATTTCAGTCGTACCACATTTAGTAATTACAAATTGTATTTTTTGTATTACCTTGTTAAGATTTTTGATTTTCTTATCTTTTTCCGGATCACCAGTAGACACGAAGGGTGCTTTGGGAGTAGTGGGCGTCGTGGGCGTGATCGTGGGCGCCGCGTCCCCACGCTCTTCAGCTTTACGGGCCTTGCGAGCTTCACGCTTTTCCTTCTGCTTTATAGCTTGCTTTGACGGTGTTGCTATTTAAAAACAAAAATATATATATATAAAATTTTAAATTAGTATTATTATTAATTTCTGATAACACTCTAAATAGATCCATTCTTGCATGTTTATTTTTGTTTCAATAAGAGAAGGGATATTTATAAAGAAACTATTATAGCACAGTAGGACCTAAACGCAGCAACATCTAAAATGAGACATTTATAATACAAATCTATTCACCTTCAACCTGACCAGGTTTATGTGGCTTCTCATGTTCGTGGAAGGTGAATGTAGAGGGTTTGTTCCTAGCGCCTGGTGGCCTGTACGCCGCTGTGGCTTTCGGTGTAACTTCTATACTCTTTGGCACCGATTTGGAGAGATCACTCTTCGGATAATTCCCTGGTTGCCAGCTGATTGACAGAAGATTCTCTTTGTCTTCGCATGTTCTTTTATGCATGAGAGCTCCCGTGTAATGCCAAATTTTGTACCTGGAAGCAGAATCAAGGGATATATGTTTTTATTTCACAAGGAATATTTCCAATGGTCTATTGATATAAGATATCGATAAGTTCACACAATCGCTGTAAATGACTGAAATATATGAGTCATTTATATGTACATAAAGTTGTTAAGGTAAAATCTTCTTAAAATATAGAAATTTCTATAAGGAATTCAATCTTCAATTCAAAATCTTTATGTAAAAGCAATGGCTCACAAAGGTTTGATTTACATGATATCTATGTACAAGGCATAAGAAGATTACATCAAAAGTCACCTCTACTGAATGTTTTGTTTGTAGTCTTGGCAATCATTATAATTCCACAGCTACATGCGTTATCCAATAATCTACCTGCTAGATCCAATTTATGCGAGTTAATTCTACGAGTCTCCAATGTTACGACTTAATGATAAATATATATATACATACAATTTAGTACAACTTTGAGCATAATATTAATAATAATTTATATATATTTCTTTTCGATACTATACCGATTATCTTATAAAAAAAAACTGAATACAAAACCTTCAAAAGCTTATAAAAAATGAACTATAGTTACAGTTATATATAATTCTCTAATAGAACCTGGACAAATGACAAAAGTCAGTGGTGACTTAATAGTTAAAAGGCCCACCTCTCATGCATGAGGGCGCGGGTTTGATCCTGGCAAGTACCGATGTGATTTTTCCGAGTCATACGTACTTTCTAAGAGTATTTAGACATCATTGATTAATGCAATCCCAAAGAGGGTTGATGTCAGGCAGGCGGCTGGTCATAAAAAAAAATTGCCAAAACTATTAACAAACATGTAAGGCAGACCCTGGCTAAAAGCTGGGAAATTCAGAGGTAGAAGAAGAAGAACCTGGACAAATGGCGATGTATTCTATAATATTCCATAGTAATCTTACCCATTGCCGACTGTCAGTCGGGGGTACGTGGTGGCTGTGAGGAAGCACTCTCCACGAGGGTCCCACGCCAGGCTGGTGGTATCTGGAGCGCTACACTCGCCGAGCTTCTTATATCCGCGGACATCCCACACTGATATATGACCCGTGGCTATGTTACCAAAACCACCTAACAGGACTAGTGCAGGGCAGTTAAGGAAATTTTATCTATCTTTTGGTATAAATATATTGGTTATATTAGATATTATTTGAGCCGTTTATTGAAGATATCAGTGTGATATCATATATGTGGGATTTAGAAATGTAACTTGGTTGTTGTACAAATTAAATGTATATTTTCTAATAACTTCTATTGCTCTTGTTTTATGGTCTACTAGCTTTCCGCCCGCAGCTTCGCCGCGTGGAGTTCGGTTATATCGCGTTTCCAAGAGAACCTTTCAAAAGTCTGGGATAAAAACTATCCTATGTTCTTTCTCAAGGTCAACTCTATCTCTGTACCGAATTTCATTAAAATCAGTTCAGTGGTTTAGGCGTGAAAGCGTAGCAGACAGACAGACAGACAGACAGACAGACAGAGTTACTTTCGCATTTATAATATTAGTAGGGATGGTCCTGGTCCTATATCAAGACATTACGCAAAAACTTTAAACGAAATAAGGAAATTTAACGACTGAGCTAAATATAAAGTTTTTTGAGGTACTCTATACATATTTAATATAAATGTCACTTAGTAGTGGCGCCGGCGGTGGCCAAAATGTCTGATTGTACCTTGCCAGTATCGTTTAAGAAGAGAGATATTGCCTTCTTTAGTTGTTTTGATAAGAATCACTTACTTAATTATTGGTTGGCATTCAAAACGAATTATCACCTTTGCCTATCTGCCTACACGGGATGACATTTTTGACATGGCCAAAAAACGTCATTGTTCGTTCTCAGGTCCATTAGTAAGTATATTATAACAATGGTAGGTACATATTTAAAAGGATATGATTCCCTTCAGGTGGGAAGTATATGGCGTTCCAGGCTCCTGTGCCGAATTCAAAGAGAGGCTCGCATTTTGCGTTAAATATGGTCGCCTTAGCGGGGGCGTGTCCGTAAACAGCGACCCACTCGTTCCAGTTACCAGGATTCCAGGATATCGCGTGGATAGGACCTTCTTTACCTGGGTAACAAACAAATTTGATAAAATTTATATATATCAACACGAATTATGATTTAATAAAAGCTTTCTGAATAAAAATTCTTATTATATTGTTTTCTAAACCAGTCTTATTAAATATATTGACATAGTTTGTTTTAAATTTGTCTAGACCAGGCTTAATACTATGATTGCTAATAAACTTACTGAAGGTCATGTTTCCTCCATTCCCCTTCACATCTCCATAAGACAGAGATTGTTTTCCATAATATGAACCACCAGTCTTATCAACCTATAAATAAATATCGTACTTTAGAACTATCACAATTTCGTTTTAAGTTAAATACCATATTTTTTACAAATCTTGGTTGTCACATATAATTCATCCAAAATAAAAGACAAGCCATTTCATTGTGTTCACTTAATTAATCAATATATTCAAAAAGTTAACAAAAAAATACATAGACTTGATCAAATCCATTCTGCCAGTCATACATATAAATACTTTTTTATCATTAATTTAGACAATATTGTTAATTTAAGCATTATTTATACATACATCAGTCTGTGTTAAAACAAACACATTGGTGCCTCTTCTGTTCCAGTGAAATGTTGCTTTGTCAGCTTGGAACGAGGATCTGCTGACAACCGACTGAGTCAGATCAAAGTTTGGGAACTTGAACACTCGCCAAAATGATGGTTGACCAGCTTTACCTGAAATAACATGGTACATTTTCTTATAAACTGTTTGCAATATTATGATTGTAATACAAATTTCATTATTCATATACAAATCCGTTAGGGTAGTAATACAAATGAGCTACATATGTACTTGCATTGAAAAGAAAATTACTAATAAATATTCAATTATTTATACAGGGTGTATGAAAAACTGTGTCAACCCTCTTAACTACGTTATCAGTATCGATAATGTAACAGAATAAAACAACTTACATTTACAAACTCTTCAATAAAAATAATAAAATTAAATATTAAATGATTATTATATGTAGAGTAACAAAATGTTTGTAAACCCTGGTATAACACGATGACACGCAATGACGTCATCACAGCTGCTGCGCTACTAGTGACGACCTTCAAGTTACTTTCACATTATTGAAAATATCGATATTTAAAAAAATCATAACAATAAATAAATATTTAATATTCATATTATTTCGATACTTATTTTGATATATCAAACATTAATATTATGTTTGATTGTAAAACACCATTTTTAACAGAAATAGATTAACGATTTATCCTAATAATACAACATATGTAGTTAATTTACCTGAACAAGTTTCAAATTATAATATTTATCTATACTAATATTATAAAGCTGAAGAGTTTGTTTGTTTGTTTGTTTGTTTGTTTGAAAGCGCTAATCTCCGAAACTACTGGTTCGAATTGAATAATTCTTTTTGTGTTAGATAGTCCAGTTATCGAGGAAGGCTGTGGGCTATGTTACATTACGCCACGACCAATAAGAGCAAAGATATAGTGGTAAATGTGTAAAAAACGGGAGAAATTATTTCATCTTTGAAGCCTTCCGTTGCGTGCGCCGTGAAAACGATTCAAGATACACAAAAAATATGTATTAAAGAATAATAGCCCTTTCAATTATCTAAAAAACAGTCCGCGACAGTATATGTCTATCTTTTAAGATTAACTCACAAAAACCGTTTTTATGGTAACTAATTTGGTCGAAATAATTTGTTTAAGTTGTATCAACATAATAATATTAATCTTTATTCAAATAAACAAATAAATATGTTGTTGATTAAGAGTACTTCATTGTGAATTTAAAAAAAAACATAGGTTTTATCCTGAAAATTCAACGGGAACTCTACAATTCCGAAAGCCCCGCAAGAACGGGAACTATGTGGGAAGAACCAAAAATCAGCCGTAAGTCACTATTTCACGCGGACGGAGTCGCGGCAAAAGCTAGTTATTAATAAAAGTTATTTTAAATGAAATTATTTTAATGTGAAAAGCATAACTATTTATAGCAATATTGAAAATGTCGATAGAATATTTATCGATATAACTAATTTTTACACTTTCAAATCTCTATTCGAACAACTAACAGAATAGTAATAATAACGCCGGCGGCCCGGCGCCTGCGGTCAATGGTCACGCATGCGCCGTCGCGACTATACGGTGTCTTGACCTTGTATGAGTCAGATGTTTGGAACATTTCTTCGAATAATGTCGATTTAAAACTTATTTGCCTATGCACTTCAACTGACCTCTGCTTGATATTTTTTAAGTTATACTATTTTTTATAATAAGCTTATACTTATATGTATACATGCCTTCAAGGGTTGACACAGTTTTTCATACATCCTGTATAATATATTGAACATACTTTACATTATGAGATCTAGGACTTTCGCGACTTTTATTCATTTAAATAAAACTAATATTTTCGGATATACTACGCGGGTTTTTTTTTTATAAAAAAAAACTACATACTCCCGAGTCCCGAACTCTGGGCTACTTTTCAGCAACTATGATCACGGGCAGACGATATGTGAGTGTCTGTCTGTACTTTTTGTTATTAATCATCTACCACCATCGATTTTTTAATCCAGAGCAGTTCCCCAGATAATTAATTAAAAATAGGAAAAATATTACTTCATTTAAATACTTTTCATTGAGCAACACTTACCGAGAGTAAATATTGATATATAGTAAGCTGGTGCCAGACTCGGTGATATGCTGAATGCCTGTAACTTCTCTGCTTGGATAGAGTGGGTGTAGTGATCAAGTTTTACATCCTCATATATCAACACCCTGTTGTTAACGAGAATTGCAAAGAGTTTCTCATCAGCCGACCACTTTGGTTCCCTTTGAAAGAAAAGTGTTGGTGTTATTTATTACTGTTATTTTTTTCATAATCTTAAATTATTATATTGATTCAATGTTATATCAAAGTAAAAAAGTTGGCATTAAATTTTTTTATTAACATATTTTTCATAACCCAGTTATTACCACGATATTTTCCTGATGTTCTTAATAAATTTTTTGCATACAAAGTCAAAAAAGTTACATAATTATATAATAAAATTATAATAAATGCATATGTTTATGAAATGAGGCTATTATAAAGTTCTTATTAACAGAAGCCCTTACCATCCAATTTGATTCTTCTGTACAAATGATCCAACCTTTGAACCATCAGATGATTTGAAGACATGCAGGTTTGGCTTGCCCTAGTAACAAAAATAAAAAATATATATAATTTGAATAAAATTTCAAGACCTACTTAAAAATATTTTAACAATAATCTCTTTATACATGTAAGAGGTATATTAAATATTATAACGGGTGTCCCAACAAGAACGCAATTTTTAACTTTGGCTCCATTTTAAGCGTGATTGTTTGACGTTTGAACAATTGTTATTATTTGCTTGTAGAAGGTACAAGGTTTGTAAAAATGGAGCGCTACACGAATGAACAACGCATTTTCATTGTAAAATTGTTTTACCAAAATGGTGAAAGTTTTGCGGCTACAGATCGCAAATTACTCAAAAAGAGTCAACTGTAAAGAGATTAATGAATAAATTTGCCGAAACTGAGTCTGTTAGTGATGTAAAGACAATAACAACAACGCAAACAGTCAATGGTGTTCGATATCGTGAAATGATTACCAGTTTCTTCTTGCCTAGAATCGAAGAAATGGATGTGGACGGCATGTGGTGTCAACAAGTCGGCGCCACATGTCATACAGCCAGAGAAACAATTCAATTGCTGCATCAGTCATTTCCTGGTCATGTTATTTCCCGTTTTGGAGACCAGAATAGGCCGCCTATATCGTGCGATTTAACACCTTTAGATTATTTTCTTTGGGGTTTTTTGAAGTCGATGGTTCACACGAATAAGCCGACGACGACTTAAGCCTTAAAAGAGGAAATTGGACGCAGTATTAATGAAATACCGCAGTATTTATGCAAAACGGTCCTAGAAAATTTCATTCAAAGTTAGCGCGTGTGCCTGCAAAGCCGCGGCGGCCATCTGCACGATATCTTGTTCCATACATAACCTCATTCTATCTACTTTACGATATAATAAAGTTTCACGATATTTTTTTTAATATCAGTGTTTTATTTAAAATTTAAAAATTGCGTTCTTGTTGGGACACCCTATATTTCAATATTTATACACTTAAACTATTAAGTTCATAGAGATGAAAAAGATATCGCACCTCCGCTCAAATAGTGTCACAACTCAAAAAAAGTTGAATTCAATTTTATTGCACTATTGGAATCAGAAAACTTCGAAATCTTATCTCAAATAATGTCATGTCCATAGTTCAACTATTTATCCATAGATGTCAATATTTCGTAAATTATTCGTTTTTTTCATCCGTAATTCGTTATTTTTTTTTAAATATATTCCAAAAATCTATTACACCATTTTGTTGAGTGTCAAAAATCATTATAACTTACTCAAAATCATATTGCAGTAACTTTCACAGTTTTTGAGTGATGAGCCAAAAAGTAAAGTTAGCATTAACTTCAAACGCGTTTTATTCGAAAGTTGGGATTTTTGACTTATGACCCTACTAGCTTTCCGCCCGCAGCTTCGCCGCGTGGAGTTCGGTTATATCGCGTTTCCAAGAGAACCTTTCAAAAGTCTGGGATAAAAACTATCCTATGTTCTTTCTCAAGGTCAACTCTATCTCTGTACCGAATTTCATTAAAATCAGTTCAGTGGTTTAGGCGTGAAAGCGTAGCAGACAGACAGACAGACAGACAGACAGAGTTACTTTCGCATTTATAATATTAGTAGGGATTTGAGTGGAGGTGCGATATTTGGTAACAATCTAATATTTGGCTTATCAGGAATACACTTCATTCTATGAATGGTTGCTGGATAATGATTCAATATTTAGCCAGATTTCATAATGTAAAAAAAGAAACTCATTATTTTACATAATGCAAAAGATACCACAAAATATATATCTTTTTAATATTTAATACTTAAAAATTACAAGTTGCAAAAAATGTGTTTAAATTAGCCAGAAGAGCCATATATTCAGTGGTCATATAACTCTCACACTAGGTTCACAGCTTGTTAAGAGAAGAAACCTCTTAGCATTCAATGGATTCACAGTGTGTGTGCCGTGCCCATCGCATTTAGTGTCCGGTATCCATCGAAACCACTATCTGTTTCATCTCTACTAGTTTGTACAAATATATATTACATATTATAGTTAGGTGAAAATTTGGCTACATTACCTGTGGATTTTCTTTAGTCATAGCAAACATTTCCCAAACTATGAAATAGTTGTCCAGTGGTGAGAAAAACATTTCTTTATAATTTCCCTCTATCAAAGCAGCTACAGACCAGTCAGCACATTTCAGAATCTCAGCTCTAAAAACAATTATACCTATTTATGAACTGTTAAAATTAAAAATAAATAAACAGTAATGAATGTTATATATGTATGACAATATCAAATATATTTATTGTTTATTAATTATACTACAATCTCTTAGAAATTTATAGTAGTTAAAAATAAAATAGAGTTTAAGTTACTTTTTATCTGTCCTGTAAGCTACATATGTCCCCTTAGGGCTGAATATGAAACTGCGTATATTTGTTGTCGTCTCATCTCTCACTGCTACTTCTTTGTAAGGTTCTTGAAAACCGATGCGGAATAAATTCCGATTTGTCAGTCCTAGAAAAAAAAAATATGAAAATAGTAACCTGTTTAAATCAATTTGTAATAAAATATATATTTTGATTTACCTGCAATATTCGGAACACTGGCCATTGTAATGTGAAATATTTCAGTTAAATAATTAAGTTAAAATGTGCACATTTCTATAAATAATACTCTTTAACTAATGCCTAATGTATATTAATCCGGGATCCGAGATTTAAAATGTCAATTAAATGTCACGTCAAAACCACGCGTCTCAAATAAGCAGATAGGTATTATTTATGAAGTGTTTCTTATTGTCATATTTGTTACAAAAAACAGTGTGATCATAAATTACCATTTAGTAACAAAATTTTTACTAAAAAAAAATATTTAACAATACCTATAACTTCTCTAAGGAATTATTAAAACTTATTTTATTAAAATAGCTTTAAAAAGATTTTATTTTATATACAAAAAGTTACGGAATTATAAAAACAGAATTTTAAAAACACTTTTAAATATGTATTTGATTTGTTAATGGGATGCACAAAAAACATGAAATTATACATTAAAGCTGAAGTTCACCTTGTTTCTCATATTTTTCTTTATTAGTTGTAATAGTACTCTCTCTTTTTTTGCAAATGCTGCATAGCTGGAAAAAATAGTTTAAGCTTATCAATGTATAATATAGGTAACTGTAACAATTTATATATTATTTTTAGTTTTTAAAGATAAAAAATAAATAAATTGTCAAAAGTGACCTATCCTATTACCTATATTATATGTCAACATTCAACTTTCAAGTCTCCAAAATTAAATTTATTGAATAAGTGAATAATTTCAAGCCCAAGGGTTTTAAAAGTCATATATCTCATTGATATAACCAATACTATCAAGTATACTTACTCTTTATATAAAGCTTATCTATTAACTCGATGTTTAGCAGTAAAACGCAACTAAAAAAGAGGACACCAGAAAATGGAACGGATCGCGAAAGTTACTTATCACTTTTAGTGGATGAATACATTAATTCTTCATCGTTTGGTATGTAACATTTCAGGAAAAAAGATCTCTTTGTCCATATTTCTCTTATTATTCATATTCTTCTTGAAAATTGCAGATGCCAAACAACAAGTTTTAGCAAATCTTGCTAACTTTGCTTACGACCCAATAAACTACGGCTTTATAAGAAATGTCGGTGTCTTGGATATATTTATCCATGTGCTGAAGAATGAAAACAACGGTAAACTGCTCCATTTTGCCACAGCAGGAATCTGCAACTTGTGTATAGGTAAAAATTATATTATTTATTCTATTACCTTTTCTTTCCTTTAAATCCTTGTCAAATTTTTTTTACTAGTTATAAACATAAAAACTAATGTTATTATTAATTAATTATTATTGCAATTAATTTTAGACACAGAATTATTATATTTTGATATTGTACCAACACCCAATGTCACTTATAAAATCACTGAAAATAACAGTACATACTTTCATATAATACAAACATCTTCCTCTGTATTACAGATCCGGAGAATGTTGATTATTTAGTGAATAATGGAGCGATTGAACGTATTTCCATTCTACTCAACTCTAATCATGAAGAAACATTAGCTGATGTTATCACAATATTTATTTATTTATACGACAGTCATGCAAAAGATAAAATACATGACATAAAAACAGTTAATACTATTGAAGCACTTATTAAATCAGAAAATCAAATTATATCTAATTTAGCATCTATATTTTTAGAAAATATAAAAAAAGTTTCTAAACCATAAGAGAAACAATGAATAAAATGTTGTCAAATAGGTTTCCATATCTCATCAATAATAAGAATTATCAGAAGATATGTAAGTTTCAATCAACATTCAGTCGTGCGTCTTTCAAAGCTGGTGATAAAATAAGAATACAGAAAACTTTGACACAGAAAGATCTGGATACATTCTCGAATTTGACGAGTGATCATAACTATCTACATAAGAATAACGGCAATAAAAGACCAATAGTTCATGGGGCGTTTTTGAATGGACTTGTCGCTGGGTTGATCGGAACCCATCTGCCTGGACCTGGCACTGTGTTAGTGTCACAGACAATGAAATTTCCTAATAAATGCTTTGTCGGAGAGAAGCTGACTATAAGTGTGGAACTGGTTGATGTTAGGAAAATACTAAAGGTTAAATTTTTCTGTATTGTCGAAGAAGAAAAAAAGGTTGTGTTTGAAGGTGAAGCAAAGTTGATGCTCGCTAAAGACTGTTAAAACTTATGGATTGTGAACTATAAGTATATAAAAGACTGTATAACATTGTGAAGTGCCACAGATAATAAAATATATATAATAATGATCAACAGTACAATTATAAAATTGATTCTAATCTGTCCTTATTGTTTTTAAGATACAAAAAATCACAATTAACCAACTAAGACTGACATCACAAATTTATTGATTATTTGATTAATAAAGAAACACTAATGTAATATTGTAACATAACTTTAAAAATATTTAAAATTGTAATTTACGGAATACAGATAATATATTGAAACAGCTCAATAATTTTAATAATCTATATGTACAAATAATCAAAAAATAAAAATGTAGTAAAAATTTATTTATTAATAAGACTAAAACGATATAAACACTTCCTAAATGTGTTCTGAAGTACATGAAAAATATTTTTCCACTATATATGTATATTGTAATGTGTTTTATTTGTTACTTTTGATGTATTCTGTAAAGCTTGTAAATATTTAGGCTTTTATGTAATATTGCATGCATATTTATCAGTATTATTAGACTTGAAGCCAGTCCTTGAAAAGGAAATATTGTTTTGTGTTTCTTAATATAAGTGTAATCTTAGAATACATTTTCTAAGTTTGTTTTTTCTGTATGTTTTAATTATTTAATAAATTAATTTATCAAATGTTATTATTTTTCATTTTATTGTTTTTGGTGTTTGTATTTCTTTTAGTATCCATCGACATAAAGAAACAATTCAACTGGTATGTATGCACATATTTTCATTTTTGTAAAATTTTACTAGCTGCCTGATTCCAAAATGTTTGGTATTGTTGATATATTATGGTTATTTGTTAAAGGCTGAGTATAAATGATTCTACACCAATAAGGCTCTTTATACATTGAAAATATGTAATGCAACATGTGATAGGTGAATGAAAAAAAGTAAAACGAAATAAAATATCTTAGGATACAAAACAAACAATATTTGATTGAATGAAACTATTTTTTTCGGATACTGCGCGTATTTTATTAATTTATTTCAACAGTTTCCCGACGTTTCTGTTGCTTTACATAAATCCTGATCACGGGCAGAGGAGATGAAAATGTCTATCAGTTAGTCTTGTTATTTGTCGTTTAACGCCAACGAATTTTTAACTAATATTCGTTTATATTTTGATATCATATTTTCCATAGATGTTATAACATCCAAAATTATGTTAAGGTAAATTAAAACATGGTATATTTTATAATAAACAAAGTAGAAATAAAACGATAGAGGTAATAATCAAGCTAATATCAAATTAGCAAGTGGAGGCTTAGTTTCAAGGTTGCTACGGATCTTATTTACAGACGGTGTATATAGTTTGAAGCTTATATAGACTTTGATACCAATAGGCTTAGTGGTTCTACTGTATATTAAATGTTGTTAATTTTAGAGTTATTGTTTTCGTTATTTAACATTTAGTCACTGGCGCTGATTCCAAGAGGATATTTAAGATTCGGCCTCCAGACCAGACATATTTTTATATTCGCGAGTTTTAAAGCGCGTTGTGATGATAAAGCTTACGGTGTTTTTGGAAACCAACATCTCCAAAGATCATACCATGAAGGTCATTAAATATTACGAGCTCACTAACGTACTAACTCGAAATAGGTTCGTCGTTGATTTGTAGACGGTAGAGGTAACTCACATTAATTCATTCTTGGAGCGTACGTCGAAGGCAGCCCTTGTAGGTTCTTTTCATATTTGGTAGGTAGAGAGAGGAGCTTGGAGAGGAGCGCGTTTGATAGTTGCCCCTTAAACCTACACTTGGGTCGCAAGTCCCAGGTACTGTTGAAGCTCCTCTCCCTGCAACACGATGGACCTGGCACCTGCACGGTGAATCCATTGAATGCTAAAAGGTTTCGTCTCATGACGAATAGCAATGAAATGGATTTTTATTACACCTCTATCAGAGAATCTATGAAAATTCTTTAGTTTTTATATACTTAGAAACAGAAAGTGGGATGTTATCTTTAAATAAATTAGGAAAGGACATTTTTAAGGGTTTTATATAAAACACAAAAATATATATTGAATGCTAGTTGAAATTATTTACATATTTATATTTCACACTCAATGTATTCCTTCGTTTTACCAACTTAATTTACTTAGTAAGTAGATGTTTGAAGGAAGTTAGTGATCTTAAGCAGAAGGCAGGTCATCTAGAAATTTTAGAAATCGTCTTATCATATGACTATGCAAAGGTATTTGCGGACACGAGATTTCAATCATTCGGAGACACGTACTTTGGCTATAAAATCGAGATTCAATGCAAGTAATTCGCACGTAACGAAAGCTGAGTAAGCATTCCTTTATGACGAACAACGATAAATGTCTTTTGACGTTCATTTAAATAGATGCAGCCACAGATTAACCTCATTTAAATAAGGTCTTTGTGTCAGGGATGTAAAAGGCTGTGAGGCCGTAAGGTTAAAGGGAAAATAGGATTAAAATTGCAAAGGAAGAGAAGGTAAGTGTTAATTATTTTTTTAACAGATAAATTTATTGAGCCTTGTCGGTATTTGTTAATTGTTGGTTTTTGCTGTTTTATTTAATTCTTTGAATATACCGCAACATGCAATTTCAAACTGTGTTTTTAAGAAATAAGAAAACAAGTTCTTAAAGAAGAATTTAGTATTTATTTTCCAAATGCTAATAGTTACCACGTGTGAGCATTTGTAAAATACAAACATTGCGGTTAATATGTTATTAACATAATCATTTTGATATCTTTATCATCAGTACAATGATCGGCATCCGGCGTTGGGCAATTCTTGCCGCATTTTTGTGGTTAGCTATCGCGAGCGAAGCCCGGAAGAAACTGAAGCGAGACGAGTTGGAAAGCTTGAAGTCAATTGAGACGGATATTGATGAGGAATTTGATGAGGTAAATTTCATTAACATTCCCATGGTTGGGATTTAATAGCGTTTAAAGTAACAGTCCCTACTATTGACTTCGTGACTCCTTAAAAAATAATTATGGATGTATCTAAAGACATGTGGAGTTAGTAACAAAGCGAAGATTTATTTGGTAGACAAGCACATACCAGACGTGGGATTGTCGTTTTTAGAATCCGAATCCAATACTATTTTTGTTAGTAAATTGACCATGTAATAGAGTCTGTCATTCACTACAGTAATATAAGGGTCCTGTAGGCTTGTGTAAACAGTCAAATCCATACAATACAATATGTACTTTCATTTTACAAATAATAGTTTTTTTTTATTCGACTAAATTACTAGTTTTGTATGCGTTTTCATATTTACTTTTACTGTTAAGTTTAACTTCGGTCTCTTTCTATCGTAACACTTACGTAATACATCAAATGTTATTTGAAATAAAAGATTTTCCAGTTAACATTTTGCCCTTTCAGTTCTACTATAGTGACAGTTATTCACACAAAAAGAAATATTTCGTTTTGCGTACCGTACATAATCTTTGTGATTTAAAATTAATTATTTACAATATGTACTTATAATTACGAAATGTTAAGCAGTAAATAATGTTAAAACAAATTAACTACACTCAAATGCATTGTTACTAAAATAATTAGAAGCTTCAAATGTATTCTGTATTCGCTACCAATTACCACCTTTAAGCCTTTGTTTAGAATTATTATGGTAAATGGCTGATTTGAAGGAACCTTATTTGCAGTTACGAGTACCGCATGACTGGTTAGGAAATGACAAGTATAGATTTAAAGACAATGCATATGATTCATAATGATTTATTAGATTTTCCATTAAAACTTTTTTATATGAAATGAATGATTACTTTTAAAATATAACCAAAACGTCACAGCACCTTTATGTTGAGTGTAATGTTTATAAAATAAATTCTACTTAACAGTTAGAGTCATGCCAATGCGGCGTGTTCATGTCTCAGCAAATTGGTATAAGGGAAGGTCGACGTAGACCACGAGGACCTCCTGAGGGCGAGCCTGTGGTCACGTACGACACGGAGAGCCCCAGCCTGCCGTGCGGCACCGGGGGCTTTAAACACTGCATTAGCAAGTGTCTGGATGTGGTATGAACATTATGATATGAATAATAATCGATAGAGTGATTTGAATTAGATATTAGTTCGATTAGACTTATTCATATTTGACGATGAGGATAACGTTGGACTTTATTCTGCCTTCATACAGCTATAGATTTTTGATTTTTTATTATTATCTGTGATTGTTATTCTTTGAGTATGTCGTAAATTATTATTTATTTAAAATCTCGTTCAGAACCAAACATACGTGACAGATTCTGTTAAGTAAGACCGTCATTGTGAACAGACGTTTTTAGAAAGCGATATGCAGATAATAAAATATATAACGTGCTGGCCATCACTTCCCTCATAGATTTTCATTTAATTACATTTTACCGTTCCATTGGCCGGTCGAGCTATAACTTTGTGCACTTTCTTTGAATGTGAATGTCTTCAGATATAATAAAATATTAAAATTATTTCTCTAAAAATAAATGTTCGTCCTAATTTTTGTATTGCCATTTTGTTGAAACTTTCGATCTATTGTAATAACCGAAGATAATGCACTACAACTAGATAAAAAAACATCGGTTGAAGAGTCTTTTTATTATTGTATAAACGTTAAATATAAATTCGATATTTTTTCTAAAACCAATCCTCATAATATATATTGTAATATAATCTAGATACTCAAGTATTTGCCGCGCGCGGGACCCGTCATCTGTGGTGCAGTGGAGCGTGATGTCTACAGGGAAAAAGCCTTCCTTTTCATCAGGAACTGCGGCGGACAATGGACCCCGACTAACTTCTCCGCTGGGAAAGAGTTTTGTTGTACGGACGGACAACATCATAAGTGCTGATATAAATATAAAATACTCATTTAAACTAGCTAAAGCATTGGTTATACAACAAAAAATAGGTCCAATACAATTGAATCGTTCAAATGATGGTTATAATTTGATTTATATAGATTAATATATAGTTATTTTTTACAATATGTCAAAATGTATACATGTTTAGTCTGTATTTTCTAATGACACACACGTGTTTAGTCTGTTAATGATTTATGTATGGAAAGTGTTTGTCTTAAGCATCACATTAGGTGTAAGTATCGTATGACAATGCATATCATATTTCTCATGTCATAGCATAGGATATAATTTAATATTACTTTAATAAAATATGAATAAAATTAGATTACTATCTATAAATGAATATGAATTATATATGAGTTTTTATTAAGATAATCTGAAAGCTCCTAAGTATGGCGAGGAGTTAGGGCACAAATAGAGAATTAAGTCAATCATTTCGACCTAGTTTCTCAGTTGCGGGAGCGAGACCCACTTTAAGTATATTTTTGTTTGCCTCGACTAAAGTGTCAACCCTTGCGAAATTGGAAATTAAGGATGGAAACGTCTAAAGCGGGGTTTTAAAAATATAAAGCAATCAAATATTTATAGAAAGTGCTTTTTATAACTTGACATTTATAACATCAATACTCATTTAAGGTTTTATAGCACAGATGAAAAAATTAAACATGTCATTTAACAGAATAAATGAATATAACAGACTAAATATCATCATAATATAAAAATAAAACGATGTTTACATAAAATTATGATACTTTAATTTATTTTTAGAGATTTTGAAATAAGAAAAAATTAGAGAATCTGAAAAATAAAACTCCAAAATGAATAAATATTTTGACAGGCACGTAGTACAGCGTGACATAATAATTTTTTTAAATTTTCATAAACCTTAAATACTTTTTGGTTGCAATTTATTGAAACCAACATTATTAAAAAAATGAATTTAAAAACATTGTATATTGTATAGCCATACTTATTTGATTTAATTCATATACATATAATCTTAATGTTATGGAAGCCTCGATCAGTTTTGGACAATGATCATTGTTCATTGGTTTTAAATCTATTGTTGTGGCTCGATTTATCAAACTGCCACACGTCTCACGTCCTCTCGTCACAAACTTATATAAGCTGAATATATTAAAATTATAATCCAAATATACATATAATGAAATTATAAATGATAGCTGTCTGTGCATTGAAGATAAATACCTATATCAAAATATTTCTTTGGGGACTTAACAACGCTATACAATTTTTAGATTTCTCAGTTTCAAACATCTATTAAGACTAAGTAAAGTTTAAACCAAGAGAAATACATAAATATAAGCTGTACAGTGGGAGCAAGATGATGTGAATAAGTTTTATAACAATACTAAAATCTTACGCCATATCTTTGTTACCAAATATTATATCTATGTAGGAAACATCGATAACAGTCCTAACATTTAGTCCGTGATATACATCACCTATATATATCTCACAAGGAGTGCCTTATCCATCGACCCGCTTCTCGATTATGGTGTCAATGAAGTTTCCTTATCAAGGACTAGTAATGTACGGGCGGGGGACCGCGGGGGGCTGCGTGGTCCGCGGGGCGCGCGGGGGGACCCGTGACCCGGATTGCGTAGGGTGAACAACCCCGACACGTGCCACTTTCTAAAAAGATACGTCGCCTGCGCATCCTTGCGTAGACGGGTAGATACGCTCTAAAACTATCATGGTGTTAGGTATACTTATAAGGCTTTTTACATAGTTGTACTAATAAAAGAAATTCTTTAGATGAAAATGATTATATACCTTTTGAATTGAATTAAAGTATAGACATCAAGAACAGTAATTTTAAACAAGAATGCTCGTTGTTTTCATATTATATTTATACACAGCTTCTGGTTTGTTTTACATGACATATTTAGAAAAAAAATGTATTTATTTTCCAATATAGCCAATGGTTTTTTATCTAAAAAATATAGAGATACTAAAATATACGAAATATTATCTAACATCACGTATTAAATCTATATCAATGTTCTAAACAAGGTTTGATTTGCCATTTACCCTCTGTATAGGCAAATACATCGATCAAGCCAATTAATTCCGTTCGCATAAAATGGTATCAAGGGCAACAGTGGAATCAGTATTCAACGTGTACTACTAACACTAGTATTTGTAACATTACTTTCTTCTTCATTATTATATCTAGATATTAACTACCTACATATATAAGCTTTCAGTTGTAAGGTAAGAATCAATATGTATCTGACAACCAATACACGTAAAAGAAAAAGAATGATTATGTTTGTAACTAGAGCGTAATTATGACCCGCTTTTTGTTATATGAGGTATTGTTAAACATAGTTAAATGTAATATATATTGGGAAGTTCCAAATATCATTTTTTAACCTGTAATATAGGATGCACGCGCCTGGCGACAATGGTTGTAGTTGCGTTGACCCCGCGCGGGCGCAGCGGTGAGCACGTAATGTCGCGTTATTGTGATGCATTGCGCAACTCGTCCCCCCCCTACCAGGGACCACTGCCCTCGACCAAGTACACGAGTTAAGACCTTTGAAATATGTTTTAAAAATGTTTGATAAACTTCAGTATAACTTGTTTCATTAATCGCCTCTTATTTATCACTAATACTAACGCGTAGCAATGTTGATTTTGTAATGGTTTTAACCTATATAGTTAATTAATGAATAGGTTATTTTAATTTAAATTTATCTTATCAGAGCAAAAATCTTTTATTCATTAGGAACATTGTGCTGACTTTTAAAATTTATGATAGTACATTTAGTGTTAAGTATAGATATACTTATATGTATTAGAGATTCCTTATTGTCATTGAGATGTAGGAAGATGCATAGATATATTATCACACTATGACAACAGTGAAAGAAAGAAATAAATAGCGTCGAAATAGGCGAGAGTAAAAATGTCCCGAGGTTTTTGATACTTTCTTTTTTACCGAGAATGTTTGAAAAACTGGTGAAAGATTTGTTTTTTTAGAAACATATGCGACGTAGCCGCTCTCAGTTCGTAGGAAAACTATATAATGCATACACTGGCGTTTCCAATGGAGAGTGCGGGGAAGGGGCGGGGGGCTAGTCGACACACTTTCTGAAGGGCTCTAAAACCACGGCTTTTGTGGCCACCTTTATGAGCCATCTATTCGTAGACCTTTGATTTATCACAAACAGTTAAGGCCAGTTCTTAGTAAATACGCCTTAAAAGTACATCTGAAAAATTCAGGATGTTTTTATAATGTTTATTTAAAAGTGGAACAATCGCTTACGAAGATAATCTAATCGTAAGTGTACAATTTTATTGAACTAAATTAGTATATAACGTCAAAATTATGTTTGTATTTTTTTACTGCAATATGGGAAATATAATCTTGAATTTACAGCAACTCAATATGCTTAATATTTATCGCTCGGACAGAGTCTGTAATATCTACATTTAAAGAGAACAGCTTATCTTTTAATGACCAAATTTTGCAGCATCGACGACCAATTAATTGATCAGATATTATTTATATGTAATAAAAACATTTTAAGCAACGATCTTATTTAATTAAAGATGTATTTAATATTTAAATTATAGCAAACATTTCAAAAACTAATAAAGAACAATGAGAACGAAACATTGGTGAGAAATTTGATTCGTATTTCGCAAAATGCTACAATATCTTAAATTTACAACATGGAAAGTCTAAGACGAAGACTCATTACGTTCGGTTTCACATGTACACGCTAAATGTAATATTAACTATCGACAATAAACCGAAGAGGGAGGAAATAGGATAACGGTGTGCGCCTGCGCATCGCATAAGAACTACAATATCACGAACCGTTCTTCGTACTACCAACAATGTGTCATTAAATCTAGACCAGGTTAGACGGTCTTCACGCTCCCTCTCTACCCGTACATATCATGACTAAATGGGAGTATCACTTAAGAGAACGCAGATCATTTTATATTGGTCGTAATTGAAGATAGTTGATATCGCCGCCCCGCCTGTGGCTCCGTTCACAACTTTTTGCGATGGCGAATGGAAACTATGGAGACAGCGGGGTGAATTGAGGCCGACGGTACATCATGTACCACGATAATAAAAAATTATACATTTTCTTTGCTCATTTGAGCTTAAGGTACTTATAATTTCATTCCTTACACTATAAGTGAAGCAATTAATATAAAAACGACAACATTTATTCTGTCGAAACAGCATACATGTAATAGATAGCATCGTGCGACAGTAATCAATGTCTCAAAAACACGCCGTACATATTTAATTCTTTTCATTGAGAATTAATATTACAATAATAAATTAAGTAGAAACAATCTCATAGAAATACGATTATTAACACATCGAATTACAGCCATTAGGAATTCAATGTATCGAACGATTGATGTACATCCAATAGCTCGCTGATTGTAAAGTCGTCTAAAAATGTTCAAAGTAATCAACGGAAGTAATTATTACATCTGCTACCATCCACAGCTAGCTTACTGTCCCGGAGCTGAGTACAAAAACAGATGCTTTCATATGAATAAAAAAACATTTTGCAAGAAATACGAAGGAACTTTATTCTATGACACCAAGAAAAAATGTTAGTATGCAATAAAATATTACTAAAGTAGCCAATTGTGTCTTAATTTTAAATTCTATTTGACTCGCAAAAGATGAAAATGAGATTAGACAGATACAAATAGAAAAAACATATATAAAGCGTCTCACATAAAAGCTATTGAGGCCGCGATTACAGTACTTTCATGTGAAGTATAAATTGAAGTTGCCAGCGTTTAAATTAAATTATCCAAATTAAATGATCGTTTAATTGAAGGATATTGATGAATTATTCCTTAGATTAGACAGAAAATAGTGTTACCATTGGAAAAAATAGCTCCGATTATTGCTACTTCTTATAAGTTGGAGTCATATACATTTTTAAGAGTCTGAAATCAATTTTTGCTCTGTGGAT